TGCTGAAATTTATTGTGTGTAGAGAACTCGCTTGGGAGATGTTGATCGCTCTCCAGTCACAGGGTTGAATTGGACATCCCACCACCCCTCTAAAGAAACACTTAAACAACATAAGCATTACACAAAAGTCTCCTACCTCCTATTCCTCGAGCAGGAAATCCAAAAGTAGCCTTTGAACGTGTACGGTGCAAGAAGCACAGTTGAATAAAATGATGTGTAGAATTGCGTAAATCAACTGTCTTTATCATAAACTCAATAAAGTACTCTAAATACATTACTAGTTTTTCCTGCTCATACCACCCTCGTAAATGTTGGACTTGGAGAACTTTATTTATCAATTCAGCCAGCAACCCATAATACCTGCCAGAAATGACTCTAATCTCTTCCTCATATAGTAAACCGAGTGAAATCTTTGATCGTGTTCATACGTCTGAAGTGTATGGGAGGCAGTCCTTCCTATGTGTTGAAAATGCGCAAACAACTATTCTCGAGATGTGATGCTTGCATGAAATTTCACAAAAAGACTTCTAAATGCACACGATTAGGAAGTTGTGGGAATCGGTTAGTATTTTTACAAATATGAACGTTTCGTTGAAGTTTTCACTTTATTGGTAACTTTCAGGCCGACCATATTGTCGATGGCCCCGTGCAGTGTCCGACTTTGCATCTTGTACACATTCAGTTGGTAAGCCATCATTCGCTTTTATCGCATTTTATCAAATTCCTAATTTAGACAAGCAGCAAGGTTTTCCAACACAGATTAAGTGGCAGCTAACCAACTAATTATATGATAGTATCAATACTTGTTTAAACGAAGCTATGTGGACACGGTGGGAGCCCTGCTATAGACAAAAAAGGCTGTTTTTAACGGAGCTATCTTCAAACTGCACTTCCTTGACCATTTAAATGCTGAAGACCAACCACAAAAATTTTCAAAAAATTGTGAGATTGCTTTTTACTATGGGAAATTCAGGCCAACAGAAATAATCATGAAAAATTTGCTTTTCGTTAATTCAGCTCCTCTAAAACATACCATTCATTCTCCCACTCATTTACACTTAAAATGTATCTATTTAAGCGTTTCCCACTTCATCGCTTAGGCGTCCCTTCTTGTTATCAGGCCAGTTACCGGACTACTCATTTAAGTTAACGACCATCACCTCAGTCCCCATTGTCCAGCAATGCTGATTAAAACTTGGGGACTGCAATTGTCCTGCCGGAGGAAGAAACAGAAACGGCAGACTGCACTGGTGTGACAGCCTGGACTGGCTCAATCAGCAGTTGGAATGGCAAGTTCGACGCGATTCTAAATATGCTAGTGCAATTTTCTGCAAAATTGTTGCGCCTATTGTACTACTATGTTCCAAAGGTGAAGGTTTTCCGTTAGTGCAACAGTTAAGATATACGATCGCAGTTTGTAGGAGATTTCTGATGAGTAACACTTTAGAGGCTAATCTTCAAAGTAGGCTTTGATACTTAAATTAAAATGACATTTCTACATTTGTAAACGGCTCTGGGCGGTGTGAAATATTCTAGTGGGCAGAAACAAAGTTAAATAAGTAAAAACCCGGTTTCTGTTTGACAAGTTACACCATCTGTTTACTCTGCTCTGCTCATTCAAAGGTGGCAACCATCTGTGATGACCCTCTAGTAGAAGTTGTATCCCAGTTGTACAAAGGATGTCTATTCATTTTTTGCTGAGGAGTCACAACAAAATAATTTCTTTAGACTCAATTTATGTCAGTTTGACAGAGCGTATTAATAAAGATACTATTACAAAGCAGAATGAGGCAGAAAAACTGAACCAATCCAAATGCTGCGGAGATCCGTCTGGACCACATGATTTGAAAAGTCTGGAGAATGGGAGCTAAGCGTAAATTGTCCTGCTTATGCTACAATTGGACGTCTTTGGATCGCAGAAGCACGCGTTCACACACATCCAGGCAAAGTCACGCTTTCGATTGGTCCCATAAGCACAACATTCATTCCTCCCTATTAATAAAAGGATCGTTTTGATACAATACCAATTCCCATACCGAACGTATGCGACTACGGTCATGCTATGTCGTATTTTGACATCACCTTTCTAAGGTACTGCACTGGAATCCAGTCTAGGACATATCTTGTGAGCATCTTTGCTTGCGACTCTAGCATTGCGGTCGAACCTATACATAGTTCAATTTCAGTAATCTTCGGTAAAATTTTAATTTCCTTATTTCTTCGTCTTCTACAATTTGTCACGTATCACCCAAGCACTAAGCAACCATCCGATTTTATATGAAGGTGCACTCCCAGATTCAAAATTCTTAATTTAAATGGGCTTAGCGTTTCATCCACATCGCCCTAGTTAGGATAATTTCTAATCCTTTTAAAGCGTTAAAGTTTCTCTTGACACCTCGAAGAAACAATCCTTTTCGAAGGTGAATATTTATTGCAATTCGTAGTAGCAGAATATACCAAAGTCAACTTACGGATAAATAAATAACTTATGTGTCTGAGCAACGTTTACCAAACTTTTATTACTCTGGTTGGTATTGTACAGTTATCAGAGCATTAGAAATAATGCTTTTTAGTCTTATCGAATGGGATACCTTGTATGGTGCATCTGCTAGCATTTGCAGCGAAGAATCAGTACTCTTTGCCAATATTCAAAGAGGGAGTGTTTTGGAGGTTCAAATAAGTTAAAAACGAAACAAAAATGACGCTCACAGTTCACTGACGCGTTACCGATAATGGAGCTATGAATATAAACGAGGTGCGGTTATAAATTCCCAAGTACTTTAAAAATGTAATCTGCAAGGCGATGATGTGGTGAAATTGTATAAGACCGCTTCAATTCGTAGCTATTATTGGAGAAATTTGGCTTAAGCAACCCAAGGCTTACCATCATCATTAAAATGGTCGAATATCTACTCCAAAAGCACCAAACCTTTAACTGCGACTTTAGATTGCGATGATACCGGGGGTAGAAAACGACCAACATACATTACTAGATGCTCATGCTTGATCTTTTCTACTGTTTGATTCAACGAAACAATTTGAGTTACACAAGAATTCATTATTGGCTGAAGTAGTACGCAAGCAATTGGGATAGACAACGAGATTACCCATTGTCAAGCAAAACAAAAACATACAAGGATGATGTGCTATCACTTAAGTTCTTAAAGGTTTGGATACTACAGACGAATAAACCTTGATTCAAAAAACGTTGCACCCTGAGGCTTTTCTGCAGCACCGGCAAATCCCGGCAGGGATCGCACACACACTCTGCGACGAAAATCCAAACGTTGGTTGGCACTTGTGAAATAATGCATTTCGGTGTCGATTTCCCAATTCAATGAGGTGAGTGCAGATAAAGGACAACTTCACATTTGATAACACAAAGAAAAGATCAACAAGTTCAATGAAATCCATGATAACAGAATGAAAGATTCAGGGACTGTGTGACAGCATCAAACTTGATCCAGAATCCATCACCGTTTTCTTAACTGGTGACATGAGTATAACCACACGAGAATTCTGTTCACTGATAAACAGATGTACGGGGGCTTCAACAGACAAATTGGATTAACAGCCAACTTGAAAAACGCTTTTATAAATACACAGACAAGGCAACGACGCATTTATTGGTCGCAGAAAATCCTCGGGCAAATAACACAACAAAGTTGAAGAAGCAAACGTTAGGAAAAGAGAAGGTCTAAGTAAGGATAATAAACATTGCTGAGGAATGGAATGAGTAAGTTGATGACCAAACGAATGGAAGCTCAAGCAATGCATTAATGGGTCGTTGCACTGAGCAGAGTGAGCAAGTCATTAGTTAGACGCAGAGATCGTGAGGTGGTAAAATCACGCGAATTTAAAGCACTGGAAGTGTTGGCGCTGAACTCAACTCCATGGAGAGCCTCAAGAAGATCCTCCAGGCGGTAGGGACCGCCAGAGCGTGACATGTAATCGGTGTTGCGAATCACCTTGTCCATGCAAAACAAGAACTCAGCCAAATTCTAAAAACAAAAATGAAGTTTCGCATCGAGAAACACAAGAAAGTTTTCAAAGTTATTTATGAAAAATCCAACTCCTAAAATCACTAGCTTTCAAGTGGACCTAGCAATTTTAAGCAGAAAAATGCTGGTGTTAAATGATCCACTAGAAATTAAGATCTGTTCCAGTCAGAAACTACTTGAAAGCAGTAAAAATATCGGCATTTTTCGTTTGACTGTAGCCACATTTGAGCACAGCCATGGAGTGAACGTTAGATTTCAGAGCAGAAGATAGCTTATGAGCGGTGCCTAGAGTAGGGACTAATTAGCAACATAATAACTGAAATAAACTGCAACGTTCGCAGAGTACGAGACACAACCCCAGAATCAGTTGAACACCATGGTACCAGGGCCTTAGTGCGGCAAATATCAATTTTTCACCAGCACAATTAGTAAACTGACAGTAATACGACAAAATAAGGGTGATGAAAGCAATAAGGCATCGTGGTAATCACCACTTCCGCCCCGGTTTGCAAAAGATTCAGGGGTTTTGCAGTCATGTCGTTGCTTTGCTTGGAAGTTCTGTTGCTACAGTGCATCAGTAGTTATCTTCCACAGCAAGTGGCCGCACCATAGGTAATTTGACCAATATGTCTCCGGTGAAGATTTACTAGGATTGAGATGAGACAGCCAGAAGTTGTCAGGTCAGGAGCCGCCAGTATCCAGCAAAACCTCACGCAGAAATGTCAAAGGATCTGACGTCTATAGCAGTTTTTAGGTATTTAGGGAAAACAAGAGGTACGAAGAATTCAACGGTACCAATTAATGTTCACACGCATTGTTGAAAACAGTCAGAACCTGAAATTTCTTCTTCAGCACGTGTTTGAACTGTGGTAAAAGGACTGAAATCACCTTATTTTATCAGTATCGATTACGCCTAACGTTGCAAAGTTAACGGGTCAAACGACTGCTTCAAACGGCATCTCCTACGGTTGTTACATCAATTTGTTGTAATGGATCTGCTTTCTTGTTGTCTCCAGGTGCTGTATAACTTAATTACACCTTTGAGCTCCCAATTCTGTTGGCGTCCCAACCTTTTCAGAGCTGTCGTACAGAATCGTGGGTTCAACTGACACGAGACCCTTCACATTCTGATACTGTTTACGCAGAGATAAGACAAACTGAAAATTGGAACTCGGAATTAACAAGAGCTTTTGTTGCAGATCTGGTGCATTTACTTCAGTAATTACTGAGCCACAGAGTTGAGTGCAATTGGTTACCGAAGTTGAAATTAGTACCATGAAACTGAATTTGAAATATAAAGCTCATTTAGACGCCTCAAAGTTCACAAACTGCATGAGCCAGTAAAATTTTCTTTGGGTTTGCACACGGAAACGAAACTAGAGGGTCTGGGAATGATAATCAGCCCATAAGCATAATTTCCCATCACTGCGGAGAACTGAGCAGTCTGCCATTTCGCCTTCAGGTGCTTACTAGTTAGACACCAAATTTCAAAACGTTCAAGATAGTCTTCAATCTCTCTTGAGGAAGCATGAATGCTCCAAACTTTGAATTGATAGCAACTCACTTTGAAACCTCAAACTTTGCGAAGCCATTTGTGGTAGCGGGACCTTAGAGAGACCGAAACAGAACCGCATTCAGAACAATAATGCATGACGGTGATACGACAAACAATGGGCAATGAAGGAAATCAGGCACCGTGACAACCACCACACGAAAACACCGTAATTTGTGAAGGTCTAGGTGTTTTACAATGGCCTTAGTGTTATGCTTCTGGACCGGTGATTGTAGAAAGTACATATGAGGGTATACCAAGTGTGACCAGTGATACACATGATTAGGCGACCCGATTGAACCACAATGCGCACAATTCTTTGTCGCACTTTAGTTTACAATAAAACAGGGATGATCAAACTACTAATACCAAAACCACAACGATTTTTCAAGGTGCACCTTTAATCAAGAAGATTAATCTAGAGAATAAAACACTACAACATTAAAAAATACAATTTACATGTAAGTCCATGAATAATTGAATATAATGGAATTTTCCAGGAATTAAACATGAAGCTTGACTATCAATGACAAATAAAACAAAGAAGAGAACATCTGAGCTGACTTCGACTAACGCTTGCGACTGAATAGTTTGCAATTTAATGCGCTCAGACAGGAGCGACGAGAATAGCTGCGAGAAGCAACCCACCGGTGAGTTAGCCGGTAGATCGCAGATCTGCCGAATGATGACATCGATCACAACCTTGACATCGTTACGGTAGATGAGGTTAGCCGTATCACGGTTCGAAAAGATGTCAGCGACGAGTTTACGAGCTGCGTTGCGTGGAGTGTCGGGAGCCAGACGGAGTGTGGCATCTGTTAGGCCTGTACGATGATGCGAACTCTTTCCTGAACCACTTACATGCACACCACTCTCCCCTGCACTGTTAACATGCTCACCGCTCCCGCTAACCTCGCCAGCACCAGCTCCGTTTTCAGATGCGCTACTTTGAGTGGACGAAAGGCGACGAGATTTAGCAAACAGACCCATACCCGACTCATTGTTTGGATCCTCATAAAGCAAGAAACCACTGTAGAGTTGCGATGAGATGTCAAAGCCCTCATGAAGAGCACCGCGAAGCTTTCGTACGAATAAAACACCATCCAGGTTTAGAGGATCAACTAAAAACGGGAAATAATGACCTCATGAAAAAAGTTGAGCATTTGACTATAATCGACAACATTCACACTAAGCTAAAACCTTTAGGCAGAACAATAAGTACATTAATTAGATTCCCGTCGCATAATGCCAGACCGAGTTTACTTGGTATAGGCCTTAAAACCCACCATCACGGTTGAAAATATAGAGAAGGCGCTCTATTAGGTCCCTGGTAGCAGCATGATTGTTGAGCATCGTATTCATGATGGGTGTGAGAGGAGTTGAGTGAGAAGTGCAAAAGTGACGGTTGGCGGCGCACACGAATTGAACGAAAGTGTCAAGAAGAAGAATCGAGGACGTAGTTTTAGCAATGCCATCACCCTGGGTCTGTGGTAACTTTGTGTCAGAAACGTAGAGTCTTCGCATAGCGTCGGTGACGGGAGACTTATCATTGATGGAATTCTCCTCGTCCGTCACAGATCGAGATATTCTTCCGAAAACGCAGTCAAAGAAAGACTCGTTAAGTTCATCTAAAAATATAAATTGAATAGCTTAGAAGCTGTAGTGATAGATCCTTCCATCGAGCATATTACAATTTGTTCAACGAGAAGTTAAATAGCATTCCATTAAGTATGCAAAACTGGTTCACTTGATGAACGGAGTTAAATTGTCGATGGTAGTTACTATAACGCATGTACACACAAAGATGCATAGATGAAGAGATATTTTGTTGAAAATGTTATCTTCCAGCCAAATGATCACACAAATGCGGCCATGATTATTAAAGAAAATCTACACAGTTCATTGAGGTTAGTTTAGAGAAAAGATGAGTAGAAGCTGTTTCACGAAAAACGGAACGTTGAACCTGACATTGCGTAATATTCGGAAAAACTCGCGATTAGTTATGTAAAAAGCGTAATTTATCTGGGATTTACAGCCAAAACTCAAAATGACTTTTTGAAAAACGCGCAAAGAATGCTGCAAAATCAGAACCGTTTAATAAACCTAGCGCAACATATTTGAAAAAGGTATTCGATGTGGATTGATAGCTATTTGCGTTGATACCAGTTATCCAGGCACGATTAGGTGCATAAAATCACAAGTAAGGTTTAAGGAACTACCAGAAACACGGTTTAACAAAATACGACCACACACTAAATAAGGTTTTGAATCAAAATTAGCACCGAATGTTCAAACAAAGCATTTAAAAATCTTACTCTGAAGATTTACTGGGAGACGGTTGCTTTTGGTGAGCAGAACCGTTAGTACACGAAGATCGAGAATGAAATCTAAAAAGCCTAGAAATGGTAAGGTTTATGATAGCCCTTAAATCCACATATTAAGTTCCCCTGCACTCAAACTATGTTTATTTCAAATAGCTAGGGAATAGAGCGTATGAAAGAGGCTCAAAATAAATGTGCCTCTTCGTACGGCACTTTTCAACAGTAAATTTATATGAAAATACAAATATGCCATTGTGAGATCAAAAGTGATAACTAGCAAAATTCATAAAAGCCTTTGATCTAAACTTATGAAGTGCACAGTGATACCACTGGCATAAGATGTACGTAAGTCAGTCCAACGGACTACGATAGTAAGGTCATGTGAGCGGTAACTAAATAGTGGCAAAGGTGGTGTCACACTTGCTCGAAAATGCTCCAAGAGAATTAGGTATGTGGGACGCGTGGTTACGTTTAGAACTTCACTCTGAGCAAAACTATTAAAAAAACAACGAGAAATGGTGAGTATTATAGGGGAAAACTTCAGCAAGGGGTGAACGAAGAAGGGGAGTAAATGATGCTTTATGTTGGAGCTAATAAAAAATATACTTACCAACATCAGAAAACTTGATTTCGCGTATTATTTCCATCGGTAGACCCGAGTCAAGATAGACGGGCCAGACGGCAGGCTGTATGTGACAGGTCGCCACAGTAACCAAGAGGTAGAATCGTCGCACGAGAGCCCTCTTCTCCCTCTGATAAAGGTAGCTCAATGCCAAAGGAAGTCGGTCGTTGGACAGGCATGTGCATACCATATCTGGGTCCGCATTACACTAAATTCAAACAGAAGAAAAATATTCACGATTGCACGCGTTGAATCTGACTGATCAAAAGCTTTTTCAATAAGAAAAAACTACTTAAATTGGAAGACGAGTCAACTAGGAATCGCAATGTTGAAATGTAGAGGAGATGTGAAATGCTGCTAAAAGATCCTTTTATGGAAACAACATTAAAATCCTGTGATAACCAGAAATGTTATCTAAACTTCCTCCCGAGTCCAAACTTGAAAATAGAACTAATGAAGAGTAGAATACGAAAAAAAATAGGATGCAGCAAGCGTTCATAAGATGCTGAAATACTGTATACAAATGATGGTTAGTCTTCACTTTGACTATAGGTGCAAGGACGTGCAAGCGCAAACATTACAGATAGTAGACTAGTACCAAAACAAGTTAAAAAATTTCCCAATCAAGAATTTAGGAGTGATATATGTGTTTTGAAGGTCAGACAAATAGCAGAACCGTTGTAAACTACAAATAGCAACACAGCCTACAAGAAGTTCAACAAATGCGTCCAAGTCACTTATGACTGTCGTATCGTCTTCGACCAAAGGCCAACTGCATTCTTGCTGATCCTTTACCCGCCGCTCCAAATGAGCTATGTGTTCTTGCAGACCTTTCCAATCTTCAGTTCGAACGTAAATAGATCTTCTTACGGTTGGATTTGGATCCTATGTCGTTTTAAAGAGGACTCGTTTAACGGCATTTACGACATAAAAATCAAGAACAGCGGTGAGCAGAAGAATGCCTTACAAGCAATTCTGATACAAGTTCACTAGAAAGCGTGGTGAGCTGCGGGTCTGCATCTGACAGGACCTTCAGCATTTTCACGAATCCGTTAACGCATCGACCGAAGCTGGCAAGGGTGGAGTTTCTTAGCTTATCGAGCATTAAAAAGCTAACGCCAGGCGCCCGCACCGTAACATTCTTGGTTTCCTCCCTGCTAACGCTAATCTTCTTCGCCGTTGTACTAGAATGAGTGTCTGAAATATGCTATGCACAGTATATCACAAACCGATCGGTTTTATAGATTGCCGTGTTTTATTACGAACAGGCAAACTAGGTAAATTGACGTTTGAGCAGTCGGAGACAAGACTTCTTCTTAATTCCCTAAGGTAGCTAAAGTGACTAAGCGATAAACCATAACCTCACCTAAGAATCTTTTCTTTTTCATAAATTTCTTGGTTACTCATTGCAGCGACTGCAGACTCAACTATTTTACACATATCTTCAGGGCTTTTAAACTGAAAGGGTAAAGGAAAAATGATAAATACGTTTGATTCTTCAACATAATTAGTAGGAACCGCACCCAGCCTCCCATCCTCGTGAAATACGTATAGCCAGTGATCATTCTCCTTTCGAAGGCCAAGAAAGTAATCACCAGCCGAAAAGGAAATAGATTGGGGAAACCTCGCTGTAAACGGGAATCGAGACACAAACATTCAGTACAATAAATCCTAGAAATTGGTTGCTGCCAGGAGACAAGAGTAGTGCTCAATGCCAAGACTTTGCCAACGTGATTGGTCAGTTTTATGTCAGTTAAGTTTGCCTCAAAGATCCTCGCCTTGGTTAAGTTAATGTCATTAGTTCATTTCGCATATGTAAGCTAGACAAATGTCTTTCTAAAATAGACCTTTTTATACGCCGTAATTTTGTAAGATTGCTTTTATGGCGTTTTTTTTGAGAGCTCACTTTGGCTACAAAATGCATTACCTCGGTACTTACTACACAACTAGTTATATTTAAAGCATAACTACTTCTTTTTCAATTTTTAAACACTAACTTTACAACTTTTAATCAAAATTATAGTTAATTTTGGTATTCCTTTAGCCGTAATGTTGAAGGTCACAGGCATTTAAAAACGTCAGCCCACAGAGTGTCATTTTGGTGCTAACGTATGGATTTGTTCTATATGAGCATAGGCAGCTCCAAATAGTTTATATTTACCTATTTCCTACCATTTTGCAGGTCAATCACCGTCCTAATTCGCCAATTTCCTGAGACAAGAGCCTCAAGTACACTGTAATGCGATGGTTGTCTATCCCTCGGTATTGGCGAGGAACCACTTTCGAATTGGCCTTTTTTGTACCACGCCGGGTGAGCCGGCCTTTGGGCCATGCCAGTAGCCCAAACACCCTCTCTGCGATGAATACACATGTCCTAGTATTATGTCTTCTTTTGTCTTCAAGGAAGCCTCGGGGCGCTACAGTACTGTCACGAAGCGTGCCGTCGCAGCCGGATGTCAAAAGGTTTATAGTGTCTCGGGTCTTGGCTAAAGTCGTAATAAGCCAGGGTTGTGTAGAAGAACACATAACTGAGTTGCAAGGGAGCCAAGCTACTGTTAACATGACCCTCGGGGCCATCCTGCAAAACAGAAGTACAGCCTGCCAAGTCTCAGGCACTCGTGCAGTTAAGTACACAGTTAAACAAAGCACTGAACTGCTACAGTCAATGAAAACTGCCTATGGATAAAGGTGAGAGCTGATCTTGCGTTGCCACAAAGTGGTATTTGAAGTTGTAGATCCCCGGGCCTCCCCTTAAGTCATAATGAGACGCAAATAGGTGTAAAGGGGTGTGAACATGTCTAAACGGTTACATCACCGAGGTGGAAAGAAGCGCAGACGCTGAAGGTCACATACAGTTCAGTGTACTGTTTAAGTGTCTAATGAAAGTCGGGCGGACCTAGTTTATCCACATATTTTAGGTTATACTAATAATGTATATTTGATGTTTCAGAGACGAAAATGGCTACTATATCCAACATTACTAGCTATTCTTCTTGTGGCATCAAATGAACCAAATTGAGCGATTTTTAACTTTGAGGAACAATAGTCGGAGGTCCCCTAACAACAATTTGGAGATATAATCAAGTGAGTACTTAAATTTGGTGTCTTGAAAACTCAACAGTTTAAACAAATTAACACAACTGGTTTGGCGGAAACAAATAAATTATAGTTATCGAGATGGGAAATGTAGGCAGTAGCATATTCATTCGCGTAAGACTCCCGGAGGGATGCACACAATTTCGCTTAATACTTAATGGATGCATTAAACTCAGTTTGATCAGATCCACTGCTCTAGTTACGTTCGTGCTCATAAAGGAAGTCGGAACCCATGGTACGCATATTTCCGTTTGGTACATGGAATTCAATCACGGACCATCCATTAACGCACACGTGACTGAGTCCAGACGCAACCACCTATTTCATGTTAATCCGCCACTAAAGAACTTGGCACCTGACTTTTTATATAGTAGAAGCGTAAAAAGTCGACATTTGGTCAACTGTATGTTAAGCTACTCTGGATTTCTGGTCTCTGTAATTCAGACTACCGCCTGGCAGCACGACTTCCCGGGCATACTCACAGCCTCCCGGCACCTATGAGGTGTTAACAGATTTTATTACGTACTGAGATGGCTTATTATGCCATCAGAGAAGACTTGGGACGACACCCATAGTTCTGCAGAATAATAATAATAGTTACACCCGTTAACGGTGTGGAGGAAAATGAGTAATTTAACCACTACTAACAACTGCATACTGTTAGTAATTTTGCACTCGGTAAATTACTTCCAACGACGATAATTGCCTGACGGATTAGTTGAAGCAGATAAAAATCTTTATACCCCATTCCCCACCCTGTACAAGCCAGTAATTCGCATGCTATTCGGGCTTACGGGCTTACTGGAAAACACCCATAGAGCATAACCCCTCGCTTAGTAACCTAGGCTACGTGCTTTTCCTTGGCGTTGGAATGTGAGAATAAGCCCGAGACTACGGGCAACTTAGATCAGGATACGAACCACGCAAACTGTAAGGTTGCAAAACTCTGTCCTCGACTCGTGGGAAGTTAAGGTCTCCGTCACCCACTAACACGTGAGATAGCCGAGGACGCGACGTAGCAGGGACACCCGCTCGCGCTCCAGGACTCGCAGCTGCAGGCGCCTGTCCGGACGCCACCATCAAACTGCGCGACCCACCAGCTTCACAAATGTGATCGTATTCGCACACCAACGGTGCGAGGCAACCCACCAAAGGCAGAACCCAAGGGCCGCAAAATGCCGCTCAGAGGCAGACCCCCGATAGAGCGCTTACAATTTACCAACTGCGAAAACTGAGATCGCTTGCGCATTTTTATCCTCGCATATCCCCGCCCCTCACGTCATACCTAGCCACCGAAATGCACTAGAGGCCTGGGGACTGGACAACAAAAGAGACCCCAGCCCTTTCATTCGGAGTATACCGTATATGACTCAACTATCCAGTTGTTTTTCCAACTACGCTCACCCCCACAAAGGGTGGAGCCAACTGGATAACGATAACCACTACCAAAAAACGGCGACTACAAGGGGAACCAAACCTTGGTAACCAAGATAGTAGGAAACGCAAAGAGCTACATTGATTTGAAAATTATACTTAAACGATGAGAGTCACCACGATGATGAAGCACCAGTTGGTTAAACGTGGAAAACGTAAACCAACAAGTTAACTGTAAAAGAGTATAAGAAACATGCAACCTGAAGGACACCTACTAACGGCAGAAAACAAACCAATTATGGAAACTCAGACCGAACACCCCACCATAAAAGATTTTTTAGCTTCAATGCCGCGGAAGCATTGGCCTCGGTTTTGAGATTCTGAATGTAACAGGACGAAGACACGAAAAAAGAAATATGGATACCATTCATGAAAAACCTAAACTGATGGGGCAGTAATTCCAGGACTCGGAACTATAATTTCTCTTCAAAACACAGAAACACAACAGCCTGGCACGGCCACACTGGAAACTAAATAAACGAAAAGTAGCCAATGTTATAGAGCATCAGTAATAATAATCCACCCGTGCCCATATTCAATATACATTAAGCACAGGGACAGAGGAATTACAGAGAATATATGCCACCAGCAACGTCTTGACCTTTGGGGAGATTCTTCTGTTCTTCTACGGTCTGGTAAAAAAGGCGATCTGGATACTCAAGAACCTCCTTTATCCGACGACCGATCCGCATAATACTCTCCTTATTTTGCCAGTTCGATGTCCAGAGACTGAGCCTAACACCCCGAGTGCGTGGCTGAAAAACTGCACCACAAATCTCCTCGGATTCCTCCTCCGTCTCCCAAGCGTTGCCAACGATCAGCATCAGAAGTTCCTCCCAATACCTTAGCAAGTTTAAAGCCAAATCATAAAGTGGTGATAATATCGTCACTCCACGCAGCAACACACAAGGTAGACAAATACATTTCAGAACCGGAAAAAAAAACAAATAAAAAAGATACCGATTGACTTCGTTAAGGCTAGGCACATTAATTAGCCACCGACCGCCATTCTCATTTTTCGGGTCCTCCCACATGGGTTGGATGCCATCTTTGAAAACATATAAATCTGTGCCATTTGCAATATCCGACGGTGGCAGAGTATGCAGCATCATGCTCCAGAACCTCTCCACCGTATTGAAGGTGGTGACCTTCTGCATCCGCTGTTCCCATTCGAGGCCAAGAGAGTAATTGAAGACAAAGAAATTCCAACTAACGGAATGGAAGAGATTTCACGCGTTAAAGCTAACACTTGCGAAAAACTGAAGATAATCATTAAAAACGGACAAAATATTAGGCCCAAGTCAATATGTGTAAGTCAAAGAGTGGCTGAAACATACTTGTGAGTGTAAAAGACGAAGTGCTTTATTTGCAACATCAGAAAAAACTGGGCCAAACGACAAAGCATTGACTTAAATGCTCCCACACTTTAAAATAGTAAATTATCCTTTTGTAGTGCACACCAGAATATAAGATGGGTGAGTACAACTAATCAACATGTAAGCACTCACGAATACTGAAGATAATGACCGTCAGGCTCCCCCAACTCGCCCCTCTCCACTACAGCCATTTTAGTACTAGTAGTCGCAATGGCACGACAAAACGTGCGGAATTTTGGGCAGTGTAGTAAAACTAAGGTATATGTTTTAAATTGATGCAGAAATAGGAATTTTAACTAAAAAGCGTAAAAAACACAATCACTTTTGTAGACTTGTATAATGCAACCCCACCTGCGATAATGTGTAGTGTTCATTTGTCATTCTGTTGTGGCGCAGAACCGACGAGACATGCTCAAAACTAATGCAACAGCGCTTTTGCAAAACTACTCAGTCAGGCTGCATCTTGCATGCTTCTCTTCCCTACAAATTTTCACATGCAGACGTAGCTTGGAACATTCAAATAAAACATGCAGTACTGTAATACGACAGTGGTTTATCCCTCGGCACTGGTGAGGCGCCACTTTTGTACTTCGAATAATCCCCCTTTTATCTCGTTGGGTGGGCCGGCCTTTTGGGCCATGCCAATAGCCCAGACACCTACTCTGCGCTGAATACATATTCTGCCCGAGTATTATGTCTTCTTTCGTCTTCAGGGAGTCCCGGGACACTACAGTACTATACCCTCAAAACTGTTGGACAGCTTCTAATAAACACTAATTTACGCAATCGAGCCAGTAGTTTGCCATTAATTTCCCATTTATTTTAACTTTAGCAAGGCGCTTGCCTTCAATCACCAGTGATTAGGCTTTATTTGTGAGTAAAATTATACATTGTCAAATAAAACGCAGAGGATCAAACAGTAGCTACATTTGACAACTGGCAGGGCTACAGAGAAAGCCTCGCTAATTTGAGCATCTTTGTTTTAATGCTTATGGAATTGTATTAGGTGGCCCTAGCGACGAAACCCATAATTTTGTGGACCGATTGAACTAAAGGCGCAACGAATAGTAAGCGTAATGTTTTCACGATTTGAAAAATATCTAGTAGGGGAGGTGTAATATGTGCATTATCATAATTGCATAAATTCGCGAAAAGTATGCAAAATTCCATCGATATATATGCATGTGGTGGTTGGATGCCTTTTTTATATTTGCTTTCAATTGCGCGGCCGCTTCAGTCGCCGGAGGTTATAATACCACTCGGCGGCAAGTGCAACATCCCGAGTCTTCTCTGAAGGCGTAGGAAGTCATAGTGATATTTCAGAAAGCGTATTACTGACGCGCCGAAGAGCTGAGGCTGCTAGCATGGCCCGGAGGCCATTCGGCAGAGCAGAAGTACCGATACGGAATTATACAAGTAAAGTATTGCATCTTGACCTTCGGACTACAGTACTCCGGCATGTTACGACTTTATGGAAGAACGGGGGAGCTATACATACATGTAGTATGTGCTGTCCAAAACCTTAATTATCCAAAGCGTCCAACTTACTTTGTAATTAGCTTGTTCAAAATGCACAGTCCCTATATGGCAAGTTTCACCAGGGTGATAAGGCGACTCCCTTTGAAACCCCTGATTGATCTGGAAATGATATGGGGTAATTTTAGTGCGGAAGTGATAAATAAGAATGTCTGGCAGTGCAAACTACTTTGATTTATTCGAGGTGAAAATATTAGGATCACAGAGAGGAGGCAGTGTCTCGAAGCCTTGTTAAACAAATATGACGGGTTTGTCCGTAATCAACATCCGACGCATCGCTGAAGGCTGCATTATCGATCGGTCGGCGAACGTCGCTAGGAGGGCGCTAACAAATAGTAGGCAGACTCCAACGAAGTTAAAAATGGGACATTGCGCTAAAATGCACATAAATGCAGGATCAGATAATGATTATAAGACAACACCCTCTACCGTTTAATGGCTAAACCGAAAGTACTTCGAGGCACTCACTCCACTCACAGTTCCCTTTCTGGTAGGGCGCTGTCGAAGCTCCGCAGACCTCCTGCACGGGAATGGAGGCCCAGCCCGCGGGCCACGCAAACAGCCCGGCGAGGAGTAGAAGGTCTGAAGAAAAGGTCACAGTACCGTCAACATGCACTCCAGCTTACCCATCACCTACTTCTTCAAATGTGCATGCAAACATGCCTATGCAGGCGTCTTCCGAAACTACATTTCCCACCATAACCTTATGTGAATAAGATGTAGACGAAACAGCATTTCTTTAAATAGGACAGTGATAGTAACTTTTGTCAAGTAGAACAGTAGGCGAATTAATTCAATTCACGCATTTGTGTGAGGTCATTGGTTTTGGAAACAAGGCCATAGTAAATCAAATTCGTATTATTCTCTTATTTGTCTTAATCTTTTATATCACATAGAGTATAATTTTCACTCAACACCCATTTAATAGACTAATCTTCATTTACAATTCGTTTGTATTAGTTTTGTGTCTCGAGCATGTTTTAAAACTGCCTTTCTCTTATACTCAGTGAAGCAATTAGGTAGTATCGGAAGAACTAAAGTGGGACATCGGAAAGAGCAAGCTAGGACGGAATTGTAAGATTCAGTTTAACTTAAACACCTTATAGCAAACGGATTTCAGCACTACCTTGCCCCAACTTATAGCTAGTCCTGCATTGTGAAGATTGGAATTTCACAGAAACAAACTTTTAACACTTGCCAGTTGTTTATTTTTCCTTTTATGGGTTCTGGAAGAAGTCGGCATTTTGATGCTTACAAAATAATACTGAGTATAAACAGACTGAATGCGGAATAAAGACATTTGGTCAGGTAATAAAAGAATTCGGTGTGCCAATGAGTTGTACATCAGGTTAATACCTATCTATACTGCACAATGTAGCTGCTGCGGTTGCTTTGTGGAGCCTAATGTGACAAACTCCTATCAATCGACTAAAGGTAGATTTCTAGCATTGCTCTGTATTATCTACTTCAAATAATGAAATGTAAACAGCGGATCCCCACGGAAGTCGCAAATGATCCACCCAGAAAGATCATCATATTGAACAGTTTTTTTACAGAAAAGCTAACATTGAAGGCATTTGGCAAGCATTATATGTATGAGATTTGGCTAATTAAAAAAAAATCTTTGTGAGAAAGGTGCTAGATGAAACGGTGGATACGTCTATAGTCTTAAAATAAACTGCAACAGGCACGTTAAGGTCGGATTTAGCTTCAGATTCGGAGACCGCACCTGAGGAACTCGTTATATTTTGCATAAATCCTCCTTCGGTAGGTGGGTGGGTAGGGTTGTGTCTTCGAGGTCCGTGCGTAAGACGCGCGTGCCTGCATGCCACATGACGCTACACTTAGTTTTAGTCGCACTTGCGAGCATAAAAAGGCGTGTTCAGGGAGCGTTCCAACCGTTACGGTGGCAGCCGGCATTGAACTACACTAAGGTTTTACCTTCCCTATCTTGCCATTTCTAAAATGGACATGAAAGATCATGAATTAACACATGGAATTATGGGCGTTTGAAACATTATTTTGTCTACAAATTCTTGCATTAGGTGCGTTTAAATTTCAAAAAGGTATCATTTAACCGCGTTTCACAAGAGAAACTCAAACTAAGCAAGAGTCTCAAACATTAATTACTTGTGTTCATCCAATGTTCATTCACATCGAAAAAAGCTATTTAAATCTGAGCTCCAAGGTAGTCTTTTAACACTCAAAATCCACGAATTTCGAGTTAGCAATGAACAGGCAGAGGTCAGAGGCATTAATGACCAAAGTGTATTGATGTGCCGCTGGGCTCCATCCACGGATTTCAAAGGCAGATTTTTTTTTCGCGCTAAGTGTTTAAAAAAACACGGGGAAGTAAAAATTTGTTAAGATGTAACGCATTCCCCGATTTATATCAGCTTTGAGTTCAAACCCTAAATGCAGAGACTAAAGTTCTTCAATTCCTAAAGCGGCATTAAATAACTTAAAAGACAAAAAGAAGTTAGACGGGAGTATAAAAGAAATTATTTGTGTTTAAACACAGATAAATGCATGGTGATTTTCCTAGGGGAAATCAGAAGAAAAGCCAAAATATAGTAAATAGCCAAAAGCAAGGTCTTCATTTCATAAAATACCTAAAAATAAATATGGAGAAGTTGATCGAGTGCTATAGTTTATAGTGAATGAAACCCTTTCAAAGTCGCAAACTCACAAATTCAAATATGGATTTACAGGACCAACTTACTTGCTGTGTCTAGCATCATTTTAATAGGAGGACATAAACTGAAACTACTTAAGGAAAGGTTGACAGACAAGACAGGTTGATTTGGGAATTGCTACAGGGTTACTGCACACTGAACACATGGTCTTCCCACTGGAGTATCGAGTCTTGTGCGAAGCACAAGGGGTGGTGGGCAATTTGTCAAAACACCTTACGATAAAGGGGACGCGGTCACCACGGCCAACATGAGCTGCCATCATGAAATGGAATAAACAGCGCAAGGTCTGCAGTTCCACAACACCATTGGTTCAGGTTTCATCTAATGTTCCATGTGTCACAGCCTGATAAGCAAAATTTTGAGCCGAAATGAAAATATCGTTTTCCACTAATATGCTGAAGAGCCTGTCTGACCCCTTTGTTCCAGCTAATTTGGCGGAGTGAAAAAAATTAACTCCAGGGCCTTAGTTTTAAACCGTGCCCAAAAGCAGCTCAGGCAGAGGGGAGGTGTGTAAGCTGCACCGTATTTAATTTCGTACACGCCACACATTGGGAATTAAATGCACACGCTCCGACCGTCATCAGCTCATCAGGAGTAGTTTCTGTCGTCTTTCGAAGGAACTTTATGATAAGTGAATAATTAAGAGGTTTGTTTATATGTATTGATTATTCGGGCTTCTGTAACGCCTTTATTGAAACAGACACCGACGAATAAACCTCACCCTTTTCATCATGGTATTTTCGATTCTGTACTCTCCATGTCTAATTTGTTTTCATAAGACTGGAATCCCCTCTTGAGTTGAATTTGGAAGCAATGTATTGATAGTAACTACCATATCCAGCATTTTACGCAGTTTCCAAACAACCCTCTCCTAAGGCAGCAAATTCGTTTCAAAGTACTAGAATCGCTACTTTACATTTATCATGAAGTTAGCGAGAAATACCTTTTCATCACTCGGATGAAGGTGGCTCATCAACTGTTTATTTTAATTGTAAGTTTGCATGAGGTTGCTTTTCCCATTTCTCCAGCCTTTTAAATCATGAAGAGGACAACATAAACCTTAATGAATAGCTTCAATGCTGTTTAATAAGTGTATCCTATCAATAACTTTTCTGAAAGTGGTCATCATTTGGCTTCCGGTGAACGAGATTAATGAAAAATAACACAGCAAAAATGCACTTACAGCATTATATTGCAAACTGTAACGGACATAAGGAAAGGGATTAATGCTTGATATCAGCAAAAATTGCATAAATTGAGTGAAAAACTGCAAGTTGATCATTTTGCACGATTCTCAGACTTTATTGAGCACTAAAACAAGAGGAAATTCAACCAGTGTCCTAAAAGATCTTTATACAAAACAGTTTCCAAATTCCTCACAAGTGTACATATTTTAAACAATGGCAATTGTCGGAGGAAGAAGTTAAAAAGAAAATAAGTGTTCTCCGCATTACCAGACGATGCGGTAAGGTAAAGAAATTGTAACCCACCGGCAACGCATTGGAGGAGTCCAGTGACCTGGAAGACGCTGCGACCACAGAGCTCGCGTTTACAAAGGGAGAGACAGAGGAGGAAGTGGGCGAGCAGCAGTATGCCAGCGCCACTGAGGAGGAGCAGACTACCTGTCCATGCGGCGGCGTTCGAGACCGCAGGCTTCTGGCCGCCACCCCACAGCGAGAGGCGGCAGTAAACGCGCGCCCCGGAGTTCCACATCCACCGCAACGAGCGGGCGGGTCTGTGGCCTGGACAGGCGGTCTCACAACTGAACACTGGTCCAAGGGAAGGGGATGCGTAGTGCAGCGTCTCCAACGCCGCAGGGCTAGTTGGGTGCAAGATGGTCTGGCAGTTAGTTTCCCAGATGGAGCTGTCAATTTCCACGCGTTGCAGCCATCCGTTGCTGAAGAGACTGATAAGGATAAAGGCCAGGGAAGAGGTGGAGAATAGCATCCATACTAGTGAAACGACACTGACTACTATCCTCTTCATCTCAGCCGGAGAGGAATTGGCAGAATGGCACACACCTCGACGCTACTTAGCGATGCAGGCACATTGCCTCGCACGCGTTGCCGCGTGCGTCCATCCGATTGGTCAACTCGAGGTCCAATTTCTTTAGCCATTATGCTGCCCGTTTGAAACACAAACACAAGTTTTGATTTTTTTTAATATGAATTTTGCGCCATGATTATTTTTTACTGGCTTATGAATAATCCAACGTCTACCGATTCAGGTGTGTAGCAAAGTGCTTGAACACATGAAGAGACATTTACATTGCGACAGATTCCATCTCCTGTATGCTCATTGAGGAAAGCATAAAACTGCTGGATCTCTATTGGAAGTTCCAGAGGTAGGTAAAAAATACTGCTTAATGTTAGGAACCCTGCGAAACATACCTTTATTTACGACGTGAATGATTCGCGAGTTGGCCAAAGCCCCACTTCCGTTTAAGGGACATGGTAACTTAGAGTAAGTTAAGTGATAGATAGATGAATTAGATATGATCTCTTTGTTGTGCCATTGGGAAAACATTGGGTATCAGCAGCGCATAGAGTACAGCGAGAACAGTGTCAAGCCTGGCATAACGCAGACAACATATTACCAAATAAACAGTAACTAAAACATGGTAGTTTAAACTCATAAGCGGCTAATATTTTCTACAGTTTAAAAGGAAATAACTGTTTTAAAACAACAGATAAATGCTTTATATTGTATCTTCCCTCATTAGATACTCTCGACATTTTGTCAAAATGTGTTAATTAGGTCTCTCTGGGTTCGCTATGGTCGGTGATGCATCTTTATCTGACAATCATTTTTGCCAATCCTTATTTTTGCATTAAAGGAATATTGCTTTGTTCGAAAATGACTTTCAATATTAAGGATAACTGGGAAGTTTCCGGACACTACTTCGAGTGCTATCGCCTAGCTGGTACCCATGATTGATAAAAAATATGGCGCCAAGACTATCATACGTTCAATGGCATCAACACTTGAATGATAAACCTCTTACGATATTAAAAATCCGCAGGATTTGTACTACCCTCCTGTGGATTCTTTCATAGGTGTTAACTTTTAGGAAAATGATGGTGGTTTAAAGCTTACCGCAGATGATTGACGTCTGCACAAAAGTCACCACGACGAAAAATAAATTTGATCACCAATAGTCCCCCATTTCAAAGTCGCAAGTCGAGCACTAAATACGCATACCTACGCATCTCCCCCACTCCTAGTGGTCCAACTGCGACGCGGTGGCATGCTGGGAAGTTACCCACCCTAGTGCCGGATTTGCTTAACAACAAACACGTTAGCAGCAGTCTACCTCTAAGCAGAGTCCAATGACATAACTCTGACTGGCGATTCATCCAAGGGATCCAACCCAACTTCCTTCTTATGCATAATGAAGTCACGGCTATTAAGCTTCAGCAGGTGCCACTAATGCTAGATGTCCTCCTCCATGTTGTAGGCACCCAAAATGATTCCTCAGGGACGTGAGCTACGCCATCTTCATGGTAGACACTAGATCACAATGAAGGGGCTGAGCGTCTTACATGCATACCGTTTAATGAATGGGTAAAACATGTGGAAGTAATCATGCAACCTCTGAAGAGGAAGAAGCAATGCCATTCCAAAAAATCCAAAAAAAAAGTTTCAGCACAGGTGATTTTGGCAAGGACATATTGCGTACTCCTGTTAAAAGGTTAATAAGTGATTAATCTCGCTATTTTAGATACAATTTGACACAACATTTACTGTCACCCGTTGTCATGACGCCCGCTCGAAATACATCAAAATATACCAAATCCTATGACCAACTAATAAAATGGAAAGGAAGTTTTGTTTTGTGCAAAAAAAGTATGGCAAGAAGGCATAATAGGGAGTTTGGTCAGTCTAGTTATTTTTTATCCCAAAATGTACTCATATGATCGGAATCCAACATGCTACACTCAAGCAGTGAATCCAAATAAGCACCAGTCGAAAATGTAATCTTTGAAATTCAAGAAGACGGCCTTATGACTTGTGTTTAGTGACCAAAATTTTGTGAAAGATTTAATGTGCGCCACCTAATCGTATTAAAATTGGGAGGTGGGGGGGGGGGGTGGTAGATCTGAAAGCTTAGATTAACAATAGCAAATAAACACATTATTATACCGAGCCCAACGACGCAAGATATCGTGCGAGCCTACAAGCATAGCTACACATGTTCTCGAACGAAATTGTAAGAGCGTACCCTTGCATAAATCTCACAGAACTACAGCCTATAGAACGTTAACACGATGTTACGTAATTCCAACACTTTAACCTATCCATGATTGAGAAACGCGTTGTCGTCACACAATAAACAGGCGACAGAGGTCATTCATAATCCACGGCCTCTAAATCTCTATCAATAATGAATCAAAATTAGAACGATATGAACCCATTTAAAGAACGTCGGATAGCAAAAGGCAAGCCTCGTCATCCATCGTTGTTAATCTGTGATCACTGGAACGAAAAGGCGTATAACACAGAGTAAAACCATATAAATATACAGACATTATTGCTGTGAAGAGCTAGAAGCTGAAAAAACAACAATGAAACAGGATTAAATGCTCAGACACACACACACCCACGAGAATGTGTGAGTCTGCAAGAAGAGACAAATGCAACAAGTGGAAATGTGAACTAGGAGGTTGTAGATGAGGTCGGTGCGTGTAAGGGCATGGGATAGCTGGAATGTGGCTAAGGGGTGGAAGGGGGCGAAACTGCCGACTCGGAGGGAGATTCCATGGAAGAGGGCAAGATGCGAGTGGGCACTGTTTTCTTCCGGCGATTAAGTGACGCTGTCGAAATTGGAGACTGATTATTTTGAGGTGTTGGCGAGCTATCTTTACCAATGGTGTTTTGAAGGTGATCCTCCTTCATTATCGAAGAAGAAGTTGATATTTTTCCACCCAGCCTACGCGTTTCAAACCAGCCATTGACCTAGAAGGCAGAAAAAAGCATCATTGTCAGATGCATGACGGCATTTAAACAAAAAATGGGTTATTTTATGACAAAAAATCGAATGCCAACAAAATAAGTCATCAATATATTAGCCAAAATTATCCATTCATTAGTAAATTAGCTTCGGTGAGCGTAATGCACCTGAAAATTGGCAAGTATGCCAAGAATTCCGAAAAGCCCGTATGCCATGTTAAATATCGAAGTAAGGTGAGAGACAACGAACATAACAGCAGAAAAATGAGATTGAAAGCCCGACTTGAAGAATGCAGGAGCAGGGGATACTCAGCTCTACCACTAAACCAAATACCGTAATTAATGAATTAAAATTATGCTTTTCCTTTTGTTTGAGATCCCAGGACATGGTTATTAAACGTGGTTAATCTGGGAATCAGTGTACGACCCCCTCGATAGACAAAAAAGACGTGATTCGTAGTCTGCCGAAAGCTTTTGCCTATTCGCCACATAAAGGAGCGACCTGGAACAGGCAAAAAATGCGGTCAAAATTATGCTCGAAAGCCTGCCATTCATTAGACAGTGCTAAGCGTTTGAAGGAAAACCCCCTCCTCAGCCAGATTCTGCCACCCCCATCAATCACCGTCAGGCAAATTTCAAACCCATTCATTCGCGTGTTGCTTCCTCACGAAGCAGGCACGAAAACTACGGACAACCATTTTGAGTTTCCTTGAGTACCACTCTCCGGGTCATGAACAGATTCCTTAAATTGTTTGGCAAACAATAATTACTTTAATAGAGTATGGGCATAAAATGTTATCGGAATAATGCTTACATCTTCAAGAGAACAGCAAATTTGCTTCGCAAGTTCACTGATATCATTGGGATCGGGCTGAGGGCACTGGTCAAAAAAGTTGACGAGGACGTCTAACTGTTGATTAGTTAGTTGCTTTGATTCCGTGTCTACTACAGCGGAAGATCCACTTTCCGTACGTTGGCGCTTTGACTTCCGCTCCGCGACATTTTCACTGGCGTCTGACGGAAAAAGATAAATTATGCAGTGCTCCAGGTAATAATTGACAAAATTCTATAGAATTTCCTTAGCATATGGCACAATGGTTGTTTATCTAGTTTTCTGCATACCACAGCGTCACAGTGAATGCCACGAATTAGTTGTACCATTGCTGTACCGTCTTATGGGAGGGAATAAAAGATAAATTCCGCATTCAAAAGCAAATAACAAAATAAGCAACACGGTTCACTCATTTATTGCCACTCAGCAAACCAAAAAGAATTCATGTTAAGGTTGTGAAAGTTCTTTTAATGTGCAAAAGAAAAATAAGCCAAAGGGGCAAAACTCACCATCATTAAGTCCAGAAGCCAAACGTACTGAATCCACCCAGAGTTTGAGTCGCACATAGGACTCTCTGGGTTTGTTGCCGGAAATCTGATCCCACGGTCGGCATTTGCAAAGAAGATCAGAGACAGAGGCTTGACTTAGCCCCAAAATTGTGTTCCCCAGAGCACGTTGGGTCATTGAAGTGGTGTTAAGAAGCTGAAAGGCATTCAATACCACTTAGTGGATTCAAATTTCATCTTCCAACTACGTCAATTACATGTAAAAACAAATAATGCCATTTGAAATATTTCAGCAAAAAGCAAAATTACAAGATAAGAAAAAGTACAAGCTTGGCATCGGCCACTGTTTTCATAACATCAAAGCCCTCCTTAAGAAGACGTTGGGCTTCGGAAGATCGGATACTAATGGACGACCGACTGCAATTGTCTGATTTGCAGGAGAGGGAGGCGGCGGCCATGGGAGTGGCTGTTATGTTGACTCGGGGTGGTGTGGAGACGGAGTCCATAACGCTCGTCGATTTAAATGAATCTGCGGTGTCACCAGGAAGCGAATCTTGTTGAGATTTTGGCGAGACATCCTCAGATTTCTCATGTTTTACCGCCAGCGCACCCTCCTTCCCCGCCGATATGTCTTCACACCGTAAAACGAAATATTAGGATAAAGAAAGTTTGGATAGTGTTCCATTTACACAGCTTAGACACTAGTATCTAGATTATAACTAAGTGCATAAGGAATCGGGATTACTAGATCGCTCAGTTTAAGCGTAAACCACAATTCTTATGTCATAGTTACCGACGCACTCAGTCCATGGCTACCCAGTTAATCACAAAAAAGTGAAACAGAGCAAACACTGCTGGCAAAAAATAGTTGTTTATACAATATTCCATTAAGCATGAACTAGCAAAACGTTTGGGGAAGCCCTCTGTTGAAAACAGTCGCTTTTCTGTTGTTTTCATACTTCTCTGTCAATCTAAAACGCAAGTGTTCTAGCAGAGTTTGATGGTTTACTTAATTGATTACAACCGCACACTAATCACACTAGTTCGCATTCGTATCTAAAAATTAACAAAGACGAAGGTTTTAGGAGAGAAATAGATAAGGAGAGAGCCGTTCAAAAGGGAAAATGAACGCATATCACAGAACCAAAAAACCTATTTTTGTCGAAAGATATTGTATTTGTCGCTTGACGATTCCAACGTGACAGCCGCGTAACAGCAAAGTTCATAAGAATTACACCCGCTTATGTAATATTTTCTCCTACCGCATGGAATTTTAACACCGCGTAAACACTTTTAGGCTATTTATCGACAGATAAATCTGACGAGAGAATTCGATCGGCCTAGTTGATTAGCATGTTGAAGAAAGCAGTGTAGTTTACTCCTGTAAATGTTTGACTAGTGCTACTTTTCAAGAACATGAGTCATTCAGTAAACTAGTGCCTAATGGACGCTGATTCCCGTCATTTTGGTTGCTTTCAAGACTTACCGGAATTCCCATATGCCGCTAATAGTAAGGCCTTCGTCGCTAAGAGTAACTGTTTCGCTTAACATAAATATATTCCGATTGAGAAAATAGTCAAAAACGAAAAATTCCTCCAAAGAGATGTAAATTATGGAAGTACAATTCAAGCAGGTTGAGAAAACATGACAGCTTGCATAAACATGTGCCAAGTAATACGGATGGAGACGGAAGGTACAATCGCAGAGAATCACAGGGAAGCATAGACATAAACCTTTCCTAAAACATGTGACAAAGCCAAACTACACATAAATTTCGTCGGCAGATTTCAGTGAACACTCGAAGTCATCCTAGCTTCCACGTGTATTCGGTTTCAAACGGTGCAATCAAAGCGGCACCATGTCTGGTCCTCGCAACACCGTTGTGTGGCATAAGTCCTTTATAAACTCAAAAGGCAAACTATTTAAACTGAAATCGAGAATGCTCTGCTAAATATTCGCAAACAGATGAGCCTTTTTTTATAACGTTGCTGGCATTTCGTAATGCTTAAAACATCATGCGACTAAATAAAATCCGAAAAAAGGTGGGGGATCTCGAGCTACTGTGAGGATCAAACAGCGAATAGACTTGGTTATAATAAGGGATCGGTACGCTCAATAAATAAGTTTTGTAACCAAGGTCGATATTAATCTGGTAGCAATACTATCAGAAGGTATGAATTTCACAAGAGTTTTGACGTCATTGATACCCATGAATCATGCAAAAGAATTGTTATAGCAGAAGAGTGAGATAAAACTGGCTCGATTTTCAACACTTATGAGCAGTTATAGTAATATGAACAAAGCTGTGAAATACACACGTTTAGCATTCATAGCCAATCAGATGCAGCAAATGAAAAGTTGGAAGAGTATTCAACGCTATTTATGCAATTCAGGCCATGCAATGAAAAACGTCCCCAGAAAGTCGATGATGATGGAAACTCCAGCTCCACTTAATAAAAAATACGGATGTACATAGGCGGCTGTTCTGTCCATGCTAGGAACGCAGCTGATTTGAGTGCCTATTTCCCACGTACACCAACACCGACACCCACACCTTCACAACCGCTACATCTACGCCTGTTGCGTCGTCCAACCTACTGTTCAGATCTGTCTTGCTTACCCCAGATTGCCAAGCCCAACTCGTGTGCCTGTTTCTAACCAAAATCGGATAACTGAGGTATCACTTCTTTACAATTAAGTTGTTCTATAGTGTTTTGGGACGAATGAGTTTGAAATGCCTAGGGCTTAATTTGTGCAGTTATAACAGTGAAAATGTAAAAAACCTAAGCTAACATCTGCCACATGAAAAGCGTAAGAATTTTAGGACTGTATACCTGCCCAGAGTTATCGTCATGGTAGTTGGTAGCATAACTCTCCTAAAAATATAGGTTTTAGGACTGAATGCTTCTATTAAAGGAAAAAAATACGTCACGGTCTAACGGTGCTTTTCAGGTTTCACGTTTAGTTGAAAGCAAATGGCAGTATTGACTGACATTAAGCTAAACCGTGAATAGCGAAAGTAACAACCCCACTGATACTTTAAAAGCCCGTTACTGTTGACTACTGAGGGCGGTAAACAAATGACTTAATTGACATTTACAATACGGAGCCAAGAACTTCAAAATGGTTAAAAAAGCATAGCGCGCATATTTTAAGAATGATAGAAGTCAAATTTCTCAATTGTTATAGCTCCAAAGTTTAAAAAGCACGTTAGAGAAGCATAGTAAAAGGAAGGCAGTTGAACAATGAACAATCGAACTCACTGTACTCAAAGCCATTCAAAGAGCGTGGATTTTCCAAAAAAAGTTTCATACGAATGAACGGTTCCCGGCCCTTGTTGGTAAGCATTGACCAAGGTTTCGGCCTAGTTAGGAGATCTGACACACTTCCTTGCGAGAGACCTAAAAATCCACGGATGAAAATAATGGTATAATTGAATAAAATTTCAGTAAACAGTACATGTGAGCAGAGGTGAAAATTGTGGGGAGGCAACTTGCCAAGCACATTCTGACCGAAAGAGCGCTGACTGATGGCGCACTTGAGTAGCATGTCCTTGGTCTGGCGGGCAATCTCTGAGGTGTCGAGAAGCATGGGCCGGCGATACTTGGCCGGGATGGGCGGTAGCTGTGGGAGCGTTGAAGGGGAGGCGGAGGAAGCCGACGGCGTTCTCTCTCCCGTCACGGCTGACTTGCGGGGACTCTCACGGTTTCCCAACGTCGATACCACCATTCCCTCATCGACACCCGCTCCCAACGCCATTGGAAGTTTGCCCACTTCTCTTCCTCCTCCTCCTCCTCCTCCGTTTGTGGCGCTCAAGAGTGGTAGGATGGGCGGCAGCGCTGCAGCCTCATCTTGAACACCCAGCAGGCAACTGGACAAGTTGGGCTGCTTAAGTACGCAAACACCAATCGTCTAGTTTATAACCATACGCCTTGCGGCGAAACATATGTTCAGGAAGTGATCTATGCTATTAAATTAACTAAACAGGCGAAGCCGTAAGATGGACGTGATCATTCGCAGCGATAAGAAATTCATCGTTTTCTGGAACAAGAAGAATCCATCTCAGTTCGGATGTAGTACTTTTGTACATGCCAAAAAAAAATCACCAAATAGCTAGCCAGAAACTGCCTCATAAGCTTCTAGGGAGGAAGTAACAAAAAAAGAATATGAGAAGGAGCAGAAAGAACTTAAAAAAACACTTTACTATTTGACATTACATGCCCGGATAAATGTGCAACTGGAAAAAGACTGAGTTAGCAGCGTTCTTGGAAGTCAAGTTTACAGCTCCAGTATTTGCTCTAAGTGATCCGTTAATCAACTCAATTAACCATGGACCCCTGGTGCTCAATTTGATAGCTGTTATATTCTTAACTTTGTAGTGGTCTTCTCTGCGTCAGAAAACTGAAGCTGGGAATGTTCAAAGCATCGTTGAGTCAAATAACTACGAAATTGTATTGCTAGCAGCAAAATATGTGAATACAAATGAGGCGTAGATAAGAAAGTTGTGGAAAGCCTGATAGACAAATTACAGTCTCATCTGGAACTGTTTACTCACGGTATTTGTGGTATTTAATAAGGCAAGGGGAAACAGACAACTTACCTGTTCAGTGCGTTTAGCTAGGAAGGGTTGCAATGCACACAATGGTTAGAAAAAAAAGAACACCGTAAATATAATTGAATATGTCGTGGACTCACAAATGTAAAGTGTAATGTATCCATTTGTGTATTGCATTCATATTCGACAGTCATCACACCTAACCCACCCAAACCAGGGAATTTCATACTTGCATCGTGCTAAAGAAAGCGATTTTTGATGCTGCGGAAACACTACCTCACCGTAAAATATGATTTCCTAGAATATTTATTAACACTTTTCCGACAAAGAATCACCAGGATCCTAAAAACAACCCTTCCGTGCCTAACATCGCCGCTTAAAGACCTAATGGACTTACGTTCACTCGACTATTTCACAGCCCAAACAGCGAAATCACTGGGTCTACCAATTTTGCAAACCAAATCACCCAACGGCGCATGCACCTCTCTTAAAGTGACTCAGACGTCCAGGCGACAAACCTTTTCGCCCCAAAATGCATCATCGCCGTTTTTCATGAGCGGTATGAATGCAAACTTCCTCGGATGTAAAGGTGGGTGGGTGATTTGAAAAATAGCGCCTGTTTAAATTCGACTAGCGATAGCAGTTGCCACGTCGTTCCGGGGGGGGGGGGGGGAATTACGCGAGTGGAGGTCCCGCAATAACTTTCAATTTAGACCCCAAGAATGCAAACTGCTAATAGCCAAACGTCAAAACAGCGTTTGGAGGAGACAGCTGCGTGGCCGAATGTAGAATACAAAAAAAGTGGAACCAAAACCTACTGGCGAAATTATTGGTGTAGGATGTCAAGGAAGATAATTTGGGCCTACACTACTTCTTCTGGTCGGAACGCCTATTCGAAGTTTGGGCATAAAATATTGGGAAAACAAAAACCCAAGATAGAAAACAATGACATCGCTAGCTACATGTACTCAGTTTCAACAAGGTTTACTATTTCATAAAATTTCTATAGTTTTTGGCAAGTAGCGACACTGGAGTTGATATCACTAAAAGATGAGTTTAGTACGCTTCTCCCTTATTTTAAATGATGCGACACAGAATTAGTCAAAGCCTCACATTCCGGTTGGATAGGACAGATAAGAGGTAACGCAAGGAACCGGATTCCCCAAACGGTATTGGTATTAGAAGTAATAGCCTAATTCGGATAAGCCGCCAACCTGATCGATTGATTGAATAGATTTTGCATCCTCACTGGACGAGGCCGAACCAGATGCCTGAACTTCGAGACGTTCCTTCTCCTCTGCAGCCATTTCAAGTCGCGCGTTCATGAGGAGCTTGGCGATTTTGGCCTTCGTCACAGGCGCGGTTTGCTCACCACCGAAGCCTCCATTAGCGACGAAACGGCGAGATCTGCGAGCTGGTACGGCACCAGGTGTGGAGGCGGGGGGTGGTGGGGGAAGAGCGGGCAGGGTCAGAGTACAATTAGTTTTCCCTTCATCCTGTTGCAGCTTTTCTGCTGCCAAGCGACAGGCTAGACGTCTGCTGGCCCAAAATCGTGAACTATTCAGCGCAAAGGAGTGTTTACCTGTCAGTCAAATTTAAAAAATTCTATTTAGACACCAATCATAGATAGGATACGTGCATGCTTTAGTCGTACCAACTTACTAGATGATTGGATAAAGTAATAAAATTAGAAATTTTAACTTTTTCGCTTTTTTTGGGGAGTAGGGTTTTCGAACAAATATGCAAACTTGAGTTAATGAAGATCAAATTATGTGGACATGATCAGTAGACATTGGAAAATGTAGACGCCTGTCTGTAGATGACTTATTTTTACATCTGACAAGTGCTAAATCAACTAATACAATTAGCGTTCGGCTGATAATGGATGATCATACTGTCTTTTATGAAATAATTTAAAAATGTCTGGAAGACAAGCGCCAGTGCGTCAAATCGACATTTTGAATGGGGCTGACGATTTATATCCAGCTACAAAAAGGCGAGGAGGAGTGAAAACGAGACACTGATGGAACAACAATGTCAGACAAGGCACAAGACTAGAACGCTACTTCAATCAGCATGACAAGAGAATGTGGTAACAAGGGGTATCAAACCGAAGAAAAACACACTTCACGAAACTTCTCATTAAAATCATATTAGATACCTATTTATTCTTTTCTTAGGATTAAGCTGTCCTATGGTAAAGCATACACACACACTAGATCCTCCCTATTAGCCCTTGGAAATTCAATCTAGGCTTCCTAACTGTGGAGGGCATGGTGATTGTGGTATTGAAATATGACTATTCACCAAATTGCTTTCGCAAACGAATTACTACACACCACATTTCAGTAACACCCTTTTACCCTTAAATAGTAGGATTTTTGGCAAATTGGTCGTTCTACCGAAACAAAGCAGCATCACGAGAATTTGACAAACACACAAGCACACAGATGTTCAAGTGACCCTAAATGCTATCCTACTGGCTGTATGGTTGTATTTAACTGAATCAAGTCGGATGACCCCCGCACCAGCCAAAAGACGAGATGTTAGTTAGTTTAAGGACCATAGAAGTTTAGACAACAGACCAAAGTCCACAAACAACAAGAAGTTTGTTTCATGTTTAGTGAGAATGTCAGGGCGAGTTAGCTGATCAGTTCTATGAAACTAGAGGGAGTTAAACAGTGGGCAAATATTATGCTGAATCTGAGAGAGGTCAAAATGACTTACTACGCGAAGGGAAGCATGATTTTTCGCCGCTCCCAGCTTTGGGAGGCTCTGCAGCGGACAGAAGTGTATCGTCACCATAGACTGCGGTGAATCTGGCTTCCAGAGAGGTTATCTTCGACTGGACAGAGGTCAACTTGACCTTCATTTCATCCAAAGTGACTGCAATCTTTTTAACCTGAGCATAAAAGCACAAAAGCAGCAAGTGCACGGGTGTGGCTAGATGTTTCAGCTCAATAAACACTAAAGTGGGATTAATAAAATGTATTCTCACGACAGTATACTTCCTCAGCAGTAAGTAGTGCCAATCAACTTTAATAACAAGATAAAGGTCATGATCTTGGAGTCGAAGTAACTTGAATGAGTAAGCAAACTAAAACTGCCACCGAAGGCAGGTAAGCTTACAGTATCGGCAAAGGCATCTGGCTGTAGCGTTGAAACTTCCGTTTGACTGCTATAGGCAAAAACAACCGTAAGCCTGGTATAATTAATTGAAAAGACATATACGTGGCATGCTTTACCTTTTGTGTCGAAAGCGGTTATAATTCTGACAAGGGAATGCTGTGGTTTCCTGGGCAGAGTTGCAAAACCGTCGACGGGGCACATTCGGACTGACAGGTTTAGCGAGAATGGGTATGGGGATGTTGTGACCTCGTGATGGCGAATTGAAAATAGGACCAGCGGAGAGTTTATCCAAAGGTTTAGAGGCTCTGATAAAGGGATTGAGATAGCACTTCTAATGGACCATAGGCTTTGGGTGCATATATGTACCAGGATCCCAATCGTTGAAAACATCACACCGTCAATCAAAAGTCGAGTCAAGATCATACCAAAATGGAGTGGGATTTCAGTGCTTCGCGACAGAGCCGACCTCTGATATAGCATTTAGAGCCTTAAGGCGGTATATCGCTTAAGAAATGCATTAAGCTTCGTTAGATTGACGAAATTAAATTACTTTAATCGTCAGCGAAAAATAGTGAGTTTAACCTCATCAAATCCGCCTATTTCAAGAAGCGATGCTCAAGGTAGCTATACCCAAGGCGTTAGCGTGGTTCTCATCGTGAGGCACGAGATGCCTAGGCTGCGCCTTGTGATTCCCAACGAAAAAATCATATCACTGTATTCAGCTAACCTAACAACAAGTGATGGGGGAGGATAATAGGTAAGAGGGTTTAGCTGAGATATAAACGGTGGAAACTAGAGAAGAGGGCGAAAGGAGGAGAGAAGAGCATTCGTAATGCGGCTGTCTTTACGGGCGCGCGGAACGTACGCACGGATGCACGTGTGCACGCACACGCACAAAGCAGGCGATCCCTACTGGTCGGTTTGATGACTGATAGACCGATATCGATAGTACAAGAGTGCGTGCGTGAGTGCCCTCGGGAGTTTGTGATTGGATTGTTTGCTGGTAATTAGCCTCAGTAAATGTCGGAACTGGCGGCAAGCGCTGATGCACGAATCTGATTTGGGAACTATCAGAAATAACATGTTTATTTAATAGATAGTATACTCAGCTTATCATCAATATCTCGTTAACAAAAAGGGGTTGGGTAACGTGCCATGATTACCAAAGGCTCTGTGATCTCAAGATTCCATCCAGAATAAATAGCAGAAATCGATATAAGGAAACCGATCTCGCAGAGTAAGCCTATTTTTCAAGTTTGGGTGGACGAACCTCCATGCAATCATGAGAAAAATCCTTTCGCATAACGTCTTCATAATCCCAACAACGTACATGTCTCCACCGCCCTAACGAACTAAAAAAAGCATTCTGGGAGTTTCAATAAATTGTTCCAAACGAAGATGTGGAATGCTCTGAGTATATCTGTCAGTGGTTGTCCAGAACGCGATGCAAGAGTTAGGGTGAGAATAAATATGGTTGACTAGATAATAAAATGGGCGCGTCGGTCATCCAACTGACAAGCATGCATAAAATTAATTAGCAAAGCAAATGAATGAAGAACTGAAACCCATACACCGACATCATAATAGCATTCATGGAAGGCAAAAATGACAAATTGGGAACTTATCAACTACCCGAAATCCCAAAGGTAAACCTTACTACAAGGAAATTAGCATTTGATAAGCTGTTCATAACAGTATCAAAGCATCTTCGCCCTGTTTTCGACACTGGAGTGGTACACAGATCTTATCTCAGTTAAAATTGCACCGTATTAACATTTTACTAATGAGGAAGCTGGTTGGTTCAAATAAACTGTAATGAGCTATAAAATATGCACTACAGTACAAGTTTTCATCGATGAGTGATGAAACCAGAAGCTATTTGTGCGTGCAAGGCTTAATGACTAAATTCTCAAATGTATCCGATTTCACATTTAGTGAAATGCATTTCCTAGTGGTGTCGTCAAACCAGTTGGGTAACGAATGAACACGATTTTGGCAGTGGTAGTGCCATCAACATGTCTTTGACCAAAGTTGATTAAAACTCCTCTGAGATCTACCAAGCGTAACTTTAATACCAGACCACTCGTCGCTCAGCTCAAGATCACCTCAACACGACACGAAGTAGGCGTGCATTTCAAAATGTAAACGCTTGAATACGAGCCACGTGCACTCATAGCCAATATAGCAGTCTAAATGAGCAGAAAACTGCAAGTTAACAAGCCTCGTACAGAAGGAAGAAAGTAGGAAATGCTTTGAGGGCGAGGATTGCCATCTGGATGCGAAAGCGCACAGACCACACGCGTTAATATGGCAACGCGATTGGACAGCCAGTCAACCGATAGGCCGATATCGATATAGTACGAGTGCACACGTGCGGGCTACATTATGACTCTGATTGGCTCTGTTAACCAACGCACGCCTAGTCAGTCTATCTGCTTTTCGCCCCAACTCAAATCGCGGCTGTGGGAATGAAAATGGCCACTTTTAAGGTTACACACGCAGTCTGAATGCAGAATAAAATAACATGAGGGTAAAGAAGCCGGGCTAATAGAGGTAATGCAAAGTAAAATAATACCAAATTAGAAAAACAAGAAGGCTCTAGTAGCTATAATCACAGGGCTACAGCTTAAATTGCATCATAACAAAAATTTGCCCAAAAAAGAGAACAGTATTCGAAAACGACGCACCTATTTCATTTCCAGGTGAGATGAAATTCACACAGGGCGATAAGAGTCATGACTACTGTGTGGATTTTACCAATTCAAAAAATAAACTTAATTCAGTCTGAGCATATGGATTTTTTATTGTTAAAACATTTACTAGATATATTGACATCCCTAAGCGAATTAATGCGTGCAATCTATAACAGAACCATAAAAATTCGCGCATTATAGGCAAGTAATATTCACGTGTCAATCCCAACAATCAGTAATTTAAGCAGAAGCTTATTTCATCACAAGGACCAAGCATATAGCAGTATTGTAATTCTCGCAAAATCAACCAAATGCAATACTTTGATGGGGACTAGATACAAATTACAGAGATCATCACAAATAATATTAATTTCAGCAAAACAAAGCCATATCGGGTCAAGCAACGTACATGAGATTATTTTGATGCAAAGCGCCCTCTCTAAAGGCCGTTCCATAAATAATAACAATGAAGGCAAACCTACACATTATTAAGCTGCACCGTGATTAGCTGCGCAGTGGGAACCAAGCCCATTGATAGGGGAGCCGCAGAATTAATAACGATATCTTTTTTCATTGCTTCAGAACCGCAAATTGGTGGTTGATTTAGAGCACGCTTTGCTACATTTACAGCCTCTTCATTCACAACCTTCGGGTAGTTTGATTGCTCCTGCTTCATGGTTGCAAAAACATTGTTCTAAAATGAGGTAAGCGAAAAGTAAATTGTATTTGTTAGCATGTGTCCGTGAACCGTCTCTATTGCTGGCGCTAATATATACACAGGGAGGTACAAAAAAGGTAATGATGTACTACTGTGATGTGCATGATTGTGGTCTAATTTGAAATCAAAAGAGATGACGCCACAATGAATCGATGGATCAAATTGTTAGGCGCACATGAAAACCGATCGATACCTCCCAATACATATGGACCCGCGTTTTGTTGAGAGTGAAGACACTGGACCTGCCACTAAATAGCATTTGATAGGAATATTATCGAATACTTGAATGACTAGCGAAATTATTCAGAGCTACTTGCATATCAAAGTATTGATGAGACTATGGGATTCCCACTTATTCAGCTATGCACAAAAGTATAACAAACATGGTTCATAATTACGCTACGACTGAGAAAATGATAAACAGAGTGGTGGCTGAGTGAGCAAATGCGGCAGCAGACGAATAGCTAAATAAAATTTTAGACAAAGTTATACAGCAATTTCGGGAACACCGAAAACGGCACTAGTCACCCATTTGTTCATGTATCAGAAAATGACTTTAGACGCATGTTAAATGTCAGTATCACAACAGCTGAAAATGAAAAAGTGTGTGAGTTTTGTGCACAGAGAACAGTATAAAAGGATGATTTTGGAATTCACAAACAGCAAGTTTACCTATTTTATAATTAACGAACGTAGGGTTCCTCCAGACTACTGACTAAAAAAAAGACTGTACAACAATCTAGCTAATGGTATTATGCTACATTTTTCGCATATAAATAGTTGTCTCATCGGAAACTGTTTAAAGTTTTGCATGAAAGGAATCAAAGTGGAAGGTACCAGGCACAATGGGTCCAATAATTCTGCAGCGGAAGAATAACAAAGAGCTAAATGGTTTTACAGGTACGGGTGTCGGATTCCCCTGGTTACTTATGGAACAGATTTGTCGGGGGCTTTAGCATGAATAATTCATAGTGGTACACAATTGCGTGAGTGGCATTTTGGACGATTAGTAATCGAAGCAGACTGAGTGGTGATGAGATTTAGCAATGGTTTAGATTGCAGCCACTTGAAAATTTGCAACGATAAACAACTAATAGAGTAGATGGAAAAAAGAATGCCTTAGCGGATTGCAATCACTATCAAGGAAGAAGTACGCATAATGAGTAGTAACATTATCCAGGCAAATTTGCGTGCTTCTTGTGGAAAGTCTCTGTAAGCAAGTGCCTAACCCTCAAAGGCCTATGAAAATGTTGTATAGTTTCACAGAAAATGTACCGAAACTAGATAAGTACTAAATAGCTACTTCGAGACATAAATTTCCAAAATAAGTTAACACACCGCGTTTGCCCTCAAACTGCTTGTATCGGCGTTCATTGATTAGGATTGTTTGGATATTTGGCATTCTCCACTAAAAGTGTGGGACGTAAAACATGTTATTAAAATATGTTTAACAATTAAGAATGTGCGGGCGTCAGAATACTTAGAATGTGTTATTATTCATAGTGAAAAATGTAAAAAGCATGTGTAACACACTACCATTAAACACTTATATATAGCGTAAAATTTTGGGGCGGTAATACCAGGCATCATACTTCTATAATCTTAGATCACTTTTGCTGAATTTACCTACCAAAAATGACTAATGCATCCGTTAAAAGGGGTATTATAACGTTGACTTTACCCAAGACGAAGCAAAATTGATCTCAAAGATTCCGATGTATTGCATAAAATAATCCTAAGTAAAGCAAAACTCGGGCATACCACTAGACAACACCACCGCCGAAATCACCGGATAACTTATAGACTGCACATCAAAAAGTTTAAAAAGTTCAAGGTCAAATGAGTTCTGCAAAAGTTTATAAAATGCAACTTAAAATTAATTACAATCCAGTAAATCCTACTCATTAATTATATGATGATTTTAATGGTCTTGCAATAAGTCACCCTTTTTTATGCTAATGCATGTAGCTGAATTTGTCAACTCAATATTTGTACAATATATTCCTTTTTAAAGCACCAAATAGGACGTTTTAACGACTTTTTGAATAGTCTTTACGTCTGGTAGGTTAGTAGAAAAATTGTCAGTGATTTACGATTTTAATATTCTGCGAATAGGTCCCGACCAGTATACAACCTTTTAGCATGAATTAAAATTTGGGACTATCACGTGACTACGCAGTTAAACTCTTGATTCCATATGATAAATGAAATTTAAACGCTCTGTCTGAAGCAGTAGAGCCCTAATATACTACACTGTTTTGATCCTAATAACGCGAAATCTGGTCCTAAATTTGCCTGTAATATTTAACCTTTTTTACTGAATCTTCCCTAAATGCTCTACCAATGATTCATGCGGCTCAAATATCAAAACATCTAACCTAATTCTACCATATAACTACCACATTATTTGTACTAGTGACTGATTAATTCGCAGTCGGTTATATGCCTTACTGGGTTTTACTACACTGATTTCACACTTCTCGGCACTTTATTTATGTGCATTTACTTGTTAGGAACGCAAATGCCTCGCCTTTACCGTTTGAACTTGATAAACATGTAAATGATAAGCCAATTCCCTGTATTCGCTTCCATGTTACGAAGACTTGTCCTTTTTGTAAGTCTGTGTTGCGTCAAGTTTAAAATACACCAATTTGTAATGGATTCTCCGTAATCATAGAACAGCCACACCATTGGGATGCAGAGAGTTCGAGTGCCGACATCAGCGAATCATGAGCCCCGGTTAGAGCCGATTTGCACAAAGAAGGAGGGTGAGGAGCGCACCCATTTAATCGCCCCGTTGTTGCGTACGTGCACGTGAGGCCTGCTCGTGCGCACCGCCGTCGCGTGACGCATGCACAGACACGTTCAACGCGAATGCGTGCTTGTGCGTGCGGATGCAGTTGTGATAAGCGCGCAGATCAATACGCACATGCATAATGCTTGCGCCTACCTCCGCGTGCACACGCATGTTCATGTGATTCATGCAATCTTCGATCCACTCCACTTGTTGCGCACGACGCACGCATCCCAAGCACACTCCAAATACTCACCTTTGCTTTTGCATAACGCCGCAGGAAAGAGAACTTGCTGCCTGCAGCCGCACTGAACCGGCAGCACGGACCCAAGCCAATTACTAGCAATATTTGTAGCGCAGCATATAGAGGGCCCTTAACTTCTCGGCCTACCTCCTTAATGCCGATACAGAAGAGTCGCATCGACTCACATCGTCGCCTATGTCAGAAGGCAAACCAAACCCGACAGCCTTTTGGCACAGCATCTCTCCGCTGTGAATCTGCTGTCAGCTTTATGGTTACTTTCAGCTCTGTGCCAAACGATTGAACCTTTCAAAGCAAAAATAACTACAGCGTGGTGGAATGTCAAAAACAAACGTTGTGAAGGGGCACTGTGCCAGTGGGCTATAGCGTGAGGTAGACAGAACATTCTAAAACTGAGGAACCGATCAACTTACAAATGCAGGGGCTGGTTGTGACACCACGATGGCGACTACATCACATACACTGCGTCACAGAGACAATTTCAAGCAATAATAATGTACGAAGCATCGGACTTAAGAACCAAATCAATTTTCTGCAGAAGATGCACGATGTCAGAAGAAGAACTGTCAGGTGAAGTCACGTAGTAAAACGCTCATCTGATGGGAGAAAACTCACGGGTCGTACCCCCGACCACAACAGGGTGACGTTTAAGTGCTTCCTGACGCAAAGCTGACTAAAGATACAAGGCTTTCTTGCTTTAAAAATAACTAACGCCGAACCGAAGAAAAATCTGAATAAAAGACCACTGATGTCATTCACCTCAGCAGTGGCGGGTCGAAATCAAATCAGCCGGCCGGCGCCACATCAACGAAGACGAAAACGTACGACGTGCAAAACAGATTAGCAAACTGCTTAACACTAAGTGTAGGCTCTCATTCCTTGGGTGTAAAACTGATGGGCAAATTCGCGATACTCCCACATCCTAACAAAGTAGACACCCCTATGGCATCGATAGGCACGCGACTAACCGGCATGGATGATCAATCGCACCAACTTCGTGCAGGCGACAATCTAATCAGTAGCAAAGATGATCCTAAACTCGAAGGTAGATTTCCCAGATTAAACTATCCAGACTTTACCAGAGGACGTTAACTTATACGTGGCACCCTCGTGTGAACACACCAAATTTCAAAACCTACAGCCACAAAGTGAGCATGGGATGTACATCTATCCAAAAGCGGAGAGCAGGTTAGCCACATTATCAGATTGCAGTTCCCTTTGAAGTTCGCATATTTACAGAGAAATAATACATCAGAAGCTGATTGAGATGATCAAGGCGACTTAGATAGATTACAAGTAACAGTAACAATTCAGAGCGCTGACTGAAAATTGACTTATTAAATTTGCCAGGTGTGTTTATTCAATCCAGTACACAACAATGTGAGCAGAAAGGAAGTGTACTAAAAGAATATTTCGATTCATTATAATAGTGGCAAAACACATGAAATGAAGGTGCAACTGATAAGAGGGCCCGTAGATTATATCTGCGGCAACCCGCTTATCTGTCGTTGCTGATAAGAGTAGCGGATGGCTTTAATTCATATAAATGATCGTGCAAAAGCGAGACTGAATGCAAGAGCCATGGGGGAGGAGGAGGGTAGAGTACAGACGTGGCGATCAGGGTCAAACACAGTGCGGCGTATCGGCTGACCGCATAAGAAAAAGAACATGAGACCTACCAGTCAGCAGAGGATTAAGAGTTAGGGAAAAGTAGAAAGCGTAAGGCGGCAATGCGCGTGCAGACATGATTCGAAGGTCAGTGCAAGAGAAGCTTGTTGGAAAGACGTTTGGCTGCATGGACATTTTGGACGTTAGCAACTTCTTCGATCAGATAGTATTTGTCCTGTCGTACTCCGCCTCAAGTAATCAAACTGACTCGTTCAGAACTAGTGCTTTTACAGAATACACAAAATAAAAAACGATGGAAACTGGCGAGTGAAACTGAATTGCGCGAGAAGTTGGTGTTCCTCGTTCGCTTAAAGAACTCGACATCGAGCTTTCTTGGTTTGTGGTGGCTCGAGAGTCGCCAAAATGGCCTCGTCGAAAACATTTTTTAAGCCACACTAAAAATGTAAAACCAGTAAACCAAAGTTGAGCAACTAGATTCGGTCGGTGCAAAACGAGTACAGGAGCCCAAAACCAAGCCGACAGGAGGAATATCATAGTAAGGCTTCAAGGATTGAGCAGAACTTTGAATAGACACTTTAACCTCCAAATCAGACACAAAGAAACGCAAGAACCTAGGTAACTAGTTTTACTACATTCGAGGGGAGGCAATACGACGAAGCCCAAATTATGCTTATAAGACAATTTATGGCTAAAATGATTTTTAGACGGTATGTCTGCCGGCAGAGACAAATAAAAAATAAGACCCTCTTACGCACTCCAGTTCATTAGTGCAAGAGTAGAAAAGCCCGATAACTTAAAGCAGCAAGGGAACTTTTCACTGATATATGTACACTTACACAAATGCCTTAAAATTGTCTCACATTAAAAGGGGATAAGTAACCACAATAGGAACTAGCCCGAGAAGAAATGTTGGAAGCGATATCTACAGGTAATAACCAAGTGAATTTACCTGTGTGAGTGCAGAGCACTCGACGTATTTGTAAGCCTTTATCTCCTTAGCCAATTTTTCGCCTTGTTCATAAGAAATCGGCTTTTGTCGATTACGCATCAATTTATCTAAGGTGGCAGTGTCGTCTCGAAGATCAATCTGCGTGCCAACCAAAAGATATGGCGTATTTGGCGCGTGATGTTTCACTTCGTTGAACCACTAAACCAGAAAAACGAAAGACATTTGAAATCTAACGACAAAACAGAACATGCAACATTGAGTAGGAAGTGAATGCACATTAAAAAACGTACAACCTAAGAACCTTAACCTTAAATAGGAAAATTAAACAACTCAAGCGATAGCTTTAAGCGAAAAAATTATCCCGGGTGCATTATGTATGATCCGCCAACCTTCTCTTTCACATTAGCAAAGGAGGTGGGATTGACAACTGAAAAGCACAACAAAAAAATGTCCGTCTGCGGATAACTAAGGGGACGCAGCCGATCATAATCCTCCTGACCAGCCGTATCAAAGAGAGCAAGAACCATAGGATCTCCGCCAATCATCACAGTTACGGCATAATTATCAAAGACCTAAAGGATGTACTACAAATTGAGACATACCGTAGGAACGTATTCTGACGGGAATTTATTTGTTGTATAAGATATCAAAAGGCACGTTTTACCCACCGCTCCATCTCCAACAACGACACACTTCATCGTCCGATTAGAGGTATTCATTTCCACAAGCTAAAAATTCACTCTATTTAACCAAAGAGCGCATACACAAGTGGGAGGACTAAAACAAATTTAAATATTAAGAAAAAAAACCTATGACCCTTTAAAGTGCACTGAAACTGTACTACAAAGGCTTCAAAAATAAAAATTAGTACTATAAAGAAAAATTAAGTTAAGAAGCAAACTAAGATTAAAATATATAAGAGCATCGTTTCAGCTTTGCAAAAGCAAACTACCACTGTCTAAAGTAAAGCTAAAGTGACTTTTGGCTGATCGTTAGTATGTACAGATAGCAAAAAAGCAATAATTTGGTTTCGAAACTTGACATATGCGATTTCAATATTAAACGACATTTCGCAAGTTTTTAATGACGGCAATCGTAGAGGTCTAAAAACACCTGATTGCTATTGCAGCGTTACGTTAATGCACTTTTTATTTTATCTTCTTGTGCACCAGCAATGGATGATTCACACATGAAATGATCTCTGTCTTCAGCTGTTCTTGACGCGCAGCATTGACCCCTTCAGTGAAGAAATAGCCGCACACCGGTTAATGCACCTATTACCGCGCAATATAATTAGACAGATATGTTGAGGACTGCTTTAAGTTAGAATTACGACCACTGCACTCATTCTGTTGAGGCACATCTAGTGTGTCGTAATAGCAACAGTTCACCCGTTATCACTTATTGTGAATAACACAATTTGGTCTGGGTTTGCGAATATGACTGTGGGGCTGCGAGAGCCTTAGTTTTGCTAATCTACAGGAGGGTGTTTGAAATTGTAGCGTCCCGAGACTCCCTGAAGACGAAAGAAGACACAATACTCTGGCAGGATGTACATATTCAGCACGGAGAAGGTGTCTAGGCTATTGGCATGGCCCAAAAGGCCGGCCCACCCAGCGAGGTACAAGGGGCCTAATTCAAAGTACAAAAGTGGCGCCTCACCAGAACTGAGGGGTAAACCACTATCGTATTACAAAAGAGCTTGTGCACATTGGAGGTGTTCCATCTAAAGGTAGTAATTCGCGACACGATCTTACTTTTAATAAATTGTTTAAATATTTGATTACTTGCATGATCTCTTTCAAATCTTACAAAATATCAATTTAAATAAACTATCAAAATATTATAATATTTCCTGCGTGGAAAAGGAGTACACTGGCTCTTGCACCCGTTTGTATTTAGTTTTTTATATCTTTTCCTTCTTTACTACTGTTAATTTTCTAAACTACTAAGACGTACTATTAGTAGAGTATTTACTGTAATATTCCCGACATTAAATTGCTTTTTGTGTAACTTACTTTTGCCTTTCTGGTGCTTTTTCTGTAGCGTTTTCAAGTAGCCTACTGATTATTAAACCTAGTTCGTGCTTAAAGCATTCTGTTTGTCCTAATTTTTTGAATTTAATAACTTAGATTAATAATCAATCGACTGTCTGATAGCCAATCCCCAGCCTTGATTGGTAGGCTTTCTTCCCCGAAGCGTGGTATTTGTCTTTGCCGTCTGCGCTTTTCGTGATTTGTCGCCTCGTGATGGGTTTTGCCAATGATGTAAACTTGTGCTTTCAGTTGCTCTAGTTTAAGGCTGACAGTGCAATAACTAACTCCGGATTATGTTTGATAGCTTGGGATTCTCATCCTGATTGCTTAATAGATATGTAATGAGGGTTACTATGCGCCTTTCATAGCTTTTATTATTGGTATACGCATGTTGAAAGGAAGCGTGTAATTAGCACTTCTAGTTACTCGAATAGTATACAAGGTCTTTTAGTTGCCTGTGTACCCAGTATGTTTACTCAACCATATCGGGAAAAACCCAGTTCTATATGTGTATGATTGGGGGCTATCAAGTTGCCTGTAAGTCACTTGCGTATTTCATGATTACTTAGTGTATGCTTGAGTGCATCCCATATTTACAAACTTTGCATTTGGCAATATAAACAGATGCGCCTTACTTTTATTTGCAGACTGCTTCCAGATGTCGGTTCTGCAACGAACAGTTCGATTGTTGGGGCGAGCAGCCAGTGTGCCGTATATGCCATGCTTTCCTCTACGACTACGCCACTAGTGATATTCTCAGTGATATTAAGTCTTCGGATGAGAAGGAGGCGTCTAATGACAGCGGGACGGAGGAGCTAGAATCGGAGACAGACCAAAGGAGGGACTCACACACCTCGTCCTTCCGATGCAACACTGCATCTAACTCTTCGCACAGTGTTTGTCCATTTCAGCGGCACATGGTACCTCCTTCGTGGCTGAACAAACGGTTTCCTTGCATGCCTACTACGTCCAATTCACCACCCAATTATACCCTAGAAAAATTGCCCAAAGAGATTCTTATCCGTTTGTTTGACTACCTCGATGACTTTTCCATTTGGGGTCTTCGCCTTGCTTCCTCCCGACTTCGTGCAATCATTGACAGTGAAATAACCGAAGCCAGATGGGCCTCATTTGTAGCTCATCGATGGCCAATATTTGTACCTCGTCATCGGATCTCTTCCTGGCGCCTCCTCTACCTCAATATGATGGATAGCGTCACGTGCAGTTTGTGCTTGTCCCGCATTCACTTTCCCACCATTTTCCCAATAGATATTCCAGGAGTGCGGTTCCGTCGTATAATTTCCGAAATACGCAGTCTCTGTGCGGACCCGCCATACGGGATTAAGGCGCTGGCTCTCGATACGGACACCTACGCTCACTGTCTAGCCGGCATTGCTGGTCCTCCTGCATCTCCCTACGAGGGAGGCCTTTTCTATGTCCATATCTTAATTCCTGATAGCCACCCAATGCGCCCACCCGTAGTCAGATTCCTCACACGCATTCTGCACCCAAACATCAGTTTCCATGGCGATATTGGTTTGGATTGCATTCGACACAATTGGAGTTTGGCACTTACTCTAGACAAAGTCCTCTTGAGTATTCAATCATTGCTTACCGAGCCTTATACAAAAGTTTGCATGGAACCGGCAATTGGTCGGCTATACAACCAAAGTCGAGATAAGTTTGAGAAGCTTGCCAAGTTGTGGACGTGGAAGTATGCTTGTCACGATTATCTCTCAACCGACTTTGTCTCCCAACTTCCAATCCCTGACTGCATTGTCTAAGCATATTCTCTGGCAAGGCACTTTTGCGCAAATTCTTTTTTTTTTTGAACTACCGACCTCTGTGTTTCAATGTGCTTTTGGTGTGTAGCATATGGCTATGCATCGTTGTATGATAAAATCTATTCCGCTTGGATGATGACCGCTGCAAGTTAATGTGGTGCGAAACAAATGTGCCAAGTTTTTTGTGTACCTTGATGGGCATTTGTATGTTTCGTGACTTACTGCTGGGAGGATTTGTAGTCGTGCCTGCACCTAGGCAACGTGAATGGTTTATCCATCGATAGCTAGTAACTAGCAAGTGCAAAGCTACTTCAGGTGATCAGGCGACAAAGTACTCTGTTATTTTCCCCTTTTTAGTAAAAATCGGGGCGTAAGTAAGCAGTAGAGTTTTTTGCTGGCTGGTTAGACCTCAATCCGCGGTAGTGATCGCAGTTGATTCCCGTTTGAGGCGGCCGACTAAATGCGCTCCTTAAACCGCCTGAATGGTTAATCAGCAAAACACTGATGTGAATGATCGCTTGATTCTCCGTATATTTGCAAAAAAGATATTTGAACGATGCTTTCGACTCTTCAAACACCGAATAATAGGGCCACAAATTTGTTTTAATTGTGTGGGACATTATATGCGCCAAAAGCGTTAGATTTTCAGTCACTATAAAGCCTTTGGAACTATCTCTTATCGAGCATAATACTTTCGGTCAAATTTACGACTAATAGTACTGTAATTTGTGAATTAAATCCGACGCAAAATACAGCCACCATTGAAGTAAGGGCACAGCTATTGGCAGATGGGAATTTGTGGAATCGCGCCGAGTGCTTTAAACCAATAAATGATAAATTCCAATGTAATATTTGATGCGCCGACGGGGCGTTGGTTAGAGATTTTCCAATTTGGAAGTGCGCGATGGGACTCACAATAGGTGAATATTCCAATTACAAACAAAAGCAGGGTGTGGAGGTAGGAATGCGAATCGTTTATTTGGTCAAAACGTATACGGTTGCCGCACATAATTACCGGCGATTTTACTAGTACATTGTCCTGTTTTGTGAACGCGTACACTACTTATCCTTTCACTGCAAATCATAGGCTTTGATTGTTTAAACCGACAAACGAAACAGGAAAAGCAATGGGTAATAAGCGGACAAATCTTTTCATTGCACAATTTGCCGTTGAGGCTTCTAAATCAAGTGAGGAGTGATAGCAGTTTTTCCATCTTCTCGATTTCTACTTTTATTGGGTCAGGCTTTTCTAAACCCTTCTTCTCCTACAAGTGAGAGGTTAAACATGTTTCGTGGAGCACAGGAATCACAAACAGGTTTTTCTGTAAAGAGGTGCATTTTAAAGTGAAATTGTGACAGACGCGAAAATTCTAAAGTGTGGAGAATAAATTCTTTAAATCTCCTGGTTCCACCCATGAGATACTTCATTCTTGACCCTAGTAATTTTGCACGAATATCAACGTACCTTTGGTTTCTTTCTCAGATTCGGAGAGAGCTTCAATGACATAACTTGACCTCTAAAAACATTAGAAGGCAAAAAAGCATCTTATCATGTAAGTTTTTTTCTTTAGCCAAAATATTTCAACATTATTGTGCCATGTGGTTTGTATTTTCCGATGAAATAGTAAACATAGTAAGAAATCCTCATTTCAGAATAATATATTTGCTCAAAAAATGCAAGATCTAGTGCACCTTACATTGCTAATGCCATAATTTACACCGCAAATAATAAGCATTTTGGAAACCAGTTAGCGATTAGTTGGATTCCGGCCTACATACGCCTTGTCATGAAGAATGTTGGTCAGATGTGATTCTTCCCGACAAGTAAAAAACCATTAATTCAAACGAAACAAAAACGGTAAAATTGGCTACAAAACATAAAATCAACAAGAACCTGGGCGGTTTTGTAATTCAGTCCAAATGACGATTCCTTTTATATTGGTCGACACAAAAAATTGATCTCAAGAGTAGCTACATGAACCCATATTTCTATTCCGTACGGTATATAGCTAATTCCATACAAAAACCGTGATTTTTAACCTGTCGTCGCCGCAGATGATGATGGGATGGACTGGGTTGAAGGCCACATGAGTCAACTTGGTGTGCTTCTTCTGAGCGACCATTTGGAGACAGAGGGGTTCGTACTTATTGACGTTGAGGTCGTAAATGCGGACATTTCCATCAGAGGTGACAGCAGCAAAAACCGTTGACGAGTAGGGTGCCCATGCGACATCCCCGACGGGCGCGCCCAAATCGAAGACGAACAGCGGATCCCTGCATACACAATGCCGAAAACTGAAAGGCCCTCGGCCTCTATGCGATTATGCCTATGGTATGCTCATAGGTTCCGGCTTTTATTTATGAATCAAGTGTAAAAATCAGCAAATTGTATCAAATTCATAGAGGTTTTGAGTGCAAATTAGCATGAGCCACTATTTGTTAACAAAAAGCGTTAACTTTAGCTAAGTCTGCTTTGGCGGCAGTAAGATTGATGCTGATATAAATTATAGCAATATTCAACATTATTTTGCAGACTTGTCACACAGATCAAAACTCACTAACTTCAGGGTGCCGTAAAAAAAACAAAATTGTTCGCCTTCAGTGCTTTTAACAATTCTGCATGCGGATGAAAGGTGATGAGAGCACTCACTCTTTGTATTGATGCCATATCTTGACGGTCCAATCAGCCGAACAAGTGATGAAGATATCATCGTGGAAGTAGTTCCAGTTCAGTCTGTACACGGCCATATTATGCGCCTTCAGGGTCAACAAATACTCCGAGCCATAGGTCCGGCTGCATTTATGAATCATCCCCTCCTCCGTGGCGATTAAGAAGATTTGCGAATCCTTTCTGTGGAACTCCAGTGCTGTCCCACTCTCTATATATTTACGCAAAGATATGAGAATAGATGTAAATTAGCTAATATATTCTATCGGGGCAGTTTATACGTAGGCACTTCCCTCAACATGGTCTTTGTAGTCAGAGCTTTGATTATTTGACAAATCATTCAGTGCTGGATCCAATTGTTGGTAAGCCAGACTCTTGAAATGGAGGTATTGTCGTGATTGACAACAGCATACACGATGCTCTATGGCTTACGCACAATGTTTCTGTTCGGCATTAAATTAAATTCAGCATGCCCAAGATTAAACAAAGTAGCCTTACCTTTGGCATTTTAGGAAAAATGCATGTATTATTCAGACCTAAAAAGCATTCAACTCTGGGAATTTTCTTCAAACTAGTAGAAATGTAGTTCTCGACGAGTGTTGTTTGATAAGTTATTGAAAACCTAGGGTTACGCTTTTTGACTTGAAGCATGTGTGGTTTCCATGAAGTGAGGAAAACACTGCCTCTAATAAATTCAAATATTTCAGAATCACAAACCTAAAGCAGAAGTTTTATGGAAGAGTGAATGAAATTGATGGGGTTTTATAAGCGATGCGATGAGCTAGTTTCCTGTTAGTTTATCTATGCTTTACTTGAGATTTGTGATCCCCATATGACAGATCAAAGACTGTTCTTACCATGCGAAGACACCTGCAGAGACCCTGGATCATCATTTGCTTCCTTTGGCAGCTGCATAAGTAGGATATCGTAGCACGTGATATCATCCTTGAAATAGTAACATAGACGCCAATTAGGTGGTTCACTTTTTCACTTGATAGCACCGGGGTCGAACAGAGCGATTAACTGCAAGTTTTACTGGAACATCAGAACATGGGACGATCGTCCACTCGCGTAAAACACATTTAACAGCAGAGGAAAGGAAAACCAAACATCCTTTTAAGGTAAATAATCGCTTTAAAATTTGCTGCAAATCTCTTTAGAAGTATAGGGAAGAAAAACATCCAATTTTTGTTGGAAATTATCGGTAATAAAGCTAACATTGTGCAAGCATATGCGGAAAACTAGTCACTTGGGCGATCACTAAATGTACTAAAACTGAGTGAACACAAAACGGTTTAATTAGTCGGTTTCCTAGACTTAAAATTATGGAATTCAAGATGAGAAGGATATATCTATTGAAAGAATAGATCCACTACTATCTATTCTGTTTAAGTACATCATAGAGTTTGTAATTACGGTGTAGCTGAAAGTCATTATGCGCATATTTGCCATACGCCACAAATCCGCGCTTAAGCAAATCGGAAAATAACAATTTTGGTAAGCACCAGAGAATGTTTTTATTATAAGGAACATAACATAACGAACTGCATATAAACATTCAGACAGGGTAGAAATTCCCCAAAACTCACGGGACATTCATGAAAAGCGCCGACACCGGACTTAAAAAAAACATTTGGCGAGAGAATCATAAACGTGCGTGCTCTAAGTCACTGCAACAATCACCATGTGGCTCAAGTAAATATGTGTATGTAAGCTTACTTAATTTTACCATCACATAAGGAAATAAGCTGTTTGGATATACAAGCTTCAAGCACACCTTAAGAATGCTCCAACTGGAAACACGACCATCTGAACTGATGGAGTAAAATACTCTATTTGGTTGTTCATCGTGAGGGAGCCAGCGGACCTGCCAAACGGGATCAGTATTTTTATTTGAATATGCCGTGCTGATGTAAAGGGGTCCGACCTTTTCCTGATTTAGTTTGTACACGCCAACCGAACCATCATAAAAACCAACGCAAATCAAAGAGTGATATTCGGGGTGTATATCAAGACAGAGCACACCCGATTCTGTTCGAAAAGTATATTCAGGATATCCAGGGTTTTTAATTGAATAAAAGCATATCATTCCACCACCTTGCTTCAAAAAATCATCTGGAAAAGCCAATGTAGAAAACAAACATATTTACCATAAATCGTGAATTTCTAGTTCAATTAAAAAAACTAGGCTCATTAATTAAGGCAATACAAAGCTCATGATTTTTGACAACGGAACAATTAAGGCCTTACGAGAACCAAGTCCAACAGCAAATAAGTCGTTATAACGTATAGACCAACAGAGCGCAGTTACAACCATTTTTCTAGACTTCTCATAAGTGAATTTCCACAAAGGCAATAAAGTTCCCAAAGAATCTCGGAATTCATCGGAAATATCTTCATAAAAAGCGAAATCTTGTAGTACATCATCAAATGTGTTTTGATTAATCATTCTTTCAACAATTTTAATGGGCTTAAGAAAGGCTGTGAGACCGTCAACCTAGAGATCCATTACATAAATAACACAACAAACACTTGAATCGGATGTCTGCCGTTTGTTGAAAGACTTGGTTTTGTTCGGCCGTACCAATGAGTGTTTTATATCTGCCGAAATTCCCTGTTTTTAAATTTAGATATAAGAGTATTAAGACCTTGTTGGCCGTTCCCGACTGATAAAAATCGTAGACACCCCACTGAGTAATATTTCCAGAAAAATTACTTCTAGCTGGTGGTTCAGTTTGGTTACCAAAGTCCTATTTAATGCAAAGCAAAAATTTTGAGTACCTTTGAGGCATTGTTGTACGTTTGACTCGCGTGTTCGCAAAAATTAAATTGGTTGACCAGCTTTATGACGGACGGTTCAGCAGAGCGCTGAACTAAGGCAGGTGCTTGCGAACCCTTTTAAGATAAAATGGTGTGAAACGAATCAAAATTTTACGCACCTCTTGTTCTTCTTCAACTTCATCTATCTTGTCCTCAGTAATAAAGGTAGGGTCTAGTAAGCCTAATTGGATTTTTGCCTCTTCTGAATCCACATGTATTATATTTCCATCTAGTTGGAAGTGTATAGCCATTTGATCAACACGTGGAATTTGTTTATATTGATTCTCCTTTTCTAAAGTTCGATGAAAAAATAAAGGGAACCTTAAAGTTAAATCGAACGATATTATCAGGACCATGTGGATCAGCCGCTGTTAGTACACGCGTTATCTCTTCTTTTAATTCCTTTTAAGTAAATAAGGGTATAAGTTTCACCTCTTCGCTTAATTGCAGTTGATCATTTGGGTGTACAGGCGCATCCTCGGAAAATGGGTCTGACACATCCTCAACCTTAACACTCTTTCTCTGCGTTTTAAAGTTTGCCTAGTACCAATAGTTTTAGTCATATGTAGAACCTTCTTTCTATTCATGAAAAATTTCAACGATTGTCAAACCAAACTTTAAATTAATGCAAATAAACCAGCTGTGTATTGATATGACGACGTCCACATTTAATGGATTCAAACACGACACATAAAAAACGAAGCCAGTAAAAAATGTGTGGAAAACTAATGAGCCTCCCACACATTTTGCACTTTGATCTTAGTGTTACATTTTTGATAGAGCAAATATTTCCGTTCATTTTTAAAGCAAGCAAGCTAATTTCGACCCTATTAACGAGACGGTAGAATTTATTTTTTGAATCAAGGGTGTGGTTTAAGTATTCATTTCCAAAAAGATAAATTTCTACGTTAGATAAAGTGACACGAACTCACGTTGGTCCATCTTCTGCATTAGAAAGAAAAAAACTGGATTCCTTGAATAATTCGTAATACTTTTTTGTTTGTTTAATTGTCGGTTCCGGTAAAGACCTACTTTGTGTCTTGACCAGTGTATCTCGCCGGGTAGGCTGGCTCCCGGGCCAAGCCGGTACCCCCTACCAATGTAGTCCACTGAGACTTCCTTGAAGACAAAAGAATACAGTAATGGAGCAGAACACTTGCGTACATTTAATCGGCAGAAGGGATAGAAGATACTAAAGTGGCCCGGACGCCAGCTCACCAGACGAGGTGCACTAGTCTCTCACCATAATCTACAATTAAACACAGCCAACGCATTACAGAGTAATGTCGCCAGCGACAGTTGCGAGCTCGTGAACACTTAAATGCTAAATCAACCAATTTATAACGTCCTTATTGCATTTCTGCATCTTCAACCACATACCTAACTCTAATGCAACACCCGGACCACCTCAGATTTTAGTGAATTTGGGCTGTTACTTCTAATAGTGAATTCAATCTAAGCAGAACTTTTGCTACCCCGTCTTCCGATGAAACCCCGCGCGTTCTATACAGACTGAGTGGGAGACCTCGTCTCGCCAATTTTAGTAAGTTTAGACCCAAGGCGTGATGGAGCGTCTCGAATCTGTTAACGAAGTTGTCATTTTATCTGCGTACCTCAGTCACACCTAAAGCTCCACACTGCAGTATTTCGGCTGTTCGGCCTTTGAGGTTGCATCCTAGCAGAATGCATTTTACATTTTTGTGAAGACTATTTTAACTTAGTAATTATTTCTCTTAATTGTCGACTAGAAGCGATTATGACAGACACTTGTCGACGACAGCGGTTTGGCATCTGCCTGGCGCCTGAAATTAGAAAGTTCAGGGGGATCACTATCACATGCATCCATGGCAAGCAGAGTTCTGTAAAATTCCCTGGGTTCAATACAAGTCAGAAGGCGATCTTCGATTTCCTTCGAAACCTCCAGCTCCTTCATAGCGCAAGCGTCCTCCACCTTTCCCGCAATCGGCGCCAGTCCTAGAAGCACCGCCAACGCTTCAACCAGTTCATCATGACGGATAGGCTCACCTATGAAGGCAAATGCAGATATCATATGTTAAAGACTCTGTTGCTATAAATAAGGAATATCAAAACAGCATATCTTCGCAAAAGCACATTTTAACAAAAGGACAATTTATTTCACCGAAACACTTCAATTCACTGAACGACAAGATTGCTTATTTTTGACACATCCTAAAAACACGAACTCACAGATGAATAGTAGTGGCAAAGTGCATTAAAGTTTGGCCTACTATTACCAAACTTCTTGGATGGAGTGCCAGTGCCTGACTGAGCGTTACCACTTACTGCGAAGATTTCAAGAGTTGGGAATCCAATAAGTGCACAAAGTAAACTTATTTAAATTATAGCTCCGCCTGACGAAGAAACTACAATTAATGAACGCCTACTTTAAACAAAGAGGACCAATCACTTGAAAGCAACAGGAGAGCGCGTTACTTAATAACAGTAATGAGAACCTTGCCGAAGCACAAATGACGCAATTGTTAAAAGTTTAAAGAGATAGAACACTCAACCACTTGCTGAAGTTACCTCAGTAAAAGTTGACCATTTAGTTTTCATTAAAAAAGTCAAGTAACTAGTTGTTTCAGGAGTCTCTCAATATGTAAAATGACTTAATTTCGGATTTAAATCCTGAAGTTAGGAGTTAAACCATTTTTTGCATTTAAGGGCTCCGTGGAGCAATAGAGGGCCCACCGACTGTTTGTAGCAACCTCAGAAGACTTGTTTGCTGCAGTTTTGGCTCTGGATACTCTCCACAGAGTTCATAGAATGGGCAATGCGGTTCATGCGGTTTTGCTGCCTCCACTATGGCCATGAATGCCGCCTGGATATCGCTTAGAGAAACACCATCATACGGTACCCGATAGTTCACAAAAACTAAAAATACACCAAATAAGCATATTATGTGAGTAGCTTTTGCTCGATATCCGTATTGCAAGAGTGTCTTTGTGTAGAAAAAACATGGTTTTGGAGGAAACCAAATTTATTTGCAAAATCCCGTAGGTATGGCGAACTCAATCGTCTATTTCACTCAAACAAATAAGACACTATTGAGCTTTTAAGCATAAGACGCGTACTATAGACAATGTAGCCACCAATATAACGTGCGAGAAGTATTAAATCAGCAACTAGTTGTAAAATTAGCTTTTAAGCGATAGTCCGACAAACCTAGACTTATACTTAATTTTAAAAATGAATCAAAATGGGTTCTGCTTTTCCATGCAGAATAACTGGAACAAGAGATGCCTTGTAGTTATGAGAATAGTAGAAGTTTTTTGAAGGAGAAGTGTAAGTGAACTTACGTTTAACAAATGTATCAAAGTCAAACTCAGTGACGTAACGTCCTGTGGAGCCAAACCTTGAATATTTTATTTCATTCATCATGTTTTCTATCTAGAATGAATAGAAGTCGACATTCCAGTAAGTCAGTTAACATGAAAGCTATCATTATTTCAAATCCCTACGTCAGCATCAGCCACGAAAAGACCCATTGCTCTCGTGAGGTAGGGTATCTCGGTGATAGGAATCGTGTATGATGTTAGCCTTGTGTGGGTACAGGAGATCCCTTGAACTCGCAGCAGAGACAAATAAAAGTAATCCTTCATATCATTTAATTCTTCCGCTGTGAGCATATCATAGAATGGTTGCATTGGATTGCAATACAGATACGTTTGGGAAACGAGAACCCTAAAGCAATACTGATTGTACAGGGCTCACAAATGTGAGAAAAAACAGCGAAAGTGGACTGCGAAGCGAAAGCTCACCCCGGATCAGCTCTCCACATGTGCATTGCGTTGGCTGGGCCACCAGCAGTAAAGATAAACCGGAAGTCCCGAGAGACTGCAAGGTCGGAGGTGTACCCGGTGCCGTGCTCTTTACAGGGGTGGGCGACTATATTTGCAGCCTTGTAGGGATCACCATCCAGTGGAACCAAAACCAGCCCCAGTTGTTCATTCGTAAGAAAGACCAAACAGCTCTTGTTAGACGGCTTTTCCACAACGGTTGGTGTGCATGGAGGAGAAGGAAAATCATCCTTCTCTGGCAAAGTTGCTAAGCTATAAGAAAAAGAAAAAAAAAGTGGACCCAAAAGTAGTCGGTGCGTTTGACGGTATGCATAAGATCGCTTCTGTTACCTCGTCTCTTTAAAAGTTGGCCTATATCACAATAGTATTAATGGAATTATTCTTGAGCAAGACTATGAATTTGGATATTTCAAACATTCTTGAGACTCAGAACAATTGTAAACTAAGAATCGGTGGAATGCTTATAACCGCCGAGTTCCACAAGACTGCAAGGAAACACATGAAGAGAACGCTAGTTATGGAAAATTAAACGGTGTCTACCTTGCTGAATTGCTATCACACTTAACGATCCGCGAGAAGTCACTCACCGCACGAAAGGAGCACCCTTCACGGGGGCCATTACAGTTTTTCGAATAGCCAACGCATCGACATCGAAGAGTCGGAATTTCGAATCGGAATTGGCATAGCAGATGAAATTCTCAGAGTAAAAATCCCCCATTGAGGTGAAGCACTGGGGCTTTGCAATGTGCTCAACTTGGATACGTCTCTTTAGTGGAAGAACGTTGTGCTTTGCACTCAGTACATCGTACTCTATCTAAGGTTTTTCACAAAAGGTGGCAATTAAGCGTTGTCCCATATGAAATGGATCAGGGTCTTATCCTTTTTTCCATCAGTGTGCCATGAAAGAGAATAAACTAATCCCAAAAATATATCTTAATTAGATAGAATCTCACAGTCTTACACACCAGATTTATTGGAGCTTCTGTTTATGTGTTCGCCCAATCTGCAATGTTTTAATGGATTCGTGAAGAAGGGACGAAGTGCTTTTAACATACCAACATTCGGTCTTCGCCCAGTGTAAAGAGCCTAGGGGTGGCATTGTTGTCGCACGTTTTGAAGAGTATGTCCACAATATTGTCGCCGTGCGCACGGTATCGACCGGAGAAGACCCATCCGCGATCCAGAGAGTTGCAGGTGCTCTTCCTCCGCAGAAGCGTGGTTGAGTGCTGTGTGTCCTATTGACGAGCATGAAAGATATTTTGCGGACACTAATAGGGGGCACTTACAATGTAGGCACAGTAGGTGCTATCGGAACTAAAGGCGATCTTCTTCACAATCCCTTTAGCGTAATCGAAAGGAGGTTGCTTGGTGTCATCCAAGGTGATGGCATCAAGGAATATAACACGACCGGAAGTGCAACCCACGGCTAAAATAGGTGACAGAAAATTTTATCAGTAACAGAAGGTGAAATGAATTTGAAATTTCTAATCGAACCCAAAAATTGGACATTTCATCTTAAAGTCGCATTTCTACTGGCAATTTAAACTATGATCACGCAAGCAATGATTAAGTTTAAGGTTGACGAAATCATTTAATGCAAAGCATTTAACTGGAGAACCGTTCAGGCGCTTGTATGGTAAAAGTGACTTTGGGAATAGGGAATCTATCATCATTACATATGAGCGAACTGGATACGCGAAACGTGGACACTGTCTAAGCTGCAGAAGACTTCTTCATAGTAGCATTCTCGTTCAATGCCCAAGTGGCTAACTTAAGAGGCATGTGGGAGATCCAAAGTAAATGGATTGGTGGAATTTATTAGTATGAAGTAAAGTGAAACAACGCGGTACATCTCACCCAGTACAGTGGTTTAAATATCGTAACAAAAAGTGATGTTGATGAGGAAAGCGGTAACAAAGAATATTGCTTAATTTTAATGCACCAGTAAGTTGCATAATTGAAAGGATTGTCGTTGAATGATTGAAAGATCACAGATTGCAAAAATGCATACCGAGAAAGCCCCCGTAGGGATCAAAAGCGCAAGAATTCAGCTGCTGATTCTCAAGCATTCGCGTGCGGACGGGTACTCTAGGGAGGGACAATGGAGGTGTAAGCTATTCAATCTCCACAGTAAAATAGGACTAAATAAAAACAAATTTATATCGAAAAGAAGGGTAGTACTTACAACCACTTATAATTCCAAGTCTTTATCATACCGCTATGACCAACTGTGGTAATTAAATCCCTAAAAAGCAAATCAAAAACAGAGTTGAATCAAAGGTGTGAGGCAGGGGGTCATATACCTTTGCAGGAGGATTACCGAAATGGATGAGAAGAAATACCGTTGATTGTAGCACACTGGTCTCTTTCAAGAAGCTGACAAGTTTGAGAATGAAAGAGTTAAACAAAGCAGGAATGAAAACGGAAAAAAAAACATTGCGGAACTAGCCTTAACAACTTTCCCCTCAATTTGGAGACTCAGTATAATGGCCTGGGATGTACTGATGAGGAAATCCTCGGTAGCAAAAGTAACTCTCGGATCCAGAGTGTCTATATGACTATTTTGGGCACTGGATTCCTCCAAACCACTATATCAAATACAACAACACATTATTACGCGCTTCCGATCGAAGACGTTCTCTTGGTAGAACAACACATTATATTGGTTAAAATGAATTTCTTTTGCAATCAGTTAAGAAAAAAAACAGAAAAAGTGCTTAAACCGGCGAAATATGTTTCATTTGTGACACTCTTTCTTTAAGTTACCAAAGTAAAGTGACCTGAAATAAGAAGGCCTGCTTAGTAGTCAGGGAATTTCCAAAATGTAGAAAAAAGTTGCTACAAGTGTAGAAGATTTCAGGAGTAAATGACAGGCCTTAGTGAGATGGCATATCACAGCTGAATTTACGTGACTATTCACACGTTAGAAATGTGATAATACCGAAAAAATCGGCTTAGTAACCATAAACATGCTAATGCTGGTTTCCTTCATGAGACCCGCAACGATGGATTAAGGTTGGATTATGCCTCCCTTCATCACTTTCCCTCCCAGTTTATTCAAACACTTGGCAAGCGAATTGTTGAATGTTTAGTGAAAAATCAAGCACCACCGAGTAATACGAATGAGGTAACTTACAATTTTTCAAAGACACTGCACCTATAACCAAAATAAAGCAGGAAGAAGTGAATCCACTAATCATGACTTATTTCTGGAATCACTATCCACAATAGATCCATTGTCATATGAGATTGAGCTGCAAAAGAATACTTAGTACCTGTTTCAATGACATGTAAACTTGATCACTTTACGGCATTTTCGCTGCGTCAAAGTTTATTTGCTGTTACTTTTATTATTTGCGAAAAGTTCCCATCTCTCGGTGACCATAAATGGGTGATCAAATTACAATAAACAAAACTAACTCATTAAAGAGTCCTGTCTCAGCAAAACTGACTGACGAAATCGGGCCGGATTTGAGATCATGATGCCAATGAAGAAGGTTAAAGTCCGAGTCGGAGAATCGAATCTGACCACTTTCATCGCCTGTAACGATTGCTATCCTGGACGAAACACTATGCAAGTATTTGTAGAGAAGATGAACTCAGTCGGAAAGGTACACTCAGATAGGCTACAAAATAAACTTAAATTACCAAGAAGTTATGGTAAGGAAGGTGATTCCTATCTGATGCAAGGGAATCAGCTTCGTTGCAGCTCTAAAGCAAGGTGATTTCTTCAGGTCTAAATAATTGATAAACTCAGCTAAAATAAGTGAGAAATTGTTAATGTAAACAGAAATCCAAAGCAATTGCACTTTCATTTGCTTTAGTGGAGAAATGAAAAGGAAGTGGCATTTGAGCGCAATTAATTGACCTAGAATTGAGTAGTTTTTGTGTGCAATAAGCCAAAATTGTCTGTTTATGTGGCATCCATAAAACAAGGTGCTAACATTCAACATTTCATTATAACAAATTTGAAAAAGACTAAACGGGATCAAAATGTGGATGTAAGGCTTACTAACGCTTGGAGTTGATGAACATTACAATAAGTAAGTTAACAATTTACTCGCGATAAACAAAGGCGCAATGTCTATACGTCTTAGTTCTAATGTTGTCTATAATGCCTACGCAAAATGGACCTTCATGCATCATTTTGGCGCAGGATGATAAATCAAGAGGGCCGTGAGCTCTGGTGACTGTATGGAATTCGCGAACATGCAGTGGGCATGAGTAAGCACTCTAAAATACCAGGCGGCTAGAAAACAGTGTCCCTATGGTCTCACCCTTTTTAGTCCACCGACTCTTTTCCCAAACAACGATGTAGCCCCTGTTAGTTGCCGTTATTGCCATATCGGTGTCCGGAACGTAAGCAGACATAACGAACTTGCCGTAGTTTGTCCGGAAAGTTGACGAACATAGAGGGGGTGAGTGGGAGGTCATGCATCCCCCTAATGTCTTCGTCAAAATGTCCAGTAATTTTATTAGTTCTTTATTTGAAATAGTATATGGTAAATAATATAAGAACCATACATCATAAGTGAAGTGTCTACATACACATTACGAAGAAACCTGCCAATATTCATTGTTTGGAAAAACTAGGCAGGACATGTGCGTCGGTTTGATGGTTTATTAGTATATTTAAAACTGCTTTGTTTGTCGCATCTGTATGCTGGTTGGTTTTAAGAGTAAGTCAAATTCTAAATAATAAGGTGTCGGTATTTAACAGCGAGAATTGTGTCAAATAAGTACTAATCACCTAGTTAGCTTTAAAACAGTCTCTTAGCTTATCAAACCCCCAAAACTGGTATCTGACTGTTCCCGTATTTTAAATTAGCTTCTTGTAAGAGTTTTACCTAGTCCAAAAAGAAGGCTATGCATAATCGGCTCGCGAATGAAAATGTATCAATAGACTCACAACTGCATTATTTACCAAAAATTAAGTTAGTTAATATTAAGCCCTCTGTTATGAGACAGGATTCCAAACAAAATTCAGGATTCATATGGATATATTGAAATAAAAAAAACAATAAAAAGGGCAGTCTTACCCAATCATAGAACACGACATGAGTTTCGCTATTGGACATGGCCTGGAAGTAATTATCTGACCTGAAGGCGATGTGCGCCTGAACACCAAGTTTGTCGCTTTCGAGTTGAGTAAAGCAGAGGGGGTGCTCAGCAGAACTGGTCCAGTCCCACACAGCAAGGACCTGGTGCGTAGGATCCGCGCTCAGAGTGGCCAAATAGCGCGCGTCGGGTGAAAGGCGGACAGCCATTACGCCGTCACGGTGAATCGTAAAGAGGCAGCGAACCGGCGTGCGGCTGCGCGCGTCCCACACAATCACCGCACTATCCGGTCCTCGATCCCCTGTGCTCAACCAGCGACGGTCCTTGCTCGCGCAGGCGCACACTATCGTGTTCACCTACCCTTACACATAAATGTAAAAAAAAGACGACTCAGGAAAGCAGTAATCTAAGTAGGATTATTCCACCTGATAGTAATACTGGTTACTGCAACACACTTCAACCAGTCTTCAGTAATGCCATTTTCCAGACCATCTGCGGAACCGTTAAAGGTTAAAAACACCTTCAGCATCGTCATTATCTTAAAGGAATTAGAGTCGATCGTTTGAATCGGTAAGGAGTCTTCTCAATATTTATGATAGGCCCAAATGCGATTCCATATTTACCCGTGGTTTTACATCAACATTGCTTTATTACCAACATTAACACAGGTAAAAGTTGAAATTATAAAATATGTTTCTGAATAAAAAGATTAATATTAAGTAGTTTTAGAGGCAAGAACAAGTTAATTTGGAAAACTAATGCAGAAAATCATACGTGTCCACGTAGAATATGTTGCGCGTTTTTCTTTACGTCATAAATCACAGCAAGGTGACCAGATACGAAAAAGAGGCAAAAATTCATGCCGTCGCTCAAATTTATCACGGGAACGTGATGATTGAAGCTGAAAACTCGAACAGGTTTTAGGGCTTCTCGGGCACAGGACAACACCGATAGTTCGCGTTTCTGTTCCTTTTCTTTGGCAGGCAACTCGGTAGACATTGATGCAGACTGATACTCCTTGTCAGGGGGACCACCGTCTAAATAATCATCAGGCCCCCACGTATCTTTTACAAGCATCTGAAAGCAGAGGGAGATCCCCATATCTTCTGTCGAGATGTCAACAGTTGCCGAGCGTGACACCGCGTTTTCATCGGATGCTAAATACAGGTTTTTTAGTCCTAAAGGTGGTAGAAGCAATTAATTCGATTTTGCTTTTAATTCCAAAGGTTAAAGGCCAACTTCGAGACAGGTAAAATGAAACAGCACAGTAATATTTTTTAAAGTTGGCAATCTGCTTAACAGTGCAAGGATCAAAATCAGGTACAAAAGTAAAAAAAATGAGATAAGCGGCTTAAAAAGAAGTTAGGCACCTCAAAACAAATCAAGATATCGGCGTTTTCTCAAAAATACAGTTGGAGCCTATTTTAAGTGTTTGAATCTGTACATCCTTAAAGTGGCGTAGGCTATTGTGCAAGTCAAGAGCAAGCATACTTAGATAAAATCCACCACTAGACAAACCTGAATTCTTACTAAAGTCACATGTAACTCAAAAAATTTCGAGGAAAGACTTTGTCCCAGAATTTTGGTTTTTAGCAGAAGTGTGCATCAATAGGCGAAAATCAGTGGAATTTTCCAGTCATACTCTCAGTAAATATGTGCAGTTAACATACAACCCATACTTATTGAGAAAATCTGCTTAGTACAGAAATTACCCACTAGAGTTACCAAGGCCAGTGTACTGCATACTTATGTCAGTTACAGCATGTATTTTCATTCTGAAGTTCAAACTCGAAGAACAAAACCGCGCAACTTACCCCCTTCTTTTGGTGGCAGATATTTGCGTTTAGCAAAATTGTGGCCTCCACCTTGACCCCGCATTTTGTGTCAACACATTTGAAGGGATGCAATTCTGAATGGAATTACAAGGTCAAACGAGTACCTTAAAACATTTTTGTTTTAGTTTTCCGTTAATTACATCTCTCCTTACGGAACATTCGACGGTATGATCCGTGGTAATAATAACGCAACCGAGAGTAGTATCCAAAAGCCGAATCAATATACCATCTCTTTGAGGTCTGACCAGCCTGAGGATTTGTGGTGTATCGAGGTAAAATGAATGACAAAGAGAGGTGGTATATTGATGCCGGTTACCTAAAATCCCTACTTATGCCTAAGAAAAAGCCGGTTTTCACCTAGAATAATACAGAAACCCATAGTATGTAAAGTACAACAATACCACGCATTGTAATTACGCAAATCTGAGTACGTTGGTGCAGTTATTAGAATGTTACAGTGCTATCGAAGCTTTACTGCTCGCTTCCATTTAGGTAATGTCATTAGGTCCTTATAAAATCAGGTGTTGATGTTCCTCTTTTAATGCATGCAAAATATCGGTTGTGAAATTACATTAAATCACTGAGTTGTGTCTCAAAGACACAAAAAGACGTTCAGTCTACCAATTAGGCAGGTTAAACGGTTTTACCTCAGTAATTTTAGCCCTAATCTATAATGACAAGTCATTTTCCTCTTAGCATTTGATTTGTTTCATTTACCGTTATTAACTTTATGTTTTGTTCAACCGCGCATTTAACTACGCAAGAATTCCACTAATCTGCTATTAACTCAGGTCTTACGTGTCAGCAAAGCACGTTGTTTCAGACTACTTCAACTTGTTATGCCTTTAAGGATGGTTTAGGACCTAAATATCGACACAAGAAATAAACGTAAATTTTTACTCGACGTTCAGCACACTGAAGTCGGTGTTTCCTTAGTAAAGCTATAGGTCGGGTTTGTTAAAATTGATTTACTGCCTTTTTTTACTTCTTGAGGATGCCATAGAGAAAGCAGATTAGACGCACCTCATAACGCATGGTTATTTTCGAATGACTAGGCTTTAGCGATTAGGTAAACTCAGGATTTAGCAGATCATTTGTGTCGGGCACTGCAGCGTCCGTGGGACCCCATTCTCCACGTATCTTCAATGCATGCTTCTGCTATATATATTAGTGCTGCACAAACCTGATTCGTTTACCGTGTGGCTCTCATATCCACTGTGCTAACCGCATCAAACTAGTTTTCTTTTTCTCGTATTTTACCGCTACAACCTTATTAATTTGCTTACTTGATTGTTCGTGCATCTAGAATTTCGCAGCAGAATTTCGACCTAGATTTTTCACTTAAGTTTGTCAGGAACGATTCAATACTCTGTCGTTCTGCTTCATCAGAATTTCCAAAACCAATTCTTTGAGCAGAACTATGTGTTACTTTATCGGTAGTGCATTGTTTTCCTGATCAAGCACCTTTGTGCTCGATTCGTACCTGCTAGAATTATGTCTGTACGACTAATTTCCAGGAAAAGGCTACGAGAGCTCCACACGTGGCTTATTTGTTATCTTATGTTTCCTGCTTTGTGAATCCTCAATCGGATACTATTCTTGTTATACGGATTTGTTAGTTTTCAGTGGATCGTTTTAAAAGGTAAAATATTTTTAGAAGTCAATATTTTGAGCTTTACGAAAGTGGTTTGAGGCTTGCTATGAGCTCTTTAGGCAATTCCCGAACATCGACGAATTGCCTTGTCATCTCTCATGCAATTGCTTCGTAGTGTTGATTTTAGCCTAAAAATTGTTTTAAATCCATTTATGTTTTTGGATTCCGTTCACAACAGTGTAAAAATAAGTGACTAGGCTTTGAAGACCGTCGTCTAACGCGTGGGGGCATTCTAGTTAAAATAAGCACCAATGGGAAAGCCTCAATCAACAGCAGATTCTATCAACTAAATTTACTGAAAACTACAAGTTTCAAAGGACCAGTGCGCCTTTCTTCACATTTCTAAACTCATCAGATTTAAGTGAACCTGATAGAGCACCCATAATTTCAACAAAGAACAAGATGTTTTTTGACAAAACATGCGACTGTAGAACGCTGACCTACTTCATATTGATCATGCTTCGACAAAATAAATGGGGAGTAGTGAATTATTTTTGATATTTTCGCACGTAGGAATGTATGTCTCAATCGACTGAAAATGCGCCTTTAACCAGCCTTGTGTTTGAGATGGTCGTCGTCATCACTTTCTCCCTCTTATCAATGGCAGATAGGTGTACGCTAGTATCAGGCTATAACCGCTGGTAAAAAGGTCGCATTTACTTCTGTGGCGCAGCTGCTGCACCTGATGACCAGTTGGGTGCACATAGCGCATGCATTTCGTGTCTGCAAAAATGTGTCGCCTCGTGTCCGCCTTGTGCTGTAGATGGATAAATGTTGGCATGTATTTTCCCTCCAGTCGTTCATACTTGAGAAGCATGAACGATTTGCTTTTGTGACTTGCAGGGAAATGCTTGCCCTGGTAACTTAAGGACTCTGGGGCAGTGGAATAATCTCCGGGGTGCTCAGTCTCTAAATGGCCTAAAGGATCGAAGAGCTGGCCACATTGGTCGAAGCTGATTGGAGGAAGTGTCCCACTGGTAGTAAAGGTTGGTGGATTTTATGGGCGGTAGAGGGAGAGGCAGAGAGGCATTCCTAGTGACATTCTCACATATCTGAACGCTGATATGGCCTCGCCAAACCACGTTTCCATAATAAATTATTCAGGTAGTTATCCACTCAGTGCCTGTTCAGTGATGACCATTAAGGCTAGGTTTCAAATAAACCACTGTCGATAATTTAGGTAACAGAAAATTGTGGGTTACAAATAAAGTTACCCCTACACGAAGGTGATGTTTACAGACTATTTCATTCCAAATTTGATTATGCTGCTAATAAGTTAGAAGCAGAAAAGACATTGGTTTGAAAAACCACAGCATCCAAATTCAATGTCAATGGAAATTTAGCCTCAATCAGTTTGTCATTTTTAGAAAAATTTTAATTTTGTGGTAGTAACTTTAATTTCTTTAAATGGACCATCGTTTCGGATGCCGAGAAGTTTGAGAAAAATTATAAAGAAATGAAACTGAACCTCGCGTCGCTATCTATTCCTTCCCATTCATTGTCACGTGTAGATTAAAATAAAATGGCAGGTTTCGAGCACTTAAACGTGGAACATTATTCTTGGATTAAGTTGTTTAGCAGGAACAGACTTTGTTAACCGTTGGAAATTGGGTTACACTTAGCGACCTACAAGCAAATGGTAGAGCCCAGTGTGGTCATCGCAGGCGACCATAAGCTATAGCAGCTGTGGGACCCTTCAGAAGTAAAATCTTACTATTTTTTGGATTTCGGGCCTATAACTTATTTTTGAGATTCCAATGTGTTGGAAGTTCGCTGGAGAACTTTGGCGTTATCACCTGAATGTATTTTGCGTTATTAGTAAGGATGCAGGATGAATCTTGCATTAGTTCAGATAAACGGCTTAATCGCCTCGGCATCAGTGCCACCTCCTTTGATGATTATCTGCATGCTTTCTTACCTCAGAATCCAGCGAACATGTATTTTAGCGGAAAATCTTAACATGATCAGTCCTTCTTCCGCCACCTATTTCCCTTTTATTACGTTTTGTCATTATTCCTGCTTCTCAACATTATCCTCTTCATTTTTCATTTGTTATTGCGATCAATTCCCCTGGCATATGCTTACTACGTCGAACTCTTATTATTTTTAATTGAAATTCTTATCCACTTGGGGTCTACAAATTCGTCCTTCGCTTCTTTGATGCGCATTTTAGCAAGCCAATGTTCAGGCCAGCACCCAGAAATGTTGTAAAATATTTTGCAATGAAACTAAAAGTTAGTATTTCACGATAAGTGAGGGCGCACACATTTGGTGAGGCGTATCAGAGTGGTCGCTGTTTGGAAATTTGGACTACGTTCTTCATTAGAAGCAGGAGCAAGTCATCTAAACGATGACTTATAAATAAAAGACTCTTTTCGTCATTCAGTAGTATGTCCAATCGGTATGTCGGTATATTACAACTTACGGAAACAATAAGAACGAACTTTAACGCACTTTTCTAACTGAATATTCAGTGCAGAACATCACGGTCCAATAATTTTATTACATCTAGCAGAACATTTATTTGCATAAGAGAAAAAACCGATTAGCTCCTCGATCCAACAACTTTTGAACGTTTATTTTCTTAGCTTGCATGCTCAAAATGTCATTGACGTGACAGCTGCACGTATACTCACAGCAAAGGGGGTAAGGCCGCAGAGTGAAAAACCATCTTCCGTAAAATGGCTTGATGCGAAAAGACCATTCTGAGTACATACCCCAAAAGCAAAAACCTCCGTACATTGGTATTTCCAAGTGGCAAGAAACAGTCAACTATGCCAGGTTATTCTCATTGATGAAATAAAAGAACGAAGAGCGACATTGTACTTCAAGGCGTGGAACATTTACAACCGTAAGATTGATACGTTACGCGATTTATTTATATCAAAGCAACACCCAAATAGATTACTGCGAACACTAGAGAATGGAGTCAACATTTGTGACAGTAAAATATATCTGGATGCATTTTGCAGAACGCCTGCATGCTTCCTGGAATGGAGAGGCTGGCAGACGGTGTTGGTAGTCGCCTACCGAATCACTGCCTCGGGCTTGCTAGGGGTGGGACCGGATTTGATTTGCAGCTTCATAAACATCTGAAGGGCTGCTGTTGCATTGTATATTTTCTGATAATTGGTAAAATCATAGGTGTTAGATACTTCATCGTCTGTTTCTTCAAAAAGTGCATTTATAAATACGGGTTTTAAACACACTCAAAATTCCCCAAATTGAAAATGAAACATTCGCATCTTTGGAGACCTACATTACAGTGGCAAAATGGAAGGCCAGTAAAAGAGAAGACATTTGGCAAAAGGCTTTAAGGTCAAGTGTTTGTTGTGCAGGAACTCACTTTCCAGCGCTGACGGACGAGAAAGTTTTTGCGGATGTTTTCGCTCACGTGAGCATAGATGTTCACGTCGCGGGCAGCATTTTGGGCGATCCAAGGGTGTGCCAGCGCCTCCGCGCAACTCGCCCTTCGGCTAGGATCCTTCTGCAGCAGACTGCGGATGAAGCTCTTTGCTGAAAAGTCAACCATATTTTTGACTTCCCCTTGTGATTAAAGTGAATGTTCACACTCATACGCCACGTCTAAAGGTTGTTTTTTTGCATGACAGTGTCTGCGGTTTTATTATACCTGGATTTATTTCAATTAATTCAATTTAAATTCGGGCGGATTTCCATTGTAAGACAGAACTTTGATTATAGCAGTGAAAAGATGGCAAAAGTGGTTTAAATTCCTAGTTTGAAAACGGGCCTACCTGAATCAGATATTTCATCCCAGTAGGGTGAGTCGAACTCGTAACGAGCCTTTTGTATTTGTCGGAACAGTTCTTGATCACTTTCATCGTAGAAAGGAGGGTATCCACACAGCCTGTAGTCCAAACAAAACCACGATTATGTAATACTACAGTAAAAAAAGAAAGGGCACAACATAAAGCGCACGTGTTCACGTTGAAGCTTAAAAATTCTTCCCAGCCAAATGTCCATTTACAACTTTGTAAAATTGAGACAAATGCATAAATCTAATTTTTTTAAAGTTAAAAGTGAAAACATTTCGATAGAGTACATGGAATATTTACTCAGCATACCTTATGAAAATCGCGTTTTGGCCAAGACAGGTGCTAGGGCCTGGGAAAAGTACCCCCAAATTTTAAACACGAATGTTGGGCATTTGACAAAATCATTTTCCAAACGCATCGTAGTGATCAAAATAACATGCACTAGTGGTGAAATATACTCTGCAGTCTGCGAGCAGTCTTATTCGTCATGCTCTCAAATGAGCACCAGGTTACATAATCAAAGCCTATCTGAATGGGCACTTTTGTCAAATAAATGGTCCGCATAAACTTCACAACCTATAATCTTGCATGTTACGAGCAATCTTTTTAGAGGGGTATATGGGCTAGTGAAAGAGGCAATGTTCGTGCATGTGCATGGCAGGATGGATACTCACAGGATGTAGGTGATAACACCAATAGCCCAGCAGTCAACTTCCTTCCCATAGCCTTTTTTTCCCGATTGTGCAGAAAGAACTTCCGGAGCTAAACATTTAGTAAGTCTCTGTTTTTATCATATTCAAAGGCTTCTACACAAAACTCGACCTTCTATGCGGCCAATGAGGAAAATAGTTTTACGTTTTCCACTTTAGACGTCATATTTTTTGATTAAATGAAGAAAAATGTACCAAACAGACTGTGTACCTTGCGATTCTTTTCTCGGATATGGCATTACGTGGCAACGAGTCACGCCGTTGCAAAGCGTAATTGGAAATGCATGACAAAATTTTCATGCATGTTTGAGGCCTTATTTGAATGACGTATTGCAGCGGTCATTGTCAAAATGCAGACTTGAGTTTTGCAACTATCATACCTCCCAAAAAAAGCATAGGAGGGTAAAAATGACAGTAGTTTTAGTTGTGGACAAAAACATTTAGAAGGCAGATTAAGGACCTATTCCTACGCCTTCGAAGTGAAGTCGCTTTCCCTGTACTACTCATCGAGGATCCGAACAGGCAGCATGGATCAACTTAGATTTTTACTGGAAAATGCATGCCAATGTGGCATCTGGTAGCAATTTACACCAAGGAAGTCATTCAAAATGCCACTTGCCGCAAAGCACTGAGTGAATTGACTTGGTGTTGTGGTTGGAAAAGGCAGACTTTACTAAAACTTGGACCTGAGCCCCCGAAAAATTGGTCACCCCAAGTACTTTTAAATTCGTAAAAGCACCAAAGAACATTATGAACACCAAGTCCGTATGTATGAACGTAGAATAAAATTGGTGTAAATTAATAATTAAGGCTGTAGGCGCACAAAAAGACCAGACTGAATCCCATAAACATGTGTGGGTGAATTACCTGTGCTGAAACAGTAAAGACAGCACAGCTCATTAGGACTGAAGAGTCAGCATAGCACTTAAAGTAACTATGTCTCTTTACTGTCAATAAATGTCGTTGGCGAGAATTAACTGGATAGTACTTAGCAAATGAATAATCGTATCGTCGACAACTAACGTCCAAGAGGGTTCGCCAGCTACTGCCTTTAATACCTTCAAATCAAACAAGTCAATACCAGTTAGTTTGAAACCGAAGGAAACTGGTTTCCTTGGATAAATCAAATGAAAAAGATAGCATACTTTGGAACTTATCAAAGATCCTTTTCTTGCTAAATAAAGTGTTTTTCGATTTTTCAATCTAATGCTTCCCAATTTTTTAAGTAATTTTTTGATTGTGAGAAGATATAATTCTGAAAATTAAGTCCTTGATCTCAGAAATATTGCTCTAATAGATGCAAGTTTGGAAGCAAGAAAGAGAGTACATACCGACGTAACCCGGAGTGCCGCAGGCTGCAGAAAGTGGCCCCTCATTCTCGTCGATTCTTGAAAGCCCAAAATCACTAATCATGATCTTACTCGTTGGCAGTGGACTGTAGAAGAGCAGATTCTCCGGCTGTATTGCATCGACAAGCATAAAATAGCATTAACCTTATTTATTTCACTAGGCTTCCACATTTAGTGGGTACTTTTGTTTGTATCTGTGCAGAAATTGGGTTGCAGAAATGGTAATCACCCCTAACATTCGATGTGTTTCAAGTTAGACCGGTTGTTGTGTGCAGTGGTTACCGCATCATTGCTGTGTTGACTTAGAAACTTGTTGAAATCTTGTTCGTTTTTGCGTTATTCATTATGCTTTGTGTGAGCAATTGAATGGTCACACTAGGGAGAGCCGAGAGCCTATCAGAGTACAGTCGCTCTTACGAGTACATTATTTATTCAGATGGAATTAGCAGTTCTTATTAAAAAATTTGACTGAAAGATAATGTCATCGAAACTGAAGTGATTCTTTATGCATTTGTTGAATAGCATCAAATTTTAAGGAGTCTTGTGGAGTAGCAATAAGATCCCACAAGACTTTAGTAAGGTATGTACTATTCTCCAGCATTTAAAGTTATTTCGTCTACTTACCACCAATCAACCGATATAAAACAAAAAAAAGTACGAAGGCGCACCCTTTAGCAAGTTGTCTACCCCCACGTAATGGTCAACTGCAGAAAAGTCCTAAGTGAAGCAAAAAAACGCCTAACAATTTTGATCTAATCCCACCCAAAGATAGTTTTACTAATCACTGAGGTGAGTAAACGCGGCAGGGCATAGCAAGTGTGAGACATGGTATCACAAACTGGAAATTTTACGTAAAGGAAAAAACAGTGGCCAAATTGGGGAGTGCAGTACTTTTACTGCTTATTTTGAAATAAGCGGGTCTTGAGGAAAAATAATTTACCTCGTTTATCAATTAGTTGCTGATCCTTCTCCTCGAAGTGCTTATTTAAGAATTGAAATTTCATGAGTTTGTGCAAATTCACAGCTTTTCTCATACCCATTTATTATTTTCGGTAACTTTTCGTTTTAACTACCATTAATTGATCGTTTGTGCAATTATTTGAATATTTTACCACTTGCCAAAGTACTCGAGAGGGCACAACCACAGGTAAGTAAGGTAAGCTACACCATAGATTCCGAATGCATATTTGACCTTACGTGGAGTACGAGTATTGCCTCCATTTCTGTGCTCGCAGCGAACGACAATATAAATCCTTCCATTCGTTATGTAACAGTGGGTAATTACAACAATAGCAATGTTGTAAGTATGCCGGCCCATGGCTTCTAACTCATCAGAAGCTTTGGCGCGGTACGAACGCATTCAGCATTAAGTGCGCCTACAGGCAAGCGTGTAGATTTTACGCCGAAGAGCTCCTTTTCACTTCGGCAATGGGGCGGACGTACTTGTGATTGGGAAAAACCAAAGAACGCTTGCCTTCAAGTCTCTATGAACCACTTCGCGACTGTGCATATATTCGGTGGCCAGAAGGACCTGTCGTATTAGATCACTAGCATCCTTCTCTGTGAAACTGCCTTTGTCAACAATGCGATCGAAGAGTTCACCGCCTGTCACCCTAAATAAATAAAGAATATTTATTGAAGAGTTGTGTCTTGTTTTGCCCAATTTTTTTCTAAGTTTGTTAGGAGTTAGCAAGTTATAATGATTCATAAAAAGCCATACTGAATCAAAGCATACTTTTTCACATCCAGGCATGGCAAACCATTTTTATACAATTACGTTTAAAAGTTTAGTGCTCTACCGCTTTTTAACCAAATAACTTTAGTTAAATTAACCACAGTCACTTTTCAGCCGCCACAATCATTTCGTTTCTTTCACTTTCCCTTCGGTGCAAGGCTGCTGAAATGGCAAAATTAATGCATGGGCTTAAATGATCTGTGTAGTCCTTTTTTAGGGGGAGGAGAGGGGTGAAGCACGAGCAGCTTGAAGCATTTAAGGCATCAAAATAAAAAGTGGACTTTTTATTAAATGTATTCCTTTGAAACGAGTCCTCACCACACCCCACAAGTAAACAGTTTTTAAGCTTGGACCACTTGGGAACTGGGGAAGAATTCTCATCGGCAGTCACGTAGACGTGGTCACTAAGCCTATATTATATGAAACCATTCTTTATTCCTTCGACGTATTTCCTTTGGGTTCCCGTACTCCAAAATGTGTAGGAAAGACAGGTGTAAGAACTGCATGTTATTAAAAATCATCCATTGAGTAAAGTAACACAATGATTTGGTTTTTGATCGTGTCTGAGCATTCATTAAAGGGATGTTGTAATACGTCTCCACAGGAAGAGTCAACATTATTTTTAGACTAAGTGGATTAGATTTTTGCAACTGATTGGTTACATTGAGTGATGCTGGATTACTATTACAATTTGTATCTCAATCACCGTGGTAAGAGAGAAAAATTGCCTTCGGAAGGCAAATATGTATATAAATTGAAATTCATTTGAATTTTTAGTAGGTTTATTTTCGAAGCGAATGCTAGCCCGTTCGCCGTTCTTAACAAATTATCAACCCAATCTCTTTACAGTTCGTGAAAAACTATAGAAAGCAATAACAGAATGATGTAGTGGTTTCAATCAGTTAAGATTTTATCTCACATTGAAATAATCAGGTAGTAGGATGCAGGACCACCGTATTTTGCTATGTGTGCTTATCATCACCGGAGAGAGTTTCATAAAAGCAAACTGCCACAAATTCTATTTAAAGTTTGAAATATTCAAGCTCTGTGCGTACTACTAAGATTCTCACCAGAAATAAAAGATTTTGAATAAGGTAGAACGATAAGGCTTAATAGCAAAGGTGACAATTTTGCTATTATCACTGCATCATCTTCCTCAATTAAAAGCTAGGTAGTAGGAAAAAACTGCCTTATTCATCTACGAGCGTTTAAAAAGACAAAATTGATAAGGACATGGAAAACAGAAAATTCAAACGAAGATGGTTTTAAAATAGCATTATATTGAATGCATACATATCACTATCATGTAAAAAATTTCTTCCACTGCTTTTGTGAATAACGCTTTTAATGAGGGAAATCTGCAAAAGAGTGAAAAAAGATTATGTTCCACTTCAGTAGCAGTCGTGTTTAGGACACTTCCAAGCTGACAAATATCTGTCTGACGATGTGAAGTCAGCGTCTACCAATACGACTCGAATGCGGACCAAAAACGCAAAAAAGAGGCCACCAAATTCATGAAAAATAAATCACATAATTTTGAACCTAAATCTTGAAAATTCATGGGTATGTAGCATTTTTCATAATCTACACTAAAAGGCATTGCGATGTCTGCGAATTTTGCTTTTTAAACCACACTCACATAAAGAATACTCTGCATTAGACTGATCATCAAGGTTGAGGTAGTTTGATGCAAACTTCGATTAAATGTTGAGAATATAATGTAATAATACAATAAAACATGCAAGTTTCGTGTAGCACATGGTTTTTTCAAAAGATGGTGTATGGTTTTTTGCAGAAACTGCAAATTGCATTGCCGAAAGAACCGTTATAAATATGCAAGAACACTGGCGTAACCAATTTTGCTTGTATCTGCCTAATGTGATGCACTCTTGGAAGTAATGAAGAGTATGACAAAAACTAGCTCTCAATCCAGTACGTACGTTAAATATACGGTACTCTTGCGCTCACAAATGACATTTATTCACTGCACAATGGTCCGGGAGGGATACATGGAATCCCAACAAGGGCTTCACTTAGGACTCACACAGTCAAGGTGTTTATACGTGCAACGCATTTCCAAAATGCATACCACAGAATAACTTTAGGAATTATGCCCGATAAAAGTTCTTATATACGGGTGAAATCATTGGCAATTTAGTGCAATTCAAACCAAATTAGAGACAGGAGCTAAAATTACCCAATACCAGTAAAACCAAAAGACGGTTGTGTAACTTAAATCTACTACTGAGGGCAGGATAAATTACATGATCAAGGTGTCATGTGGTAAGGCTCAGTCGCGATACAAACACCGTATTCGATGCCGAGTTAAGTAATGGGAATAGAGGTCGATATGAATGCCTTAAACTTAACTAAGTAGAAGGATTCAAACTTTCAAAATCTTTTAATACAAACAGCACCTAAGCCCATATGAGCAAGTTTGTGTTCTTTTAAAACTTGTTTTTCACGATACATTAATTAAATGTAAAGAACGCTAAAATTTTCACTTAATAGAGCTCTGAGACCTAAGCACCAAGCGGAAGATTGCACAACAAGCACAAAAAACACCTCATCAAAAAAGCAACATATAGCTAAGTTGTGTATCTTCGAAATTCATTTGTTCATAAATCAAACAGGAGTTTTTCTCGAAAAGTGAGAGGCATGAAAAGACATCGTTCCTAAGTTAAGAAGAAGTTATAAAGGTTTTCGTATATTGCTGTAGATGGTTAAAGTAACACTGTGTGAGTGTTTCCACAAAAAAAAGATAAAAGGTGTCGTATTATGCTAGATCTGCAAAAAAATCAATAGGGTAACAAACTAAAAAAACACGAGTAAGACGGTAGAACGAGAAATTCGCGATAGAAAAAAGTAAAATCCAACAGAAAAAAACCTTTGCAGATGCATAAAAACCAACGATTTAAATGAGCTAGCTTACAGCTCCATTATTAGGTAGTACGAATCTTCATCCTCAAACGCATCAATTAACTGCACAATATTTGGATGACTGAGCCTGCAAAATAACTTAATACAATGTTTGAAAACGCACCTCCGCAAAACAGAGATTTCATTTTTTAAAGAAGCTTCTCGTGACTTAAAGTCATCCTCATTAGGAGCATCTTCTTCGCTTTGCTTTTGATGACTACGTTTTCTTATACATTTTATCGCACAAAAAGTGCCGGGATTCAATTTATCTTCAGCCAAACGCACCTCCGAAAAGGCACCACTAAAACTGTTATGATACTAAACTGAGGTCCTACGTTCCAAGCAGTTCCTTCATGCAGAATCTATCAATTGACTTCGGGTTAGCCGTCATCTACGCAGGATTCAAACAGTCGAAATAAAGTTGACTTTGACCCAAATAATGAGTTCCGAACAGTTAAAGCAATGAAAAAATTGCAGTTGCACCACAAAGTGCTATTTTAAAAAATTTTTGGCATTTTTTCGTTTATAACACTTTTAATCTCGTTAAAGTGAGATACTTTTGCAATTAACCTAAATTTTAGCTAAAATAAAGAGGCTTATACTGCTATACATTATCTAAATATGCACGCACAAGTCACTTGTCATTATTAACTGTGCAAAACTGCTTTTGGGTCTTTGAATTTACTAGGTTGTATCGTATGACAGGGCTCGTTTTTCTCCTTATCCCGGCCCTTCACTACTTTAGATGGTATAACCTGATTTCATTCTCACATGTTTATTGCTTAGAGCATATAAGGATTTGTAAAGGTTTAAGAGGATTTGAATAAGGGAATTTCTTCTAGCTTAAGAGATGATGAGTGCTACTCATTGACGAGGTTGAATTCATCTAGTTGCCTCCTCTCTAAAAGGAGTATTTAAGCAGCATTGGAGTTATGGTATAGACTTTTTGCAGGGCCCCACTTCAAATTTTATATATTTTGTCGGTTAATAGCCCAATTTTTGATGGGAAAATGTAGACCTGCTAGAGCCTCCTCCCCAGTATCCTTTTGGCTTTTTGAATAGTTTTCTTTGCGTTTTTTTTCGTCTTCAGCACTGCCATTGGTTACTACTTTGACATTTCTTGTAGGAGGCAGTCGCTAATGTTGGCAGTGCGTTGTCTTATTAGCTAGTTTACTTTGCTTCCAGCTAGTTTTTATAGCAAATACATACATATAATTTTTTAATGCCTTTTCATGCTTTAAAGCCTGATCCTTACGATGGACATCGCCTTTTAATTTTGTTTTTTGTCTAGTGTGGCACCTTTTTGTTGTTTTTTTAATATTTGTTTTTTGTATCAAATTACCTTTTTTAGTGGGAAGATCGTAATTTCTTGTCTGATAAAAAATACTTTTTGTTTGAAGCTTCTGATTCATCATGTTCATTGTATATTTCCCCACCCAGTTAACAGTTTAGTGTGCGTGAGTACAGTCTTTTCGTTGCTTATTCTAGGGTCATATTCCATACTTTGTATTCCACTTCAACAAGCTTTGCAATATTATTTGTCTGGGTTATTTGCTACCGTTATTTGATCGCTTCGTTGCATAAAGTACAGCTAGACATTATTTGCAGTAATTTGTGCTATATTTTCACAGTATTCGCAATGTCACTGAATCGCCGCCGACCGCCACCTCGGGAACCCAATGACGAGGAAAAGAATGTAATCGTGGCTGTGCGACACTGTGCTCGTGAATTGGATGATATGCTTCAGGGTGCGAGACGAAAGGCCCAGGTTGACGCGAAACTATTCGCAGCGAAGACCGCTCCCTCACTTTTTCGAGCCGTGGAATTCTACACCGATATGTATGCGAAATTGAGGATGAAGTCTCGCATGGCTCTCACACGACTCTTCCAGCGATCTCGCGACCTTGATGAGATGGTCGATGCTCAGGAGGCCATCGACGAAACAGAAGAGTGTTGGAAAGGCTTCCTGGTTAATCTTGACACTGATATGAAAAGTACTACTTCTCAGCGCCCATTGTCCTCTTCCGTAAAAGGGGTTGGTGATTATATAGAGCTTCTGGATCCGCGTTTAATCGATTGCAGCAATTTTGAGGAGTGCAGCCTGCATCAAGCCCTTTCCAGGTTTACAAGTTCGCTTTTAATATTTCATCCGGCTTATTTGCCAGATGTTGCTGTGCGGAGCAGATCTTCGGAAATCTCCAAGGTTGCGGTAGGCTACATACTTTTAGTATCACGCTTATGCTATATGGTTCCATGCTTTTTGACCGATAGAGTGTCCCGTGAGTTAGTCTATTCTTACGTTGTTACATTGGTTTTGATTGTTATTGTAGAATCCCGAATTAATGTAGAGTTCTCTTATTTTTTGCTCAGCTTATCTAGAATTTTATTTGTGTTTTGCTTTTGAAGCAGTACCTCTATGTAACCTGTTTCACTAGTATTGCTCCTACGAAGAATGCTGTTTTTTAAACCATTTAGGCAGATTTTTATCAGTTGAACGTCGGTTTCGTTGTTATAACGTGGGGTCCTGAGTCTGCGGTGCGAGTGTGGAGCAAGCATTTGCTGAAGCATCTCAAGTGGCCTGTGCTGTGGGATCGTGACAATTTCTTCACTTCTTTCCTTTCTTTCAAACGAGGTTGTGCATCTGTGAGTTGAATGCGTTCATGCATTTTGTTCGTTATTTTCTTTCGTGTTGGATTCATGCTCTCCCCTTTAGCTATGGGCTTCCCAAATGCTTGACTTTTGTGCTTACCAAAGTACCACCTACAAGCGCTCCGTTCAGCCTCTGCCAACCGACATTGATTGGAGCACCTGGAACTGGGTAGGTGGTGAAGTTGTGATCGCGTCCCCCGCCGTCAGCCGTATGCTTTACAAACGAGAGTTAGACGCGCGCTCACAGCATGCCTCCGAAGAGAAGTCAGACTTATCCTTTTTGCCAAAACTTCCTGATACGGGATCAAGTTCCCGGATTTGCTTCATTCATCGCGCTGATAACTTAGCTGATATGGCGCCTCCAGGTAGCATTTACCAGGCTTCCTTGGTCTGCTATGCAATTTCACAAAATAAGAGCGAATCTGAGGTGGTAGAGGAGATTCGCACTCACCGACGCCTGGCCACACCACCGGAGTCGGGTCGGCTGCAGTACGAAGATGCGACGGGCCTTTACTACGATCCTGAGACGGAGTTACACTATGACTCGCGTACGGGCTACTTTTATGATGCTGCACGGCGTACCTACTATTACTGGTCGGCGGAGTCGCACCGCTACGTCCCGGCAAATGAATTGGTTCGCGTACAGCAAGCGGAGGCTCATAGACTGCGACTGGAGGCAGCGCAACAAGCGGCACTCCGTGCAGTACGTGAGCAGGAAGCGGCGCGGGCTGCAGGCGCGCGAGTGGCCGCCCAACTGGCCGCGCTGCGTGCCGAGAAAGACGAGTACGCTAGCTATGCTTACGCTACTTGCCTTTTTGAACCTGCTGACGATCCCATCGCTGCTGTGCACTCCTCCTCCAGTGCTAACATCCAAGAGTCTCTACGTCTTCTCGGCGGTGGCACAGCAAGCAACAGCGTCTCTGTTGCTGCCACTGGGGCCCCATCGACAATCCACGATAACTCTCCCTACCCGCCCGGCTGTCCTCCACCCCCTGGCGTCTGACCTTACGTTTACATATACACAGATTTGCGCCACCTCTCTGCTTTTCCGTGCATTTACATGGCAGCCTATGCAGCTCTATTTGTGATCATTAGTTTATACCCTTTTCGAAATGTCATTGTTTGAAGCATGAGAATGGACTTATCATTTGTGTGTAGTTAATCAGTGACGCGTGACCCGTGAGCCTTCGAGAGGCCACACATCCATTTTCATTGCCTATGACCAGTTTCCTTTTGAACTGCTAATTAAAGAAGCTCCTCAACGTTGAGCATTAGTAAACACTGACGCGAAAAGGAAATCGCGCTTGGGGTCGCCGATCGGCCGAGCCATTCAAATGCACCTAACTCTCGGAGGCCTACGCTTCTACCTTTACTAGGCTCGCCTTCTATGATTCAGCAAATTTGATGCCGATGCGACGTTTGAATTTAAGGATAACTCCACATGGCCAATTGTCGACGAGTTTAACCGAAACAATACCAGCGCATAGCAAAATACACCAAGAGTGAAAAAGGTAGGTGAAATGGAGTGTACAGAGGGCTCGGCTCAATATGCGTGGTCGTCGCGCGCGCCTGCGTCGTCGCTGCTGGCACTCGAACTCTCTGCCTCCCCATCCTCACGAGTTGCCTGACGCCTACGACGACGCGCCGACGCTGCATCGTCTGGAGTCTCAATTGTCCCTTCACCTCTCGCCACCGCGGCACGCTTCGCCGGGGACCTCTCGTCCCCATCACTATCTTCTTGGTCATCGTCGCCGCCGGAGACACTGGCACTGCGTTTGCCACGCCCGTTTCCGCCGTGTTTAGAGGTCTTATGACCACTATTCGCACCGTCTCCCCCATGCCGATTGCTTCTGGATTTCTTCGACTTTTTGTGCTTCTTGCGCGAACCTGAGTCTGAATCACGATGGTGCTTACGCTTGCGATGCCGCCGGGATGACCGTTTTCCTGACTCCAGTTTGTGGTGTTCATCCCCTTCACCCTGTTGCTCGTTCCTTCCCTCTTCCTCTTCGCTGCCACCACCGCCGTCTGCCCTCTTCGTCTCATGGGACCGCGATCTACAAACCAACATTACCCATCCTATCCTGGATTGGCTTCAAATTCGTTATTAGAGTAGATAAAGGCCTTAGTTTAGTGGTGAGATAATAACAAAGTAAGCCTATATTAAAATTCCTCTAACTGGACAATATTGGCCTTCAGTCGAAGCAATTAACACGAAATACTAGTGGGTAAGAGCAGTCTTTACAAACCTGACGTTATGAGACTTGCTAGACTTTGAATCGTGGCCACTGAATGCATCTCGTTGAATCAAGTAGTCCTTGAATAGACGAAGCCTTTCAGATTGAAGGGTGATTGCCTGTAGCAATTAAAATTGTTGCTTAAGACAGACAAAAATAGTGAATGTGCGGGAAGTGATTGAAGGGGCGTCACATTAAAAGAGACGTGAGAGGAGAATCGCTCGGACACTTCCTCCCAAGTGGTGGTAGCCTCCACAGGAGGATCAGCCTGCCGGAGCATCTCAAAGAAGGCCTGTTCGAGTTTGTGCATACGGCGCGCCTCCTCGCGCTGACGCTCGCGTTCCCGATTACGTGCCTTCTCCATCAGACCGTCAAAGATAATACGCACGTTACCCAAATCCAAAAGCCTACCTCTCTCATCCGACGCCACCATCTGCAAGGATAAAGGAGACCCGTTTACATGTATCAAGCAGAGGAGATGACCCACTGCTAAAAACCTAAGCTAGAGACGGATGGATGGGTGGAAATAATCATAGAAACCAATTCCCTGGGTGATGGCCAATTAATGATTCCCAAAACAATGTTCGCCGAGATGTGAGCGTATTGTTCGAAATGTTTCGATCATGGGTTTTGCAAGTGAGAATAAAGGGACTTATCAGCTATCCTAGTACAATCATGTAGAAGACTTAACGACTTCATAAAAATGATGCCGTTACTTTCTTGAAATCCTCGAAATCCGAAGAAACTTCGACTGTGTGGTTTTTTTCTTTAAGAATCTCCTTCATAATCTTTTTATCCGATGGTAAGCGGCACTTCAATTTCTCAACGTAAAATTTGAACAAGTCAAGAGGTGTAGACCCGCGCTGGGCCAGCATAGCGTGAAATCGTTCATCTCTAAAGGCACAATCACATAAGAGTAATAACCTACCGCCTGATAATATAAAAAAGATCTTTCCAAAGTGAAATAGAAGTTAGAAATTGGTGCTCCCTTAGCTCATCAAGAAGAACAGTAAAAGCTTCGCGATTTTTTCTTTGAATTCGCTTCTGCTTTCGCTTTTCCCGCTCTTTTTCCTCATCATGCTCCCTTTCAAGCATTCGTATATGCTCTTCAAACCGGATCAGCGCATCCTCCTTATCCAAACTCTGCAATTCCTTGTCGTCAGTAAACCTTGCAAACCAAACGGTATAAAATGAAGCATATGTAGTTATCAAAGGCTAGCACTCAATCTAGTAGTTCTGTAATAGTAGTAGCAGCACATTATGCACACTTACATGGCAGAGCAATTTCTAAACCTTAAAAGTGCGGTTTTGTTGTGCACGCGACCACAAATATCGCATACGAAACAGGTACATTACCTGGGGTCGTCTAGGAGCATTTGCTGTGCCTCGCTCCAAGTTGTTCTGTAAGTCAAGTTTTGCATGTTGCTTAGGATATCATTGAAAACCCTTATATTTCTTTTTCTGAGAGACTTAGAGTCCTCTTTTTCACGTTTAGCGATCTCCTGCATTGCATCAGAGAGCAAAATGCGACGATCATGTTCTGGGACACTATTCCACTCAGGCACATCTGACAGAACTTGATCGACCTTCCTATATGACATAGTTGAGTGAATCTCTTTAGTTTGAAGCAGATATTTCTCCAAGTTTTCCTTCGCCTGCTTCATAAGCATACGCTGTTCCTCTCGCTCCTCCTTTTGACGTTGTGACTTGTAGACATTAAAAATCTGTTTCTTTTCAACAAAGTTCTTAAGAACACTGTACCGTGGATCATCACCTATAAGTTTCAGAGCTTGTTCCCATGTAGCATTGCCAGGCACCTTCTTCTCTCGAAAAAGCCGGCGCAATCCCTCTGCCATTTCTCCTCGAGTTTTGTATTCAGGAACGGTCACCGCTTCTACAGAACTTTGCTCACAGGGTGGAAGGGGAATTAGAGTTGATTCTGGAGCCTCATTGCCAAAAGATTCCAGCGTAGCTTTCATTGCTCTTTCCAGTTCAGAGGGCTCACTGGGCTTTAGCTCCTCGGCAGGAGTGGATGGTGTAATAGGTGTGCCGGATACAACAGTATTTGATAAAACTGGCAATGCGTTTGGTTTTGTTGACGCTGCTAAAGCACGCTGCTCCGCATCGATAAGGTCCAGTGGCTTCGTCCAAACAGACTCCTTGGTTTCAGAGTTATAGTAGTACGCTTTACCCGAATCCGACTTAAACTCCTTCCATGGACAGACAGCTAGAAGCTTTTCCGATGCAGACTTTAGCTCGTCAGGTTTCTCCCATGTGGTAACTTTGGTTAAATTGTTAAAGTAATATTTCCTGCCATCGTGAGATGTGTGTTCGCTCCACGTTGTTTGAGCTGCCGAAGCAGAAGCCACAGGAGGGACATACCCAGCAGCGTAGTATGGATGCGAAACATAGTGCATAGCAGGAACACCGTATGGGGGAGGGTAACCAGCCATAACTACTTAAGAATGGCTAAATTGACACAAATCGTTCAGCCAACCATTGTGATTAGAGAGCAGAGAATTAATTACCCTCCAATAAATGGGATGTTACGGTGAACCGCAAGTTCGGGGGTAAACATAACTTATTTAAAAAAATAATTCTTTCAAAGTTAATGAGCTTGGAGGCAAAGCAATGAATATTTTGACTTTAAGGGAGAACTGCAAAAAAACACATTTCCCCCAAACTCTCCAATACGGTCTTCTCAAAAGTACAGCAGAAAAATGTCTCAAAGAAACAACAGTGGTGCGCAACTTTCGCCATTACACAGGGTTGTTATTTTTTCAGCACCGCAAACGCAGCTATGCCTGAATATCTAAACACTTCCACCACATGGGTATTCTCTGACGAATGCATATAAGGCTTCATCTACAACTTGTTCCTGTTACTCTTTCTGCTGCAAGGTGAAAGTCTTTATCGTTCAAACACTACTACTTACGCTTCATACCGCCTCTCTGCGTTTATTTGACCGTAGCCGTTTCTCATTATTAAGAAATACTATCTGTCACCCTTTGCTTTCTTGTGTAATTTCAAAATTTTTGCCTATTGGCAACACTTTGTTACAGTTTGTCTAACTTGCCTTCCATTAATATTGAAATAACTAGTTTTTAAATTTTCTTCCTTGTAATGTATGTACACTCATGCATAAAAAGCGTGTACACATGCGATATTAGAATTTCCGTAAGATGTCTAGGTCTGTTTTGCCAGAATGCCAGAATGCCATTGTGCTTTGAATTTAGTTGAATTCTTACATGGGTCAAGTTGCATTTTGGCATTATTTTTGTAGATTTGGGCAAAGAATATTTTGCGTTATTGCGACATTGCATCCTTTGGCATTTATCGTTCATTTCTATACTGATTTTTTTTGCAGAATATTATAACCCATGTTTTTGTTATCTGATTTACCGCCTCCGTTTCCAAGTCATATACTGGTATGTCAGTCAATGTTGGGCGCTTTTCAGTGCGGGGCAGTGTTTTATGGCGAAGACTTGGACCTATTCGATTAGGAAGTGTGCATTGTCAAAATATAAAGCAATTTGTTCCTCTTCTCCTTCATATCATACCCCTTATGAACTCACCAACTTACTCATCAAGTGAGACTTCGTAGTTGTCCTCTTTTAGTGACCCCCCTCCCCCCTCCCAAAAAAAAATATCGCCTTTCTCTGACTTTTAAATGTCGCTACAAACTTACCACCTCTCTGACACAAAAATTTTTGTATTTTATGTAGTCTCTGTTCACTTCTCCTCGGGTCCCCTCACGCGAGTAGTATTTGCAGTCATTCCCTTATAGGGTTCCAAATATCGTCAATTCTTTTGCGCAGTTTACATCCGTTTTATCACTTACGTCTTAAAATTACCAACTCATTCGGCTCATTCACTTGTGGATTGATTTCGCAGGGGAGTTGCATAATTCTGTGAATACTTTGCACCTTTTAGAATTTGCAATGTTACAACAACAGTTAGCACTGATCGCTACTTCCCTCTCTCCAAATTATTTTTGCCTGCTGGAACTGAAAGGGGGTTATCCTTCAAGCGTATCACTTCCATGTATGCTTTGCTAACCGGAGTTGAATTAATGGTCTTCAAACCCTTGAGGACCGTATAGTTAACTTGTCCTCACTTTGTTCCGATTATTGGTAGCTTAAAGCGAGTTGTGTTTATCAGTCATGAATTTTGTTACGTTTAATAGTTGTCGGTGTTCTGCTGACGCTGTTAAACTTATCGTCAAGTTTACGTAAAAGTCGATGTGTACACCCAATGTTTCTTGATTCACATATTAGTGTAATGTATCTCATTAACATTATTTAGGCGTTTACCGAAAGCGAAGAAATCCAAGTCCTCATTGCGGTATCTCAAACGGCGTTGCATCGATGTTAAGTTCTACTTTGTCGCGATGCGTCGTTATCGTGGCCAGAGAAGGGTCTCCTGCTCCCCTCGAAGATCGGTGCCATTGGCTAATGAGATCGGTGCTTCCATGGTAAGTGCCTTAACTTTTGTTAAGGTTCTGGTGAGTCTTATGAGCTTATTAGCGTAGTCTTATTCAAAATTTTTACGAAGAATCGGGTCTTGTGGGTCGCGGTTCATATTTGATTATTCCCTTTCAGGACTCTGCAAACAACCCACAATTCGAGGGTGTTCCGCATGTCGCTTACTCAATAGGTCTTTGTAAGTTACTTCAATTGCTGGTTTGTGATGCGAATTTACACGTATACTAGTTACAACGCTTGAGATCAGCAATAAGTTGGGCGTTTTTTATTAACGGCACATTTAGTGAATTAAGAAACCTACGTACTTTCCGGCCACTACAGGTCCATATTTGCCCGGGATTAACGTACAGCATCGAACAACCCCACGCGAGTGGCATTGCATCAACGAATTCGCTGATTCCTTGTCCCGCATTATCTTGCGAGACCTTCACCTCCCTCCACCTTCAGCCGACTTCAAGTCTGCGACCACAAAACTGTTACATAATAACCATATTCATAATTGTCAGCAACAGCTCATCGCACCCCAATCAACTCTCATGTAAGCCTTTGTTCTCCTCTTCTAACCGGTTTCGTGCCATCAAAATTACCAACTATCGTGCGTATTTCCCAAGCAAAATTACATTTTGTTAGTGGCGAGAAACACCTCGCAAAATGACTTCATCCACCATCTATTTGTAGTTAGTCTAGTGATTCCTATTACTCATTCTCCAATATTATTTGGTATTTTTGTGGCGTCGAAGATTATTCCTTTGCAATATGTAACTTCCTCAATTTGGGGTATGGTTTGTAGATTAGGATTTGGGCGGGCACTTTTGTTGGAGACTCACTGAGTAAATCAGGAACGCGGAAAGCGAATTGTTTGCCTGTTTCAACTTCGCATAACTATGCACAAAGTACTGTTATCAAGGTTTGTATAAAGTAGAACGCTTAAGTTTAGTTATTGGAATACGTTTTGAATGATTTGAGACTAGCGTCTTCACACTACCATGTACACTACAATTCATCTGACTTTCGAAACATGCCTTATGGCTATCATCGTTTCGTGATTTTAGGACTCGGGGCAAACGTTTGTTTTTTAAAGCGTGTAAAACATCATTTTTATCATGTCACATATGAAAGTCCAACGTAAATGCTGAAAATTTTACAGAATATCTCTCTGGAATGTTTTGAAACCATTTGAAAGGCGCGTTGGTAATAGGTTACATTTTGGAAATTCACTGCCGTGTTGATTAAAATATTTGATATGCGCCCTGTATTGATGCCCCACACTTCCGATATCTTGTTCTCAATGCTTACGTCAACTTAAATCACAATGTTGGTGTCCTAAGATGGATGTGTAGCACTCTATCGAGTGATAGAGTGAATCTGTGACCACAGTGGTTGTGAATTCCAGCAGTCAATCGGCTCTTGGCCATAACAGCATCGCCTCGCTGCTCGAGGCTACCGCCTCTCGCCTCGAGCAGGTCATAATGGGCGAGGCTCTTTGTTCCATCCTCCCACGACCTAAATCACCACCACCGCCGCTGTCTTCGCGCCCTTCTTCCCCACGGTACACGCTTGTCCGCTTTGCCGAGGATGTAACCTCCCAGGTCATGAAAAAGGTAAGTGCGTGATAGTATTCACACTTTCACGAATCATTGTAGTTTATTTGGCAAGGCAGCTGGTTTTATCTACTGCCGCCTTACTTCTACTGTAACTTTAGTGGTCGAACGGCCCTTTTGTCAAAGTTTTTAAGACCAGAAGGGATGATGGCCTGGACTGCGAGATCAAAAACAGATTATTATCCCCCAATTTGCCATAGTGGATGCAAAGTGCATCGGGTTCTTTCCTTGAAGCGCCCTTTTATTTATTGACTTTGGGTCGTTAGGCTTGCCAGTCTGCAAAGAGGCGCATGCGCGCCATTCAATGGGTTGCTGACTCGGTGCTGTGCTCCCCGGTAATCATGACATCTTCGGATTCTCATTCTGCATTGGCAAACGTCGCACCAACGCTTTTGGATGATGAGGAATCAGTACGCCTAGACACTTTTATTTTTATGACCACGTTTTTTCCCTTTTGTACAAAGTTATATTGGAATCAACAGCTGCGCTAACACCTTCAGACAACTCTTGGTTGTGGCGATCGTATGTAGAAAATGGGAATATGCTCTTGCTCAACATTTCACGTCACACCCATTCACGTAATATGTCTAACATATACTTTTTTTTCATTGAAAGCAAATGCGATCAATGTGGGTTACAGTATGTGTTCTGGGCGTTTCGCAGGTCGACTGACCTCTCGGCGCCTGTCAGAGGCGTTGAGAGGTCTGGCCCATCAGCCTTTTGTCCTAGGTTCCTTTATCAACCTCACTCCTAATGCACTTTGTAGACTTGCTTTAGCTCTCGCAGGTTTTGTAGAGGCCTCTTTGTTGTTAAAATAAGACTGTTTTTTGTCGGTAGTAGTATAGCTAGCAGATTCAGTTGTGCGACTGCTTGAAGAAGTATTATCAAAAGTCGATATGTAGTCAATAAGTACTTTCGATTCCTGTTGGCAAATTCTTTCTCTGTAATGTAGTTTCACACGAATTCGCTAAGCCTAGTTCTTATTCAGTTTTGTTTCAGGTATTTCACTTTTTTACTTTGGTGGCATTAGTGCTCCTTAACCATTCTACTTATTCGTTTCACAGTAATGTTTCTTGTTTTTAGTTTCATCACCTATTTGGAAACGAGACGGAAATGGTCAACCTGCTTCAGTGAGCTATAAGAAGCGCTTGACCTCTTTCTTCTTTGTCCTCTACTCAAGCCATTTTTTTTTCTTATCATTCATCGGCAGTCAAACTCTATTTGTACAGGCCCACAATGTTCGTAACTTCTACCTTTCTGCGTCGCTTCATGAATAAATGTACTTAATACGTTAGGTAGTTTGTATTATGATGCAATGGTGCCGAAATACTTAAATCTCGTTGCGGTATGGATGTGCATGCATAAATAGGTCCTTAAAGAGAAACATAATCATTCATGAGGCATATAACACATTTGGCACCATAGCGGGTTACCCGTTGGAATGCTTGTAGCGGCGGCATTAGTGTTTGATAATTTTATGTTTACAAGAGCATTGAATGCGGTTGTTATTGTGACTTAGCTATTACCGTTACAATGTTCTCCGAGTATCTGAAGGTTATTCTGTTATGGGGTTCCTCCTTGAGGGCCCCTCATTGCTTTACCAGAATAAGACTTGTCCATACCCTGACTCTCATTTCGGGTAACACACCTTGTTGGCTACGGAGTCGGTCACGTGTTGAAATGTGCCATCCTGACCCGAGTCGTATAGAGCTATTGGTTGTTGTACCAGTAGCTATTGGGAGAATGCAGTGTTGGCTCTCATTAATTGCAGCATTTATGTAGGACTCATCACATAACTGGGAGCTTCAAGCATGTTATATTCATTGACCTGATCTAAATATATTTCAAGTATAATCACAGTTGTTTAGATGAAGTAATCAGCTTATTTCAACAATTTCTGCACGTGCTTCACGTGTGTTAATGTCAGAACTACCTCTTGTTTAGGGAATCTCTCATGCATAGTAAAGCGAATAACAGTTCGTAGTTAACTTGTTACTGTACAATGATTGCTATTGTCTATTTGGTGCCTCAGGAATTCATTTACTTGGCTGTGGTGTGTCAGCCTCACCCACTGCAACGCATGCTTACTTGGGCTGAGCGAGTAGTGCTACCACCAGGGGCATTAGTCATCCATCACCACACCATGTCCGACCGCCTAATCATCCGGTGGCCGATGCACGGCACCGTCTGCACCACCACCACCGCCCACACTGACCGGACGTCGGCTTGTGCTCTCAGGTGCGCGGGAGTAGCGATTAGGCGGGGAACTGCGCTAACCCCGAGGCTACACCCTCATCCTTCTCATCCTAAGTGCCCTCAAGGGCAATTTAATTTCCCTATCACGTGGAGTTCCCTAAACGTAAAAACGGACCCTCCCACTAGGAGTTACTAATGCTGCTTAACTACGATTAGACACAACAGAACCATTCCTTTAGATAACCGCTATCCACCCCTTAAAGGCTCCAATGCGGTCTTGCAGTTACATCAGGAATTATGTGTTATATTTTGCTAATATTTTATGGGACTCTAATTATTTCTTTAGCATAATTTGCATCGCCATTTGATTTACCCATGTTGCTATTGATGCCACCGTCTTGTACGCGGCAGACAGAATCTTTTCAGATATCTATAAGCCTGTGTCTTCATCACTTAACGTAAACAAAGTGGTTTTCAATTTGAGTTTTCTAAAGGAGAAGTTTGTTTTTTTTGTTTTTGAAAACGCTAACTGTACCTACTTTATTCCACCCAGTGGTAAGGTAATTTATGGGATCGCATCAAATCTCATTCAATCTACTTCAAGTGCTGCAGCAAAGGTGTGAAATAGTTTCAATGTCTTCAATCTGGATACACCACAAAAGCTACACGTGGCAACAGGAAAACAGGTGGTCATTATTGCTTTCCGTTGAGTCCCTGTGGGATTATCGTAAAACGTACCCCGAATTGGCATAACGAATAGGAATTTTATTTGCGGGACATTTTGTCTTCACGAGGGGTGGAGTGGTCCATCACTAAGATAATTGAATTTGGTCATTATTGCCTGTGAATTAGGTAGAGAGTTTGTTATTCTTGTAGAATGCTTCAAGAGAGGTGTTCTCTACCCCCCAGCGTGAATAAATCCCACCTGTGATAAGTGGATAAATTCAATTATTCGAATCGCTTTCCGCCAAGCAGTGCTCCCTGATGCCGTGATTTAGTGCTGGAGGGTAGCGAAAACACAGCTAAAATAAACTGGTAAACACTCGTGAACTAGCCTTCAAAGCTTTCCCATTGATGTTCCGAATTCAAGTATTACTATGGTTTAATTACTTGATATAAGCACTATGTTCGGGAAAACAGAGAATTTTGCCAAAAATCAAGTGTTACAAAGCGATGCACACAAACTTCTGTTGGTAAAGCTGGGTTCGATTTAGAGGCCATGCTAATGGCGAGCTTGCTGAATTCGCTTATGGACGCGACTAGGAGCTAAAAATATTTTGGCCCTACTTGGCGTCACGACTCGCAAATGTGCCGAATTACGTTGTGTTAGATCAATGCAATTCATTTCAAACCAAGAAAGTGTTAAACGCAGATTTTTTACGGATTTTAGGCACTACAGTTGGAGTTCTTGAGTAAAACTAGGACTAAGGTGATTTTATTTAATCCTGACCCACCCTAAAGCAAACTGTTTCATGAATATAATCAGGTGGCTCTGAATACATTACTAGAAACGTATTTCGTAAAAACGACTAAGGGACAGAAATTTTCAGAGCAATTTTTTTAACATTTGCTAAAAGCGAATTTCAAATCAAATAGTTTTGTACAATACATTTCTGCTGAAAAGCATTTTTCTCAAAGTCACTCACTCCATTTCGCTATTTTTTCCTAAAATGAATGTTGTGGAAGCGACTTCGTTTACGAATTGGCACTTTTCTAAACAAGTTAATTAATGCGATCAAAAATAAACCCAAAAGCTCCACTGAGTGTTTTTGCGGTCTAAATTTGCGATAAAAAATTTTGTTTATTACCTTACAAAGTAGTGGCTAACTTGATACCCTACGGTGGTAAACCGTAGAGGAACAATTCGTTTCAAATTCGAAATCGATTTAAATGTGACAGAAGTGGTTTGGAGAAATTCGCCTTATGCACCAATAGAATGACATTTCATTCTAGCGCACAGAACTCTTTACTGCTTCGCTAAGTTTATGCAACCACCTTATTGCAAGTGAATTCTAGTATTTTTGATAAGGCGCTAACCCACCTCAATGTAGCACCCTTTATGCTCTCTAGAAAGGTAGTTTTACCATTGAAAGTGGCAACTGACCAATAGGAACACAAAAAGAAAGTCTCCCCACCATGTCCTCTTTTTACCCCTGTCCCTTTCTTTTGTCCATTGGACGGCTCTCGAGCAGAGCGATATCCGCTTTTCTTACTATTGGCTCGCTCAAGTTGCCGTGATGGTGTGACCGATACCACCTCGTCACTCTGATGAGACTCACTTATTTGGCTTTCCTTCTCAACACCGGCAACAACGGATAAAGTCATGTTTTGGTACGTTTGAATGCTCGTTAAATCATATTATTAAGACTGATTATTTCCCCTATGTTCTTAATATCACTACTGCTGGTCCGATTGTGCATAGATTTAGACTCTGCATTTAGTGGCATATGCGTGCTTTCACCATACTTTATGCTTTCTGATCAATCCTAATCATCTAAGACGCATTAATTTTATGCAGAACCTTCATATTCGATTCCATCTGCGAACTCTCGGTAGTATCAAAGAGTTGTATGGCCTTTCTCACAGCATTCGCCTAAAAATCTAAGCCTACATTTTATTACACTTTTTAAGTTTTGATTTTGAACGTAGCCTGAAGCTGTTGAGACACCTTTTTGAACTTAAAGGCGCATGTTGATTTTGAGATATCTACTCCTTTCTTCTTTACTACATGATGTTCGTAAGTTTCCACCGCCGTTTACCAAGTGATTGCTACACCGAATCGGTCCAAAGAATGCTTGTTTACCTATCTGCCGAAACTGCGTAAACAAATCAAACCATCTACGCGGTCGCCTGATTGTTATCCCCGCATCCATTAATATTTGCGCCCTCCAATACGTGTAAATCCGTGCACCCACCTGTTTGACTTGCAATGGTGTTCTATTGCCATTAGGCAAAGCTACAAGTTCTGATCCGAAGGTAGGGAATGCCAATGGACACAAGGGCGTTGGTGGTACCACCAATGTACTGAAAAGGCATTAGAGGACAAAGCGCTGTAGTGAATTGGGCCTCTAAGTTGGTACTAAAACGGTTTGGGCAGGCGAACAGGTCATCTTCTCGTGGTAACATAAATCAAAAATTCATCTCTGTTATCTTCTCTTCTGCTCTATTCTCCTGTTCTCTCGGCGTTTCTTTGCCCCCTCACGCTCATCAGTTTGAATCGTTTTAAAGACCTTTAGTGCATGCGTCAAAAAACGCTGATCAAAAGGTATGCTATGATCAAACACAATCCTTATATTGTGTTAGGCTTACAGAAAGGGCTGTCATCTTTATGATCTATGGAAACCACCTTTTAAACACCGTCGAGGGTGGCGTTGTCGAAATTATTTCAATGCACCAAAGCATTGACTTTCTACTTAACGTCAAGCAGTAGATGGACCGACTATCGGGAAAAGTGGTTGCACGGATTTCTACAAAAAAATAGTTACTGGTTTTGGTAAAAGTAGTTATTTTTAAGTTTTTTCAAAGGGGCCTTAACCCAAATCGTATTTTATACATTATCAGAAACAGTCTAAGTGAGTTTAACTTATTTTATTAGAAGAAGTGCTCTACATATAATCTATACGACAGAATAGACCTAACTAACTGGCATTAGCCAAAGTTGAAACCGGCAGCACTAATCAAGAACATTTTCCACGATTGCATCTTACTCACTATTAAAATATTCATTATCTAATTTAAACCGATGTTTAAAATGTTTCCTTATTATTTATTCCACGTGAGCACTCATTGCCTTTGAACCATGATTTGAAGGTATGGAAGAAGAAATAAGGTGATCAGAGCTCCTCCGATTTCTTTTAAAGCTGTCAATCCACATAGTAGGGCATTCAAAAGCCTTTCAAGGCCTAATTACTTCAAAGGATGTGAGAAGGGGGTGCTGAGTACATGGAGAAGACTAGGCGGGACCTTGGACACACCGCTGCACGTACCCTTGAACTAGAAACTCCCATTGAGGAGGTACCGGAGGGAACTGGTGGTACCATGTGTGTGCGCACGTGCACATGTATGTGCGTGTGCGAACTCATGCTAAAACCCAACACCAGCAGAAGAGAAAAGGTGAAGAAAGGCGGTGGCTGACTAAACCGGCGTGCAGCGTGAATGGGGCGTGTTACGCAATTAGGTGGTGTTGTGACGCAAGCACTTGATAAGCTATTAGACATGAATTGTAACGAGAGAGCCCTTTGATAGCATTTAATCTTCATTAGACGAGACATTGCTTGTTGCATGTTATTATAGACGCACAGCACATTTAATGACTGGAATTATAATGTGTTTAGCCATCCTAATAGGGTACTTTTTGATTGGCAGTCATTTAATCATACAATGTCAAAATGTCGAGGCATGGATGGGTCCAATGAGACTGCAGAAGCATTGCTGAATGTTCCCCTTACCTATACTCAAATGCTGCTGTGCCTGGTTTAAGATTTATTGGTTATTTCCTAGTAGGCGTAAGGAATACACAGATTAAGATTAATCTACAAACGGTCTATCGAAGGATTTATGTTTTAATACAGTTATGCACTAAATGGTGGCGAAAACGGCTCATTCACAGCTAGTGATGATAATTGTAAGTCGTGTGTTTAGGCGTTACTTATGAAGACCCAAATAAGTATTTATGGTTTTGTTCAATGTTTTTATATTTGGATTAATTTGATGAACTCATTGTACATAATCCATTACTTCATGTGAATAGTAACCGAACGATATGTTCAACAGGGAAATTATAAACGAGTCGCCATAATACAATTGCATAAAACTTGTAATGCTTCCGACGTAAATAAATGACTTTGTTTCCAATCCATGTTGATAAAATAATTCCACGGAGAGTTGCTAAGCTTAAAGTCATTCTTAACTTGTTTAGCAAGCCTGCAAGTAAAGATAATAATCAAAAAATGCATACCGATGTTTTGCAGTTAACACCGCCGTGTCGTTTCAACCATCCATTCCAGAGGCGTTTGTCATGTTACGCAATAGACGCCTTTGTCAGATTTTCAAATGTGGATGTCGAAGACAAAGTGAAAGATTGACAATGTAAAGCCACAGACAAATGCAGAGTCTGGTTTTTACTTTTTGAAAAACCGTTGGTGACATACATTGCTTCAATAGTACTCCTTCCTCCTTTCTATTAGAGTATGAAGTTAGTTAAAAATTCCTTTTATGCATTCGGAGTCGCTTATTGTTTTACATCTTTTTGAAAGGCAATAGGAAACTCCCCAGACTCAGATATTTTCTGAGCAGATTTGTTTTTGCCAACTTAAAAGACTAGGTAATGATTAGATCCTAAACACTAAAGTATTCCTCGATATTACCCTATCGTTGGAAAATTTAATAAAACGACTACATCCTGTAGATGAAAGAAAATTAGCTGTAATAAATACAGCAAAGGATGTGATGCATTCTTTCCCCTTTACCTTTAGATAAAAATTATTTTTCTGGATGGCTATCTGGGTTGATGGCCAATTCAGATAACTCTTTTGCAAATTGTACTCCATGAGAGAGTTTACATGCCCTGAAGTCATATCGAATGTGGATGGGTGGTTGGGTTGGCATCAACGGTATGAAAATAGGCATCGTATGATTGGTAGTGTACAGACCTTGGGAGGATATTTGGAACTGATGTATGCAATTTTAGCCTTCCGTAATATTGTTTAATATCACTAGGTCTGGGAACCCACTACAGGACTCTGAAGATGAGTTCTTTGAGAAATCTGATTTTTGCCGGCAGTCAGCTAGGTGAAGTATGTCAAAGAGTGCGGCTCTTGACTCAATAGTGCTCAACAAGAATTTAAAGGCCAACTCTTTTCATTGTATTTTTTATGTACTTGGTAGAATAATACTCTCTGAATGAAAATGCACTTTTGTAGCCCAGATGAACCTATTTTAGTAAAATCTACACGCATCAATGAACGATACAATACATTTGTGTTCTGAATCCCATAAACTTCCTTCGCATGCATTTCAAAAAGTTACTTAGACCTGTTGTATTCATTCCAGTATATTTTGGAGCATGATATACGGTAGAAGCGGAAAGATGCAGCTCATAGTTGGCACCTCACTTTTGTAAGTTTGGAAAGACTGCACCTAGGCTTTACAACCATGCACAATCGATGCTATCAAATATGTAAAACAAATGAAGACAATCTTTTTTGGCATTAAAACAAGATATGTCTTAACACTTAAACGGCATGCTTTTATTAGTATAATGACCACAGTTCAAGTTTTCACGATATATTACAAACAGAACTGGGACAGGTTGTCATGCTGGTGTCATTGCGCGTTTTATGTATTCATTACATCCCAAAAGTCTACCAAAACTTTGTTCCCTTTTCGATGAGCATTTTCCATGCGTATACACACTCAATGAATTGCATCGACTGTTAAAGCTAATGTTAAAAAAAATACTTGTTAAAAGTGCTGTGATAAAAGAGGTGTTTGCATCCTTTTAACGCCAACCGAAATTTCATCTACTCAAATCTTACTTAATGATGTGGAAGGAGGGTTTATACTGAGGTTAACTTCACTTCGAAAAGGTCCTCTATAAAGAGTTCTTGGCAGGAACTAAACCATCGTGCCCTCTGATGGCTATGGAGTTAATCAAATTACGTTGGGTAAAAGCTAGGCAATGTGCCCTCCCTTCCTAGGGTGCTTTTCACACTCCTACATCTAGTCATTGGTTTACTCAATTTGCTTCTCGCAGTGATAAACACGCCTCTCCGAGTGTTTGTGAGCACAGACGGTGGAACGTTGTTAAAAACCCTGGTTCTGATATTATTCTTTATTAAAAATTTCCAAGTTATTGCTTACTCGGTTGTGTAGTGGCTACATATAACCCTGGTTAGCTCTTGCACATTTAGGGCACTTCGCAAACGAGACGTAATTAACTTGAAAAAGTGAAAATGGTGCTATAATGTGGGACGCTAAATTTCCACGCATTTATACTACACATCTGGTTTCTAAGGCAAGCAAAATGGAGCAACAACATTCACATCTGTCCATCAAGTGAAAAAGTCGAGTACGAGAACCGAAGTGAATCTTCGTTGAGCATTGAAAACTCATCGATGATGTGAGTCTTCTCTCACAAAGAAATCCAGGGGCAACTATATTTGATGACAAAAGGCCCTGATTTCAGACCTGAAATTGGACACTCAGAAATTCAGTAAAAACACTCGAAATGGCTCATAAAATAAACGATAGTTCGCAGAAGCAGTAGAACTTATCATTAATCGCCTTATTTTTACTAAAATTTTATCTCGACAGCTGCTTTGACGGCTTATACAAAGTGATTCACAGATGACATGCAAAAGTATATGAAACAAATGGAAGGAATGAAAGCATTCGTGATTTTGCTTAATTGTGGGTCATATTGCTATTGGAGTGAATAATTTTGAGGCACATATTAAGCCATTAAATTGTTACCATGCTCTCTTGCCTCCACACGTTGTAGTGTAAGAAAATGTTATGCATTTTTGGTGTTGAAGAAGGGGATCTTGAGCTAGTGTTAGATTGTAAGATGATAAAATTAACAGAAATCGTTGCGTTAATTAATGAACAAGAATGCCCTATGCAATAAACGATACCTATATAAAGTGTTCCAAAAGTACCTAACACCTCTCTCAACGTTAGAATTGATGTTGGTGCTTCTAAATCACTGCATGTCATCATTTCTGGTGACTAACCCCCATAGTAGCATACCTGACACCTCTATTTTGATGACGTTCTCAGTTGGCTTTATTGCAAAATGCGCCACAGTGAGAATGAAATTAAAGCTACTGAAAGCCACAACTGCTGGCCTTTGTGGCAAAACAAGCACTACGTCCCGTTCTCTTTGCCTTTGCCGGTCGATGATGCGGATGCGTCATCGATGAGTATCGATTTTTGTGCAACAATTGTCTCATGGCGAATTACTGTCAGGTGTTTTGCAGGGTAGAACGGCTGAAAAAAGCGCCTCCTGTCAGCTGTGTGATCGCCTTAGACATACGAGTGACGCACTTTACAACTTTCTCAACAGGTTGATTCGACAGCGATTGCCGCTGCCCCCACCCCCCCACTTTTTAACCACTGACACGTTCAGTCAACTGGCATACGCTCGCCTCTTTCATTTGACAATTCAGTAAATTGCACGGCTTTCATTTTAAACCAGAATGCGAATCCTAGCGTTTTTTGCTAAACAGCATGGGGCATTCCATCAATCTAAATAAAGTGATCTGAGACATTCAAGCACTACTCGGCTCTACTCAAGAATGCCCAATGAAATCGGAAGAATTTTCGATAATTCCAGGCGGACTGCAATCGGTATATGCAACTTCCTACTGAATACCTAATGCAACTGCACCTAGAATTTTGTAGCATCATAACATGGGGCTCTCAATCTCCTTCACTGCTTACATTTCATGTCAGTTTGTCTCAGCAGAAGTGGTAGGAAGCTACTAGTGGGTCTGCACCATCGTGCATGTATACGATCGAAAATTACTAAGCTGCTCCTTCCGCAGCCTGTCACCTTGCAAAAAAGTAATTAAAATCATGCAACTTTACACGCAAGCATTAAGTCAAGCGTTCAGAGAAGCCATTATTGTGAAGTTTTTACTTTCGGAAGGCAAATGTTTCTATTGGATGCATAACGTAATAGCTTCTGCAGTCAATGACACCTCACCTCATCTCTGCAAGTCTAGGACTGAATACTTGATGAATGTTTCAATTTTAATTATTTTAACTAAAATGGACCAGGAACCTACTTCATCTTTGTTTAAAGTTTTGGGCTGAGCAGCATTGCTTCCTTTAAAACACGAGACTTTTATGTGAAGCATTAATATGAATACAAAAGTAGATATCAGCAACTTGTTCATTTATGAGCTTGAAAGCAATATATTTTTATAGTTCTGTAAATAGTGTTTTCTCAAATCATCAAAACCATTTCAAAACATGTTTTTGTCATCGAAAATCTTCAAAATATATAAAATGTTACTTAAGGCATAAATAGGTGTTTCATTTCAGTCAATATGCCAAACCCATTTCTTGTTTTTTTTAAAGAGAGGTAAGTCTATATCTGCTTAACTTGAGGTTCTTTAAACGGCATGTTTTGAAACCTACAATGAGCGCTGATATCAATTTTTGTTAGTTGGAAGATTGGTCTGTGAAATCAATTAAAGCAACTTGGGAGCAACGGAATGAATTAACACTTACTCATTTCCTGTCGCTCACGAAGAGCACCTCTGACCGTGTTTGATACTCTTCTCCTTTAATTCATTCACGAGTTGTGGGTTCGCACAAGTTAAAGCGGATTACTAATTATCGAAGGCATTCCTGAAAAGAAATGGTTAAAAGATCTGTCTGTTATGAGAGTAAAATCAGCCACTAAATTGCATTCAGCAAAGTAGCCTCTAAGGCAGTTTGAGTGATTCATTGTGGGCCAAGTGAACGAAAAAGTATAAGTTAACAACAATGGGGTTCTTACTGGGTATTAACCAACTTGTATGGGCTGTAAAGGAGCAGGCAATTATTATTCGCCATTGCCATTTCCTTTTTGTCAAATTTATAGGTAATTTTAGCATGTGCCACAAGTACGAATAGAAACTTTTTGCAAATCAGTGACCCGAAAGGTACACAACTCTACTCGTGTCGTGCTCGGCATTAAGGTTGGAACACTTTTCCAAATGGACAAGATAAAATTATGCAGACGAATTTTCGAAATAGCTCATATATTTGCTTGTTCACATATTCACGCGCATTATGCGAACCGAGGTACCAGTATCCAGCGTTAAGCTGCCTTTAAATAAAATTACATTCAATACGCTTAGATTGTTTACGATTGTCCGCATATTTACTCTGATTGACTAAGTTCATGCTCTATGCAAGGTGACACCAAACCATCGTTGGTAATTCATCTATGAGACTCAAGTGATTCCAGTATCTTGATTATGCAAATATTTTCTACTATGGATGGTAATGGAGAAAGTGATACTTGCGATTTGATGCAATGATATCGGAAGTTATTTTTTTACATCTCTTTAGCCGAAAAAAAAATTATGATTTCTGCACACGAGCATCTAACTTCGTATGTCATTCGCCTAAGGTAAATTCGTGGGTAGACCAATCAACACCCAAGCGTTGGCGATAAGCCTATCGATCGGCAGCTGAGCACGCGTTTATGGGGCAGCCAATAGAATGTGACCTGTGCGGACCAATAAACATCTTATTTTTGGGGTAGCCCCAAATTTGAACCTTGCCGATGGTATGAGCGGAATTTAGATCGCACAGTTATTTCCAGACTTGGCGTGACGTGTGAAGGGCAATCGATCTAGCTCTAACAGTGCGCTCAGATCACAAATGAATCGAGCAATGTCCTTGGCTGACACTACCACGGGGGAGTTATTAGCAGTTTCGAATATGTATCAAAACATTAATCATTTTGAACCTGGCAAAGTAACTCCAGTCGCGGAAGTCCCATCAACAACGGGTGCATTGCATTTCACTTCACCCGAACCTTTAATATCTGCGAGCACTCAATTTCCCAACATTGAAAATGAGAATCAAACCAATTATTCACCTGTGCTTTCTGCACAACTTAGTTCAAAGGATATTGGCACCAACTCTCTGAGGAGAAATTCGACACCAGGCAAGTTAGAAAACCATTTTTCATTTTATAAGCAGCGGTGAATTATATGGACAAAGCTATACCCATCTAACCTAAGTCGTTTTTTTAAATCACATGTAGGTACCGATATTTAGTTTCAAACCAATTCTAAAACCTTTATTCTAAGCACAACATATAAAATGGTTAGTTGATCTTTATCAACTTTGCAAAAAAATGTTTTTTTAAACACATTTTCTGCATGTATGAAATAAAGCTGTGTATTTACTTCATACTGCATGTAGATAAAGCAAAAGTTTGTTTCTGCCTGGTGTTAATGAACAGCAATGCTGACTCTGAAAAAGGATTACTTTGCTTCCATTAACATTGGATTTCCAATAACAATGGGAAGGATGGAAATCCCAGAGGAATCGAAATTACTCTGAACTGAAGCTTGCCTTCGGCCGCGTCTAAATGACGGCTTCTCACTAGCACTATTTGTGAAAGGCCTTTCATTCTTCCATTAGAAATGTTAACTGGCAGGCTAAAAATACGTCCTCTAATTAGTCACCATGAGATGAAGGAATAAGACCTTTGCAAGTATTTTATAAGCAATCATGAAAGTTATCAAAGGTTAACTCACAGTGCATGCACAAGAGCTAGCTTTTTCTTAACCACATGACCACCGCATAGACTAGATGGACCTACATTTATGCCGAATGAAGGGCACCTTGGTAGCAGTTGTTACCTGAAAGTGGTGTTCCGCTCATTAGATGCGCGTGTTCGAACTTGACCTGTAGCCATAATGGAGGAGACGAAGAGGCCGGCTCCGGCTTCGTTGCCTGCAATTCTCTCACCAGCCTGCGTGCATGTGCACGTATGGTGAGCTCAATCTATGATTCCTTGTTACTTCAGCCTCAATTATGCACTCCTAGCTCAATTCCCTACTACCCTAGATAACCAGAGGCTCATATCTTTGTCGTACATTACTAATGCACAGACATAATTCCTTTTTAAGTATTTTATTAAAAGTTCTTTTACTAACTCAACCGATAAATTGTTCTAAAATTTAGCCATGAAGGCAGTGTTCCATTCAGGCCTTATTCATTGTTAGGAGTCTTTAATAAAAGGGATCCGTTTCCGGTACGGTAATGTTTAGCAGGAGGAATTGAAATTCAAGGATAAATTAACTTAGTGAAAACCATTGTCTCATACGGCAGTTTGGGGAAAGGAGGTGGAGTGGACTGCGCAGACAGTCCTATGGCCAATTTGTGCGCTTTTGTTGCATGCATGCCTAAGGGTGTACACGTGCACCCACCTCATGACGCAAAGGTGGTGGGAGGAGGTAGTGCGCGTTCTGGTTGACAGGCTTAGAAGTTCCTATAACACTTCTCGCTCCATCCACGGCAGGTGTTCTTTAAAACTACGGCTCGCGAATAAGTAACCTACATTGGGATTTCCAATCAGAATTTGCACTTAATATATTGATCAAAGCTTCACTTAGCATATAGTGTGTAATGACATTTTGTGATAGCTTCCTGTTTTGTATGATCTATTATTTATGTGGCTCTTGTTATACAATTCCGTAGGCTGTTTGTGACAGCTACCTGATCATCTCAAAGAATAAGATTGTAGCTCTGCAAGTGATGTGCCTCGGAGAGAAAAAACGCAAGTTTAAAGCACAAGTAATTTGATAAAATTACTTTAAATTTGATGAAAATACCGACAGATCCTATTGTCATAAGCTCGTTTTGTTCAACAGCATAACTGGTATCCAATGGAGCTTGCACACGATAGAAGTATATCAGTATCGATTTATCCAACCATAAGTAGGGGTTGATTAAAAATCAATACTTAAAGTAGAGGTCGACAGCTACGTTCATTGCAATTGCGCAAAATTCCATGAAAACTTCAACGTTGATTGAACAGAGGAAAAAGTTCCCCTCATCCCGATTATTCGGCAAACCTCACCGGCTGACAAGACCACTACACCGGTGAGCCTTCGGCAGGCACAAAAGACGTCAACCTCTTCCGCATCCATTGGTAAAATTTCCACTGCTCCAGTCAATTTTGCCGCACCCACCATAGCCGCAACTGCAACAGTTGCCTCACCCGGAATCAAGTCCACCAGCGCCGCCAACGCCGCAACTTCCTCTTTGGTGTTCTCCTCGGGCAGTCTCCCAACCCCCACGCGATCGGAGAGTTGTCTCAACCCCTCCCAGTCAGGAGGCTCCAACTCCTCAACCTCCATCACTTCGCCTACAGTGCCGACAAAATCTACTCTAGTCGATACTCACCAGACACCAACTCCACCTCAGCCTTCACCGCCACCAACACAAACCACGACTACGATGCAGCAATTCCCACAAACCTCCAGTGCTGCTGCAGCCACGTCGATCATCTGTTCCACCCCAACACGTAGGAGGCATAGGACAACATTTAGCCAGGAACAACTGGATGAATTGGAATCGGCCTTTCGTAGATCGCACTACCCGGATATTTACTGTCGTGAAGATCTTGCAAAAACAACGAAACTCCAAGAGGCTCGAATTCAGGTATACTTATGTTCAACTAAGATTTAAGGCGCTCCTTATTTTTGGCAAGATAACATCACAGATAAGGTGAAAACCGAATAAATAAGATAAAAATGAAATCGAGGAATTGTTATCAGTAACAAAATGTTTGATGTTTTATCTTTGGAAAAAAGTGACTGACCCTGTATGGTGCTTTTGTGAAAGGGTTTTCAATTTACAATTTTTTCGAGATAACGAAACCTAAGTAAAAATACTTTGTTAGCTAAAAGGAATTGTTTGCAAAAAGAAATTACAAGAGTAGAGGTAGATATTATTAAAAATTTTGGAAATGAACACTTTGTGAGTTTTGAAACTGTCACAATTCAGATTCGAGGTGATCAAACCAAATCATTTATGGAAAACATTAAAGGCATTTATAATAATAAATTATGCATTATTTACCATCATAAATTACGTTGATCAAAGTTCCTTGGCAGTCATTACTATTTCAGGAAGAGGTTCCACTATTGTCAGAAAGAATCTGCTTGCTTGTTTAGACTCATCTTTTGATGACTCACGTAGTTACGAGAGGCTGCATCGACGAATTATTGGGTTCCAATGAACTTGTTCATTTTAATTTTATTACACCGAAAAACCAGCCTTTTTCAGCCTTCTATTTTAAGCTAGCACAACATCCTTACTTCTTTGGATGCCGACATCTCGATTAAAACCCTTTTCTAAGAGGAAATATTAGGGTTTGTGAAGTTAACTGTTTAGGTCAGTTTGAAAATATGAATGTTTTATCTTCACATTACAAAATCAGTTGATTGGAATGTAATAAATTTTGTCAACCTTTTTATCGTATCATCAGTGAAAACAATTATTTAGAAAGTTGCAGAAAGTCATAAGATGTAGTTTTTCTTGAGACCTCACTAAAATCTACACAACCTCCGCAATCATTCCGTTTCAGCGCCTTGGATTCTATAACATTTAATTGGTGAAGTTTACGCCTAAAATATTTGAAGTCTTTATGCCAAACGTCAGGTGTTATGTGAATTTGCTTGCAATAAACATAAAGCCTTTGCCATTAAAAGAGAACAAAAAAATGTGGTTCTTGATAGAGCAACAAGGCGCTTTAAACCTCTGGTAAAAAGTATTTACGGCAAGGCGCTGGAACACTTGATCAGATAATGATATGCCGAAATCGGTCGGTAGTAAGGTATCTATGGAATGTTTCCACATTAAACTGCTTCTTCATCTTTGTTGAATTCTCACACAAAGTCATCAAGTAACAATTAAAGTTGTGACGATGCATTGGGAAGCAACAAGTCGATAAAAGTTGGCGAGATGATAAAACCCTAGCATCGTCGAGCATTCCCACCAGTTAGGTGTCTTTATAACCTTCCTGAGTTATTAAAGCCTCGTTGGAGATTGGCATCGCTCTGATCGACGTATTGTAACCGCAACCATCCCGTTATCCGCAATTATAGTATCTGGGGCGCCTTGTATTCCGCAACTGCAACATTTCGTTAAGCGGCATCGAGTGGACAAACAGAAATGCCATAGTAAAGACGTTCACAATATTTCTGTGAGAAGGTGTGAATCGTACCTTATGCAATTGAACTATTCATTCAATGTAAACATGACACATACTAAATATTAGCAGCAACTCGGTTTTCCCATCATTATTGGGAAAGTTTAAAAATATCATTTGATTGCAAGACTGCGGCGGCTAAAAATACGCATTTTACCAGAAGTTTTAATGTTCTAAAAGGGTAGTCCTTGGAGGAATTACGAAGGAGTTGTACATTATTATCTCGATGTTAACATAAAAGTACTTTCCCCCTAGCGTTTACATCAATGGCTATTTCAATATTTACAAAGATAAGATTCCTTTAGTCACTGGCTATTTCCTTCTGTGCGCGGTTAAGTTAAACGAAATCCCCACAAATCGTATTAGAAGACATCGACGCTTTCTTCCAAAGATGCCTAAAATGAGCCTGTGGATAAAAGTTTAGTCTACTAGTTAACTGATAATTGTGGTCCCAAAGGTTTCGCCAATTAAGGGAGTCTTCTTCACATTTGACTGAGAATATATGCTTAATTCTCTCTGAGGAATAAAACGGAAAATTAGATTCGACAGGTGGCATCCCCTTAGAGTTCACCTTCACGTTCATTGAATGGAAAAGTTCCAACACAAAACCAGTCCCCTCTGTTGGTAGCTATTCAGACGCATGCATAATTGAAACTTGAATGGTACTCGGTTTGTAGCTTCCTCCACAGTGCGAATCGGGTTTTAACAATTTTGCACCACTTAACAGTCTAGTATATAGGAACTACCGACTTACACGATTATTTACTTAATATAGGCAAATTCTTATGTATTAAGTGCGCCAGGAATAAAAATGATGTCGGTAAATTAAGCTATGCACTTACATTGGATGCATTTGTTTGCTGATTAAGGAGCCAGCTACAGGACGATTTGAGGGAAAGGAAATACAGATTGTCAAGGCTGAAAGGGAATTCTGTAAAGGCTAGTCGAGATGTTTATTTGTCTAGGTACCATTTTTGAATGAAACTAAGATGATGGCTGGAATCAGAGGTCAGGTGGCGAGTAAATGAGCAAAACCTGCCATTCACAAAGTGCTAGGTGCTATCCAGCTGGTAGTAGTCTTACTAGCGTGCCGGTTGCAACCCGTTAAGAGAGATGGTAATAGCATCACGTTTTCTTATTAGCCTTCTCGCTCTCCCTCTCGCAAGCCGTGCTTGAGGCTGTTGCTTGAGAAAACTGTCACATATAAGCTGCAGCAGTGATATGAAAAATAACTCTAGCCTCATCGCGTAGTACCGGTACTTCATCGCCACCTAACTGGAAGAGAGGTCACTTCGAGCTGAAAGTCTTAGATCGACACTTTAACATCCATGGTATCACTTGGGAGCGCATTATGCTTTGCTCTCGTAAAGCAGTTATCAGCCTTTCTTGTACTGCCAAGGTGCATAGAGGCATCATGAAATTTTAGTATGCATTTCTTTATTGTTAATCTTCGGCGTAATTTGCGGTTATCAATGAATAAACAAGCAATAAGTGTGAATATATAACAAAACACTGGTAAGGATAAATTCCTTAGCACCTTCAAATGTCAATCACTCTTGCTGTAAAGGATATAAACCTGTAATTACGGCAGAATGTGTGAAATTTTAACGGTAGACCACCCTTTTCTACCGATCGAAAGATCACTAACCCATGTGTATTGTTTTAAAGGTGTGGTTCCAGAACCGTCGCGCAAAGCATCGCAAACAGGAGAAGCAGCAACGCGCTCAGCAACAGCAGCAACAACAGGCCAATGCCCTGGCAATCCAGCAGCAGCAACATCACAACCACCAACATCACCACCAGCAACAGCAACAGGCCATTCAGCACTCGTTTTCTACGCCCAGCTACCACCAACTCGGAGCAGTGTTGGAGACACAGGTGGGCATGTACCGCTCCACCGCGACGACATACACCACACCAACCCCCTCAGCCATCTATCCTTTTACGTATACTCAGACTGCAGGCTTCGTTGAGTCTCTTCCCGCTGCCTCACTTTTTGGCAATCTTAATAGAAAGTTAGAGAGCGTCGAGGAGGGCAATGGGAAACGCGAACCACCCTCGGCGGCACCTGGAGAGCAACAGACGTCCTCGCCGAAAGAAGAAATGGTCATCAAGAAGGAAAGCATTCTTCTGGAAAGCGGCCCTGTTAGTCAGCTGGACGCTGAGGAGGAGGAAGATGGTGATGCAAGGGGTGGGAGTGAGGAAGAGGAGGAGGAGGAGGAAGATGAGGACGAGGAGGATAATGAAGAGGGTGAGCCTACCTCGCCGAAGGTGGTCAGGCTGGAGAGCTGGTCACCCATAGACGATAAGACAGACAGCGACATGGGGGAGGTAAAACCCGTGACCACTCCTCTGCCTCCGCAATCTGAGATCCCCAATTACATGCCACCACCACAGTGTTTCCCGTCGAGTACCCTCACTGAGATTCCCGCAGCTCAAATGATATCCTACCAAATTTACGGGCAATTTCCTCCCCATTACCATTCACATGTGGCACCGCCGCCACCGCCATCCTCTCATGGACCCGGCCACCACTCGATCTACACTTCGCTGGCTACTGACACCAACGAGATAGTTAACGATGTCAGTAGTACCGCCGCCATTCAATTTCCACCTCCTCCCAGTATTGAGAACCCAATCAGTTCCGTAAAGGGCCAGACCATTTCGGCTATGGCAAGTCAATGGCAAAATGTGGTAAGTTCTTTTACCTAAACCATGCTGTTAGCTGAGTAAGTTGATATAAGCATGTGGGAATCTAAACAGATAGTCCCAGTACAAGATTTATCCCTGGCTCCTAAATCTAAGTATATTGAAAGATAATGGCCTCTCTACAGCAGTCCTTGCGGTAGGCCTGCGTTATCATGTATTAGTAAAGGGCAACACCAGATTCTAGCTTAGCTCGCCATCGAAGGAAATGACTATCTCTGGACAAAATTGCTCCTTATCAAAATAAACATTCCCCGGTTACTTTTAACTGTTGGAATAGTGGATTGAGATTTACATATCTATTTACTAGTTGTACCATCCAACTAGTATGTTTGCGCTCACATACACAATTCAGCCTGGAGTTAGCTGAAGACAAAACTTGAGAATCAATTATGTTAGTTGGGAATGCAGATTTGCCGGAGACCACCTGTAATGATTCACATAACCTTTCAGATCACCTATGCTTTCATTAAAGGTTCATTCGCATTTAAAAAATACCCTCGCAGTAAAAGAGCCAAAAGTTAAAATTGCTTATCGAATACTAAAGTAACCGGTGAAGGAAATAAACACTCTCATGATTGATTACCAGCTTTGAATGCGATGTGAGAGCAGTTGTGTTAATGACGGAAGCATGTTCTTTCAGTTGGGTTGGCGATCTGAACAAGAGCACTTAAGATCTCGTCAAGATGAAGGTGATTTTGAGGTGAGTTCAAGGACACGAAATTATAAATTTTGTTTTTTGATGTGTGTTTGTGCATTCACTGTCTCATTACATCTTGCCATGTATTGCATCAGCAAGTCGTACTTTGTGATTCCTCTTGACACCTTCCTTTTCAGTGACAGTCGCTTTTAATGTGTGTTTAATTCACTCCAAAATTTTGCACTTTAGTCTATTCCCTTCTTACTTGCAAGCACATTGAATGAACCACACATTACGCACGCAATGCTCATACTAAACAGAGCTTGGGTCAGAGTGGAGTTTCGAATCTAGAATTTGTTACGTGATTTAGCTACCTCCGTTAAACTTACAAGATCCAGCTTAGCATTCCAATAGTGGTCGCTCCTTTAAAAAGAACCAATTGAGTGGAAATGAATGTATGTGTTTAGTTGTATTTTAAGTGTTGTCTTTATTCGTTAGCTGTTTTCGTGTGAGCATGGAAATTTTTAAAAGACTACATTCCCCATAAGTGCATGAATTTTAATCGAATGTATAAGGATGCATACTTCTTCCTGTCACTTTCATCCACTGATTTGTAAAAAAAGTAGAAGCTGTCAGACAGAAGGCAGGAAGTTAAATATTGCATCTCAATTAGCTTCTTGGGGATAGCTAAATCCAGGCACGATCTTACTACGACCAATAAAATACCCACTGGTTAATTCATTCCTAACTTATCATTCATTCGTTCATTAATTCACTTACTCACTTCTTCGCTCATTCGTTTACTTAACCATATTTGTGTCTGATTAAAAGCGAACAGAAATTATCCATTATTAGACATGAAATATCATACTTGAAAAGTAACGTTTACGAAGGCTTTTAAAAGTGACTAATGAGTAAACTTTGAGAAGGTATGATCTTAAAGCAATTGTAATAGAAATCTTTTTTGCTAATTTGCCCATTTTTTAAATAGTATCTCAAATCGACCTTTGCTGTAAATGGCTACTGCCTTTGAATATTTCTAACATTCGAATATAAAAAAGCTTATACACTCCTCTACTACCTGAAATTTAGTAAACAATGATTTTACCCATTGTCCGTAAGGTTGGACATTGTTTAAAAATTTTTGATATTCCCCTGCTTACGATAAGCACAAGAAGGACCCAAAAACTGTCAGGTTGGGTATTACTGAAGATTCGATTGAAAGCACGAACTGTATTTCATCACGGCCTCCAGACTAGCGTTTCGCCCTTTCAAAAGGCATGATTTGCATGTTCTTTTTTGCTCAATATGCACCTCGCGTTACGACGACCCCAATGAATCTCCACCACGTCTTACAATACTACTTTATTCAAAGTTAACGGTAGGCCTTTCAAAATTTCGCTATCAGTTTCAGAATAAGCAATAAGAAAATTTTATATTAAAGTTTTGTTTCACGCCTTGTGGTCTTTATTAAGTTTGCTTTGGCGATGATTTTTACCTTGGAAGAATACAAGACAAATAAATATAGTGCTCCATGGTTCTGAACGCCCCATTTGCCCCAAACGTCAAAGGGAAATGAGGACACATAAGCTGCCATACAATGGAACAAAATTTGGTATCTATCAGCACTGAAGTTGCCACCAGAGGGAGAACCAAAGTAGCCTACTAGATCCTATGAATGATGAAATTAATATTAGCATTCTGTAGGCTTGGCAAAGGATACATGAGGTGAATGTTGAAAAAACCTGATTTGTGGTTAGTTTTCCCACACTCTGTGACATAAATGACACTTGAATCCTCGTCACCGTCAACAGAGTCCTGCTCTCATTGTTCTTTGAGCATTAACTCACTGTCATTCCCTAATTTCCAGTTATACCTGCCGAGCCAAGCATGCCATGTGACAGCTCCGCACTGTTTCCCAAATTATACTTCTATAGAGCTCTTTTTTCACACACTGCATAAATTTGAGTCTCCTCATACCATGGAGTACGCATTCACTGAGGTAAACTTACCTTAAATCTCTCCGGCTCTCTAATTTCAGTCGCAGAAGTTACTGTTGATTGAGTAGTCACTGTTGATAGTAATTTTACAAGTGCAGATATTTACAGTAAATAACCTTACACCAGACCATGGCTATGAGGTAACAGAGGCCTTGCCATCTCAGTTGAATATGAATTACATGAAACAATATTCGCAAAAAGCCTAAAGATGATATTCCTTAACATGCTGAGCAATTACGTAGCGACCAATAGAGCGCCCATAGTAATGCAACAACATGGTAAACATGCTTCTCCTACCTTCAGCAGACGACAGCCGATCCGTCTGAGTGGTTTCTACATGCCAACGGGACAGCGATGCCTATCCAGACAGCTGCAGCAGTGGCCTACGGTACGCCTATGGGCAATGCGTTTCTACATCCTCACATTTGAAGGCCTGCAGCGAAGTGAAGGAGACAGGCGATGAAGTATGCCTCAAGCAATGCTGCATCCACCGCTCTCGTTCTCGTCACCAGTTTGTCCCAAGTCGTCCTCCACACACCTCCTCTCTTCCTCTTTCCTCCATTTTCTCCACTTCCTTACCTTCCCTTCCACCCAGGAGGTAGGAGCACACTTGTGGGGCGGTTTCCATTTTATTTTTGTACTGTGTTCGCACTACCTCGCTATAAGAAGCTAACAATCATGTGACGAAGCCCTACCTCTATCTCCCTCTGTGTTTCTCTGTCTCCTCCCTCTCCTACCACCATTGTCCGTTTTTTTCTAATCCAATTATTCTTAACGTAAATAATATTGGCAAGGTAACCAAGAGAAATTTCGGGTTTATAAATGAAAGAGTAGCAATTTTTAAAAGTATTGCTTTCGGGTGTGGGAAGATAAGAAGTCTTACACCTATTCTTTAGGTTCCTCATATGAATTAAGAGGTGTGTGCTTTAAGTCACCAAGGCAGAAAAACCTTATCTGATTTAATGTGGACGGAGAAAGTTAAACACGGCAAAAGGTATACCACTAATGGTTTGCATTAAAATAAACCAGGTAAGATTAGGGAGGGGAAGGTACTTTATCCCGAAAATGCGAAACAATAAAGTGATATTACGGAAAATGTCCCTTAGTTAAATCCCACTTTTGGCATTCCTTAACCGCATTTATGTTAAAACAGGCACTTATGCAGACGAGACTCGCGAATTCCTAGAGTTAACCTCTTGTAATAAGAGCTAAGGCTATGCGAATACAGACGGTAATGAACACATTATTTATAGATGGTGATTTGACCTATTCCATCGTTCTGTAATGACGCATGGGATGAATAGAATGAGACACTTATACGATGAGGGTCGCACCCAGTAAATCATGTGCGTCATTGATCATTCAGTGGCATAGGCCAGATCTCTAGCTTGAAAAAGTCGCATTAGAACGAGCATCTTATCACAACATCAGGGGCAGCACTGGTAGAGGACCTTGCTGACTGGTGACTGCGTGATTTGTGGGATATGGCTTTTGTCGAAAATAAAGTTGGTCCAAAAGAAAGATGCTTTATACCGGTCATTCTTGGATAAGGAAAAAATTCTGTAAATGATGTCTTTACTTAAATATTAAAGAGCACCTAATAACTTACAAGTCTGCCAACTTCTTGTACTGAGGATCAGATGCATTCAGAGTTAGAATACTTGAATGAGGGTCTGTAAGTCAACCCCAAAGTCAATGCAGTACCGAGAGTAATGGTCTCGTATCTCTCAAATCAGTTCATTCCAATTGAAGAAACGTAAAACCTGAATTCTATTGTAGTCTTTTGTAAATTGATAAACTTTTGAATTATGTAATGTCATTCATCCGTAGACTTCAACACCAGCTCAGCTGGGAAAGTCTCCTGATTACTGGCCAAAACAAGAGCCATGAAGCACAACGATGGACTGCTCCCGATGCAAGCTAAGAATTAAGAAGGAACTGTAAACTAAAGCGGCCGTTTTGATATTAAGACAAACATTTGTCTTTTCGTCTGTTTCGGTTGATAAGGCACTTGTGAAGGTATTTGTCTCGGTTAGCACATTAGCCACCGCTAACTAAGTTATTACTATTTCTATCAGTTCATATCAAAGTTCGCAACGGGAGGTGACCTTTCTCTATCATATTACGTTATTTTCTGCTGTATTTAAAAACCAGACAGGAATAGGACCAGTTGTTTAACCCACAACATTCGTTCATGTGACAAAGAAAAAACAACCCCAATTCAATGGATGAATAGCACTTTACGTAACTTTCACTTCTATGTCAAAGGTTGCAAAACATCATTTGCCAATGTCAAATGTCGTTGCAGCTTTTACACGTGAGCATTTTGCGTATCAACAAAACATGCCAAATTGATGTGTGGGGCAAATATAGTGGAGATCCTTTAAACTAGCTTAGACTACTCTACAAACCTAAGAGCAGAATCGCATAAATAAATTAGATGCACTAGCATTTGCAAAAAGTGGAGTACCTCTCAAAGATCCTTGCAAGGAAAACCTTATAAAAGGTGCATACCTTGTAGCAAACTTTTTGGGAATTTCGCTTGCTCTAAAAACCTAATTTGGACGTCACCTACTGAAGGCGATTTACGCACACGTTACATTTTCGGTGAGGCACACTTCGGGTTGATATCCGCCCAAAGCCAGGATTATTCCCTTTGGAACGCAACGGAAAGCCTTCACTCGCACCTTGGAAGTGCGAGTCAATCAAGCCCCAGCATTGTCAAGGTCTTGGCACAATTCTCCTTCGTTGTAGGCAGTCTTTGTTTCTGAACGTACACTGATGAGCCTGATGTGATCACTGAAATTGTATAATTGGTTTGGTTAATGCCCAAAATCAATTTCACATCGCATTACCAGGTAAACGCACTGCATCCCTTGACTGCTTTTCCATCAGGTCACACATTCACGTACTTTTTAATGGATGCGTGAAAGAGGGACTCGGTGAAAAAGGAATGGTCCGTTGGGAAAAGAATGCTTTTGGGGTGTGTGCCTCCTCCCGTAAAATAAAAGAACACTTAGCAAATGTTTGCAGATGACGGTAGCTTACCCATTATCACTCAAGGTGCTTTAGAAATAAAGACAACAAACAACATCAATGAGTGAAACGGTTTTCACCCTTAATTATTAGGGACGATTTGTGGAAGGAAAATCATGATTTTGCATAGTTTAATGGATGCTCATTCCATTAAATAGGATATTGAGTTTTTTAATACTATTTTTGAGCTCAATTTACTGCCTATGAACTAATGGCAACTTCGAATCGTTTGTTAGTATGGGGACGTGTACCGTAAAGTGCTTTTGTGGTAACAGTTAGTGCATATCTTTATAAAAGCAAAGGGCTATTCCTAAGTCTGTTATTGGGAGCACTAAAACTTAAGTATTGCACATAATCCCAGCATGTCCTCTGGATAGCAAGAAAACCTCTGCACTTCCATGGAAAATTTGGAAGGGCTATGGCTTACAGCTTCCCTGTAAGCTGAATTATGGGTCTGTCTAATGTTATTAGAATTTATTTCTCTTGATGTTCCAAAAACTTATGAAAATTGAGATTTCTCGTAATTTCCAGAAAGCATGAATGATTTGCTCAAAACTGTCTCCAACACGGATGATCACAGATAGCAGTCTTCAAGTCCTCTTTGCTTGAAGATGGAATGGCAGGGGTGATTCCAGCAAATAGCACTTAAAAAGAATTGCGCTTAGCTCTGATGCTCTGAGATGCCAATTTTACTGTCATGCGATGTGAAAGCTGTAATTACAGAGTAAGGGTATTGGCGCATTCCCGAAGTATTTGAGTATCCGCAGTGTAAACGTTAGATTTTGTTCCTCAAAGCTTCCGCGCCCGATTTAATGCATGACTTGAAGCGTGCCATTGGGGCTGATTAAATTGTCATGACTCTGAGGGCAGACGACACGAACACCTTGCACATGACCCGAGCGTCAAATCCGTCGGCTAACCCAGAACGGGCACTGTGCAAGCACCAGCATCACAGTGATACATTCCTGAGCTGAAATACAAGCCGTCTGTGCAATATCAAGCGCCTGATTTTAAATATTAGTAAAAAACTAGCAAATTGCAATAATCAGTGGTCGATAGCTTTGTCGAATCCCTGGACATAATTAGTGACCTTAGGCACATGAGTTGGTGAGTAACAACCTCATTAGGCAGGATAAATGAACTGTGAGTGCTTGGTGGGGCAGGCATTACCATCATCCTCCGGAAGGTAGGCATGGGGAGTTGGACTGGGCTGTCAATCAGAATTTCCCTACCGTTTGAGTTCCGTTAAGTGTCATTCACTTCTGTGTACATATCGGTGACCCCCATTCATCCATTGGTTGTTCGTTTGTTTGCAAAAGAAATGCACACCTTTTCTTACTGATTCGTGAATAAAAAATCACCACCAGCCCTGTTCATTGTACAAAAAGACTGAGCGCCTGGACATGCTGGTTGCGCTTAACATCAGTGTAACAAATGAGATAGATTTTTATGCGTCACAATAGGCATCAATCCAACTAGCTAGTAATTGCAACGCGAAATAAGAGAGGTCACTTATCACCGACACAACAACTTCTAAAAATTTATACGGGATTTATAGATGGAATTGGAATAGTAGATCGTGGTAGTAACTTTTAAGGCCTGCTTTAACGGAAGTGATAAATAATGGGGAAAATATGGATGGACATATTTCCCACAATAAAATTTAAACAAAACTTTTTCGAATTTAACCCATAAAATGATCAGCAACTTTTACATGCATAGTTACTTTTGTGGATAGAAAAATAAAGTCATTTAACTATTCAGCCATACACCATCTTTTGATTAAACACTTAAATACAACTGTCCTTATCCATTTTAAATCCACCAAAGCTACAATAACAATTGCAAACTTTGTCGGTTAATGCTTAATGCATCTTAATCACAAAACCCAATGAAAGTGAGTTAGAAATGCCTTTCAGGAGTTGTGCCATGCATAGCAAAGACCCACGAACTTATGAGCTATTGTTAGTGGCAGTTAGAGACAAAGTTGTAAATTTTCGTGCTATTAAGGGTTATCTCTAATCTGTGCGGTCGCTCCATTTACTGACCTTCGAAATGTCAGCCTCTTTGCTATACTGGAATTATAAAGTCATGCAAAGTGACCATGAGAGTGTAAGGGATCCATCTCGTTAATTTTAGCATCACCTGCCGATCATGTGGAATGCGGTAAAGTTCTTTTTAATGACTCAGCACTTTAAATTGGACGAGGAACCGATGTGCGCGCCAAAGTGAAGAATGAAAATGTTATAGCAGAAGTGCCAAAAGGGCCACAGAAAGTCCACGCAAAGTGCATACTAGAAGTTGGGTGAAGACGTAATTTGGAAAAAATACAAATTCGTGTAGTATTCTCTGTTTACATTGTGGGTATTTTTCATCTACAAGACTAAAATCGCTTTTGGCCAATATGACTGTAGTATGCATGGTCTGATAGACCATACAGCCGTATGGAAGGCGGGCATTTCCCTTGGACTTTTAATTGCAGAAAAGATAATAAAGAAAAAAATACATTGAGTCATTATATTTAATGCTAGCTCCACGTCGTGGCATGGTATTTGATTCTTACCAGTGGCTAACCGAGGGGCTTCATACCTTTAAAGGTCTACGACCGTAGTGGCATTGAGGTAAAAGTGTAGGAAAAGCAAAGGTGCAAGAAAATAGCCTGTAACTGGAACACTGAAACCATGCTCTGGGTGAATGGCATATCAATCACTGAAAATATTTAGCAGAACCGCCAGGCGAGTAACAATATTTGCATAGGTTGATTTTTTCTTGGCAAGCATTCAAAGTCAATTTCTGTCCACTATATTGAACAAAAGCCAAATTATGCGTAAAATGAACAACACCAGTTTAAATCCTCTAAAATCACGTTGATTTGCGAGGATCCCACAGAATATTTTTATTTTAAAATTGGCGGAGGGCGTTTAAACAACGTGTATCTACCTACGTGATCAGAACCTCATAACGCATGTGATGTGACCCAGATGTCAATTCCTATGCATGCTGTACTGTGTGTTGCTGCTCCTGAGATCGAGTTCGTTTGCATCCAAAAGAATGGTGGCCGCCTGTGCAAAAATACCCCTCGAGGAAGACATGGCAGTGGATGCACGATCTGCGCGCAAATTGACTCAGCAATCATTTGTTCATTTTTAAAACACAAGATGACGTTAGGAATGCACAAATCATCGCATGTTATGTCCCGTATTCCATAGTACTAGCCTCTAAATTATTGGCCTTTATTCAATGCTTTGATCTAACGGCTAAAGTACTGGACAATTCATTTGCAATCAACCCAATCAAGGATCTACGGCTTATCAGGATTTTGCGCCAAATTACTTAGATCTATGTTAGACATTTTTGCAGTAGATTTTGGCGTTTATTTCGTTCTTCAATCATCAATCACCCATTCTGTGTTGATGGTCAAATTTTGACGAGTATCAAGCTGTTCTGAAAAGTAAATTGGGTCGATTCATTCGTGCACTTATTCAATTATTTAACTATTTTTCTCAAGGATGACTGTACTTTTTGCCGGACATAAGCAATATACAAATAAAAGAGGCGGCTTAAAGTTACATCAAAATTAAGGCCTTCAAGAAAGCAACTACTTATGGAACTCAGCACTTTTTATGCAAAATCCTTTCATCCTTTTTCTGTTTAGCAATTAAAACGAGAATAAAAGTCCTGAATGCAAAATACTCAGTATCAAATTTTTTTATCTTGTTGTTAAATTAGCACGCCAATCTCGGAAAAAATGAATCGTTTAAGGGCTTAAACATGGCATTATTTATGTGGCACCAAAACGGAAGCATTTACGAATGACAAAAAATTATTTTTCATGCAAAATGTTTGTCAAGAAATGCCTAGCGCGGAGACGAGAGACGTGAAGCGAGTTGCGTGGTGTCCAAACTTCCATCGATTGCCTGCCTTAGTGACGCATGTCGTGCGTGCGTGCGTGCGTGTATGTAAGCAAAGTGCCGACACAGCCAGGTGCCCAATCGATTCCTTTGCGCCTCGGGGCGCACCAACGCGGATGCGCACGGATCAGCGAGGCGGCCTGGCCAATGGTGGACGCGTGGCCACACTCGCTTCCCCTCCTGCAGGCGCCCGCTTACCAATGGCCGCCGTGACGACTAGGAGATCACGCCTTCACGCCTTTGAGGCTATTTCGGTTTGATCTGCTCCTCTCTGAAGGGCTTAAAATCGGCTACCTGCAGAGTCTACTCCCTCTACCCGTCCGCTCAGTGATGTCTCTAGTCTAGTTCTCCCCTTTGAGTATCTTTCTGGGCTAAAGGCAGACTTTCGCATAAACCACACTACTGGGGATATATTTTGGTGACATGCACAACGGTTCGCGCAGTAGCATTTTCAGTCGCTCCGATACTAGAGGTACGTACTTCCTACGATGCTCACGCTTTCCTATCGCATTAATAAGTGTTCAAAAATTGTGTTTCATGGAAATACAACTTGCTGTCACCAAGTAATTGTTGACAAATGCTAAGAAACGTGTTCGGTAAAAAAAAAAGGTAACTAACCACATTCGGCCGCATGATAAACAAGTATTTTATAAAAATTCTTTTGATCTAAAATTGAAGGCCTTTTTTCTCCTACTCAGTAGAATTCGTGCAATACTCTATCCCTAGCCGTATCCGACTACGATTCGTGCAGTACGTGGACCATTCCTTATAAAGCGGGAAGAAAACAATTTCTCCCTGAAAGTATATCATGCAGAGACGATGCGATTGCACAACTTCCAAAAACCGCGACTAAAGAGACGCCGAAAACTTTACCACTTTGATATCAAAATGGCTCGTGCGCATGAAGGTGCTTCAAAAATGCTAAACGGACTAGTAAAACTTAAAACTATGTTAGAATTGTTGGATACGGCAATTGACAAATGGGAAGTTCTAACACTCAATCAACTACCGCCTAACACAATTTCATTCGCCATTCACATTTACATTTTTCGGCTTCTGAGGAAGTGACTATTCCTTTTGGCTGTATTATGCAAATTAATATATTTGTCGAAAACTCATGTTAATGCTTCGACAATAGTTTTGCTATCTTGAAAGGCATACCTTATTTAATTATGAATTTAATAATCTTTTCTGAGTAAACACATTATTCCACGTTGACAAAGAGCTGGACTCCATAAAGCTTCAAGCGTCTGATATGCAATCTTATGATTTTAGCGAAGTTTTGATTCCTTTAAGCGGTTTCAGAATCTAGTGTGGATACTCACTAATCCATTTTTAAATTCCTTTATTATCTAACTTGGGTTCAAAAAAGGATGAAAACTGAGTATATGATGTCATTTTCTCGCAGTCAGAGGAAAGAATGTCCACGTTGTGATTCTACCTTAAGTCGTCTTTTTTTCAGTTGGATGAATTAAATATTGAAAATGACGCCTGTACACCTGCACTTCCCATCCGGTGTGCCGGTAAGGTGGGCCATGCGAAATGGTGCATGGAAGGTTGATCTCACCATCAACGAGTGAGAGCGATAAACCACTAACTTACGAAGCTGTTTTTTAGTAGGGCATTAATGCCTCCAACCTTTTGGATGTTTTTTTGGGAAGTGAGCAGTTGCTATCACCTTGATAAGGAAAAAAGAAACTCAAAACATATCAACTGAATTTAATTTCTGAAGGCGTGAAAATTTCCATTTAAAAAAAACACAAGGGAAGCTTATTATTCTTATGAGACTGGAAATTCAGAAAAAACAATATTTTTGAAAAAAAGATTTTACTTTTTAAAATGAACATTTTGGCTAATTAACACCATGTTCAGGTTGTTCAGATCTTAGTAATGATAGGCATTACAGAGGCTAGTATACAATTGGTTATTTCGTAACCGAACAAGAAATGCTTTAAATTAAAAGTTACAGCTACTTTCATGAAGTTTGCTTACTACACATATGGCAAAGCGCTTTTTTATTAAATAAAGCTTTAGCAAAAAAATCTTTTGAAAGTGGAAACAAAAGAGCAACCTTAACCACCATAGCTTGCAGTTTTAGAAGGAAGGGGAATTTTCGAGAAGCTATCACTTAACTTTATTTAATCCGCTGCAAATGCGACAACAGAAGAGTACTACAAATTAAAACACTAGAATCGAGCACATGTACTTCCCGTGGTGAGATTCGATTCATGCTGACCAAATGAACACGTTAAGGTTCTATTGCGACGACTGAGATTTGTGTAACCCTCAGCACAAGATTGTGTTGTATCCAGCACTTCGATTGGTAGGTGACTTCGTTGTTGGCATAACTAATATTAATGTTGTAAAGTTGAGTCGTATTCCTGACATAAACCAATTCATGCGCGGACGAAAGCGCTCCTGTGTCGTAAAAACTGCACACACTACTTCCTGACATTCCCAAGTCAGCATGTGCGGGTACGTTTTAGGTAAAATATGTTCCTTGTGATAAACATTTTGTTATTATGAAAAAAACAAATTAGTTAGATTTTTTTCAATACTTGTAGTGATAAAAGAACAATTTTGCGGCTTTTTTTAGCGAAACTGCAACATTATCCTTACTCGTGGATCTATCATAGCTACACGCGCCTCTCAATTGAGCGCTATGAGCAGATTCAATAATAGATAAGAAAAGGTATTTGTTTCTAGACGCCTCTAATGGTTTTAGAGTGCAAACGACGCTGCAGAATAAAAATAACTCGTCTTCCGGATTGGCTCATGTGTCAATAATTCATATGCATTAAAGGATTTCAAACATCGGTTACCATACAGACCATTTAACGTAGCCTAACTTTACGGCATTCAGGTTTGGCTGAATTTGACTACACTGATCAGATTCTTTCGGTTTTTATCAACTTTAGCATGGAAGCACATTCTATGCTTTTATTCCTCAAACTGGAGCTTGCCCTTTGCCAATTACGTACCCGATAAATTGGCGTTTTCGTGATAGACCAGAAATAATATTTTAGCAATCCCAGATCTCTTGCCACCTGTAAAGTCTTTACACATTTGCATTTGAGTCCATGAAGGACCCATCTAAAAAACGACCTTAAAATTGAAATAAGTATCACTTAGCTGAATAGGTATTTTAGTTCTTTTAAAGGACTTTATTCTGACCTAGGTCTATCAGTAGTATAATGTCACATTGAGTTGGACTTTATGCTGACATTTATTATCTAATCCTCAATTTTGTGTTTAGTTGAAGTCAAATTTTATGGGAAAAACCAGCATAATTAGAAAATTCACACCAAATTTTATTAGTGTCTTGGATTTTTGCAATTTTTTAATGTGCAAATAAGTGGGAAACATACAAGCTTCTCCATGGATTCCAGCACAATGTTACGTGATATCATTCTTAGCTTTATGTGGCCCAATGTTCAAACAGTTTATTATGGATCCTTTACTTCCTATGAGGCTAAGTTGTACTGCTGAACAGAAAGGTTTGATAAGCCTTATTATTTATGTGCTGTTCTCGGTTGATTTTTAATGAGTTATTTTGATTTGAAAATCAAAAGGTAAGATCCCATGCGTTACTTAGTTAGGTTAAACCCCAAAACACGTACGCTTGCGCCCCCAATAAAAGTCAGTGGAGTTCTTTAGATCAGCACATCCAATCATTGGCGAAAAATAAGATTCGGCTTCTAGCTCTTGCTGCTGACTTACAGCAGCAAACCCAAGGAACACTCATACTGAAGGTAGTGAAGCACAATGAATCAGGCGCTCAAATGTGGCGTTTCTGCATGGATTTGGACGCTCCTGAGCATTCAGTCAAACCAAACAGTGATTCGGTGATTATTTTGTTTTCTTTTTTTCACACCTCCTGCATACCATAAACTGCAAAAAGCACTCGTTTGAGTTCCGAAAAAGCCGACCCATAAACTTCTCTCAGATGGCTTGTAACCATAGGCATTAATAAAGTAAAAGAAACATCTAGTCTTCAGTTAAAATAGCCTAAGTCCTTCTCCGGGTGGCACTTCTCTAGTGTTTTATTGCATGGAAAAGCTCCAATAAATTTTGAAATCTTCTAGCCAAGTGTTTGCATAATAGGCCACAGTTGTTTTGGTTAAAAAAGTTTTGAAGGTTTGTACTAGGTACTAACCTAAGGACTTCAGTTTGAGGTTGATGGAAAACTGGAGGGCAATAAGTGCGAATATTAGACATTTGAATGACATAACCGAAGTTGTCTATTTGGTAGTTCGCATTCTCTAGCAAAGTTCGAAGTAGCTTGCAAAGAAACCTGTCCACGGAGGTCCCACACATTTGTAAATGTCAAACCTAATTCGTGCACCACACATCCAAGCAAGACTGAAAAGCCCGAAGGTGCCTAAAGCAAAAAGACTCTCAAAAATAAAATACAATGCATTTGTGGTTATGGTGCCGTGGGAATTTTATGTCTCAAAAGACAGGTTACTTCGTATTTTTCATGGAAAATTACTGTGTTGTTAGTAGTAATATCAGTGTTAATGGAACTTTAAATGGACAATGCTTTTACTTGGATTTGGTATCACTAAATGCAATTACGGTGTTATAAATGGTTGGAGAGAGCAAACCATAAAATTGTCTTGCATAAATGTGAATACTGATTAAAAGGCTATAATTAAATGCACACTGACAATTTTAAGTGCTTCCGAAGTAAAATAAATCGTGTTCTTATTAGCCTCAAAACAAGGTCATTCCGGTTCAGCCGCATCATCAGCTACGCATCCAGGCACAGAGCAAAAAAAAAAGACCATTCCGAAACCCCCAATATTACTACGCCGTTCCCCCTATTCGGTGCAATCTCTTTGGAAATCGCTCAACAGATCCACAATGAGTTCCTCATCTGCAAGATCTGCCTTGACGCCTTCGACAAGCCTAAATCATTGGCATGTCTACATACCTTTTGTCAGAAGTGCATAGAAAATCACATCTCTGCTGAGGTCACCTACAACAAGACAGCTGACTATCATCACTTTACCTGCCCGCTCTGCCGCAAACGTACCAGCCTCCCCATTGGCGGCGTTCGAAAACTGCCCGACAACTTTTTCGTCTCTGGCCTGGCGGATATGCTCTCCCGAACAAGACACTCCTCACGATTCACAGAGCTGGTTGGTGGCTCACGCCATGAGGATGAAGTGAGCGAGGAGGACTCTGTGTGTGGTCCCCTTGGAGGTCACCACCAGGGGAGAATAGGCCACGTCGAGATTTCCGGCTACGGAGAATGCGAAATCTGTGGTCAATTCGGCGACCGATTAGGTCGTGGGCGGTCCTCTACACCGTCGACCGGCAGAAACACTCTGGGTGTGGAGACGACAAATCAGCGGGCCAACTCAGCAGCCATATCGGCTGTCCCGAAGGCCACCTCGAAGTGTCTCGACTGCGGCAAGTTGCTCTGCGACCTATGTGTCAAAAGGCATAGGGAGATCAGGGTTACGAAGGACCATGCGATTTTCAGTCTGGCCACGGGGAGTGCAATCGCGTGCAAGGAGCACCCAGAGGAGCCGGTGCGCTTCTATTGCGAAGCCTGTTCCACATGCGTCTGTGTGCTCTGCACTTTCAACGATCACCGCGAACATGAGATGAAGAGCTTCGGAGAGGCCATCCAAAAATTGAGAGTAGAGTTACGCAGGAAGGTGAATGAGACCCAGGCCCTTATTCAGAAAACACGACAATGGTTAGCAGTCATTGATGACGCAGCTGAAATGGTTCACAAGGTTGAGCACGACGTTCGGGAATGTGCTGACAGGGCTATTGATGAAGTAAGTTATGAAAGATCATTGAAGTATTACTGAATTTGAATGGCTATGGCAAGTTGGAGAAGTTCCCTACTTAAGGTGAATGAAATGTGTCAATTATTGGAACTTGGACTTTGAATCAAACCACTTCATTTTAATTATTCGCATATTTTCATTAATGACCGAAAATTTAGGGGATTCTCGCAAATAATATTTAGTAAAAACAAGACCTAAGCTATAAGTGGTTGACGGTGCGATTGCGAAACCAAAGGAAGGCAGTCTTAATTAACTTTTATTAACCTAATTATAACTGGGGTTATGCCAATTTATAAATTGACCCTCTTTTGGCACGCACCTCAGAACCTAATCCGCCAAACGTAAGGTACCAGGGTAACACTTCCCAAATTAGTACATGAGCGTGACACAGTAATTTGACAACAAGAGGAAGAATGTAGAGGGAGTGGAATATGCTCCGGCATCAAATGTGTAGGTAGCGTTTATTCGGTAAGTCGGCTTTTTATCATGTTTCCTGAACCTGTCAACGAAAAAGCATACAGGATCCAACGTAGTACTTGAGAAAGTCATGCAAGACTACTGCATTAATAAAGTTTATTTCTATCATTATTGAAAACAACGTTGACCTTTTACTTGTCTCAAGCACCAGTCTTAAGGACAAATGGATTGTTGCTTGCAATAGCGATTTCTACCAGTAGTTTTTCAAAACTGAAAGTTCTACGTAAGTAATAAAGTGAATTTAGATTATTTGCAAAGAGGCTGCATTGGGAAAAGTGTGAGCCTATTTTCTGGCGCCTCCAAAATTCCAACAAATGTGGAATTTCGTGCATACTCACCAACATTGGCACAGATAAGTGTAATTACAAAACAAAGCCCATGAAACAGACTGCTTTGATCAATAGTTATTTTAATGATCCTAAAATAGGCATTAAACCACAAAGTTGGCTGTCAAACTCATGTTTTGAAACCTTTTTTAATTACTTTGTGGCCTCATCCACTTAAGTGCGGTACCGCATACGTTTTTCCGAAAGTCCGAGAACTCCAGAATTCACCATAAGCCTTTCTTCAAAATGACATTTTGATTCAGTGAAGAAAAACTCACTCAAACTGCACGTTGGTATTTGTTAAAAACGCTGATTTTCTTAGTCCTTAAGCATTTCATTGACATCAGGAAATCGTCTTCATTTGTTTGTAATTATAATTCAGCCTATTTTAAGTAAAAATAATTTTGCCCATTAATTTTAATCTAATTTTCCAGTCACTGCTGACTTACAGCCTAAAAATTCCATTTAACCTCTCAGGGTGTCAACTACTTCGATGATTTCCCGCATTGTGCTTTAACCTGTGAACGAACAATAGTCCCGTCCTCATGTGTGCATGCATCAGTCCTGATGTTTTGAAACAGAGGGGGGCTCAGAGCGTTTCATATAAAATGCCAAATGGGAAATTTTTATAAAATTATTTCCTAAAAATTTGCTGAAAAATTTTCCAAAACCCTACAGAGGGGGTACATAGGCCAATCTTAAAGTATTTGACAGAGGGATTAAATGAATTTCGATGAACACATTTAGATAATAGGATTTTTATAATGGTTCGTGTTTGTCGGCATGCCCAGATTCACCGTCAGGAGGACAAGTTGATAGAGCAATTGCACAGCCGAGTGGGCCGACCGACGATGCAGACAATAGAGCGGGCGCCGGAGTGGGAGTGTCAACTCTCGCGCCTTGAGTCCGTGCACGCTGAGGTAGTGGAGCTCTTGGAGGGTCAGGACCTCAACGTACTCCTTTACACCCGTGGTGACATCAAGGAGAAGCTGGGCAAGCTGATGCAGCTCGAGGTGGCCGGCGCCTTACCCTCTACCGCCTGCCCCAAAACCCTCTTCGCTCCTCAACCTCTTTGTCTCGGACACCTCATCTTTTCCGACGACCCCGTTCAAGGAAAGGGTAAACAATCCCTACCCATGTCGTCTCCTGATCTTGGGTAGGCAATGGATCACTTTAAGAGAATAAGTATGAAATGGCATGGTGATTTGGGGGAAAATTATTACTGTTGGTTGCTATTCAATAGAAATAGTTTGGTTTCTATAGAAAATGGTAATATCATCGGCAAAAATTAACCGAATTCGCCTCACCGTTTGATTATGTAAACTCAAACAATCTAGCTAATAAAGAACTATAGCACAGTGGCTTTGGCAAGACCTAGGTAGATGATCACAATGGTGACGACTGATCTATTCTTCTAATGTAGTGGCTTTTTGTAGATCATTGATTTATTTCAGAAAGCTTTCTATTAATATTGCAACAAGTTTTTATGGGTAAAAAAGCGCAATTTTAAACTCGATAATGATAATTCGATTCCATATTGTACAAAAAAGTTTCAGATGAATTTAAAATAAGCTTCGTCGTCTTCATCAGTGTAACTTCCGATTATCGCCGTTCAATTCCTCTATTTTATCATCACGCCTACTTATGCTTTCAAGATGGATTTAAAAATGTTGAAAGCACTTTGAAATGATTAAGCTATAGAAAATTTTCTTACTATCTTGACAAATTTGGCACGAAAACATGGCAAAAGGAAGAAATACTATGATTATGGCTAATTAAACGGCTATAACTCACTGTAAGCAATGACAAGCTATTTGATTATTGTTATCACATAGAAGCCCTTAAGTAAAATTTTAAAGAAAGTTGAGGTAAATTCTTAATTTTGATCACACAAACACGCCCCACACAGGTAGCAATAGTTAATATGGTGAAATTAAAATTTTTATTACAAACTACTAAATTGGAATCTTTGTTAATTTCTTCGAGTATGGTATCTACTCTATGTACTCAGCGGTTTTAAGGGGGGTTTTTAGATATGCCGTTCCGGTAATCAGAGAACCTAAGGATGCAAGCTCATTTCTTCGAGTCGAATAATTAGACCTGCTATTGAAAGTAAGAACATTGCATCATGCCGTTTTTATTATTTCTGACATAGGAGCAACTTATTTTCTGTTAGATGCGCGTTACCGCTAAGCAAACGCGGTGGGATTAACTAGCCTTGCAAAAGTTTTCTGCATGTTTCATAAAGAAGTTATTGATATTCCATTGCAAGATCTTGAATTTGTGTGACAGGGTGATGGATGTCAATTAGAATGAAATTAATTGATGCTAAGCCCGCTTGACGTGTTGGTATGCTGAAGACATGTAATCATCACCAAACAACACCTAGACACTGAATAAGCAGATGAATGTGGTTCACTCCATTAAAGTAGCATAATACTTTCGCCGCGCCCGACATAGCCAGTTAATCGTTTGACTGGTTAAGAAACGCCAGGATTTCAGCAACAACGCAGACAGATCAGCAAGTGCTGTCGTTAGATGAAGCACCACAACCGACGACGAAGGAAACAGCGAGTGAGGCAAATGTTACGTCAGCGATCAAGCAGGTACGCCACCGGGCCATAAACACAGAGGTGACTCCCCGCGTCGATCAAGAAACGAACACGCGTCCTCGTGGTGTAAACGTCTCCATCACATTCGGAGGCGACGAACAAGTGGACCTGGTAGACAGCTATCTCCTTGCCATCAAGGACATTGAGGAGTCGGGCCATGATGCCGCCTTTGCCGCAATGGACAATCTCACGAGGGCGCGGTTGCGTCGCAAGTTGAAGGAACGTTGGAACACAGTTGACAGCCCCGAAATCTCCGACACCAGCACCGTCAAAGCTGCCACGCCGACGGGCTCGGCAAAAACTTTTCATCGTCGTTTTAGTGATTATCGTAACCTCTGGCCTTAAGAGATCGAAAGTTAAAGAGTTCTGACCCCTATTTCTTATATTTCTTCACCAACCGCATCTAACCATTCACTTCACCTGCAATTAATTTTGACCTAAGATGCTACCCCCAACGTTTTTATGTACCCCAACAGAGACGCGCATGGCCTGTGCGACCATTGTAAACAGTCATGTGCTGTCAACTGAACTCTCTAGACCTTTTTTATTCGATGGCACGATATTGGAGCAATTTTTAGGTAGAGGGGGTGATTCATACTGTCAAATATAAGCATTATAGTGAAGGGGATTTATGAAGAAACCAGTAAGTAGCCCTAAACAAGTTGCATAGATAATTTACTCTTGGTAGGTTTAGAAAAACAGTTATGCAATTCAGAAGACAAACCAAAATATTTGCAAATTAATTCAATTAAATCCTGCCGAAAAAGCCCTATCAAAGTTTCTGCTGATACCGTGGCATCATTGAGTAAAGTTTAAACTAAAGAAAAAGACTTTTGCGACAAACTGGGACATACTTTGCTTAGCAAGCCTCATAGTACTTAACGTTATCAAACCATATTATAAATGTAGGGGGAATATGGAGTAAAACTGAGGTTGAATAAGGCATTTGATAGAGTACGATTTACAAAAAACTGAAGTTGAGTAGGATAAAAGGATAAAGGAAATGACAAATCTTATGTCTTAAAATAGGGTTGAATGGTCACTGAAAAATGAAATTAACTAATGTGTACTTTTGACAAGTTGTTACTCGGTTTTGATATTAATCAAGGAAAGTCTTATCATTATAATGCGCAACTTGATAACTTGCAACATAATATTCAAGTACTTAACAAGATGCTCATATTTGTTGTAGTTAACAATACTTCCTGGAAAGAAACTGGCCTTAAACCATCCAAAATTTGTAACTATAGGGCCATGAAGCAGAGTACCCAAGTATTCTATTCCAACATTTTAAGACAGCTAAAGTAGAAGAAGAAGAAGAAAAAGAAGAGGAAGAAGAAGAAGAAGAAAGAACTCATGTAAGCTTATTTGTAATACCCTGATTATTTGTTTAAGCCACTATTCTGGTTTCGCGGGGACTTAAGGCTGCGTCTTTCTGCTTCCTCTGAGAGACAAAGCTCCCAGGCCATGCTAATGGCCCTTCATCTTCTCTGTTCATCGACAATACATTCTTTGCTTTTACATTATGACTTCTTTCGAACTTCAAGGAAGACTTGCTGCTCTGCATGTGTATATTGCTTCGATCTGTCGGGGATTTAAGGACTTCTGGCTGTCTCTTTGAAGGAACTAAGCAGCGGAATCTAAGATGAGGAACAGAGGCAACTAATCAAGAGCTGATAGTTGAGCTGGTCCTGGCACAGAAGAGGTGATCTTAGTCGTGAACCCAGAATAGTGTGGGTTGTTACGAGACCATAAGAGCACAAATTACGTTCAAAAAATTAGCGATTAAGATATTAACAAATTGATTTGCTTGAGGCTATTAACTAAATGCTGCTTATAATGAGAGTATTATGCAAAACATTTCTTAAATCAAATGCGACCTTTTGACTAGTTAAAGCGCTCGTCTTGAAATGGTTGTCATTAAGCTTTTGCATCGTTGGCTCTGTAAGTTCTGCGTTCCGCCTAAGGTCGTTCTGTCAGCGTCTTGGTATGCTTTAAAGTTTACAATTATTTTTAGGCATGATGCAGTCTACTTGCTAACAACCGTATTTTTAGAAACCTGGAACCGACTTTGGTAGAAGAGTAACTTGTTTCGTTTTTGACGAATCTTTATGTTGCTTGACATCAATGGATTTTATCGCCCCTTTGAATTCATGACCGATTAGCTTGCTGTCAACCTAATTTTAGTACTGGTGATCGTGCAGTCCCGATTTTTCTTATCTCAAAAGCAAACATGCATGCATTACTTATTTTATTATGATGGCCTCCATTATTGTTGTAAAATGGCCTATAATCAGTTCCATTTTTTGCTTACATAGCACTTGCCAAACTGCATGCGTTTAGCTGGCATGCTTTGCACACTGCAAGATGAATCTGACCGTATTAAAACGAGCCGGACTTTGACCTGGTTTATTCATTGAAAAGTAGTGTTGACTTTCATAGTTTTTACTCAGAGATGTATGGATCAAGTTAGTTATTTTGTGCTTTTGTCTGCAAGCGCTGTTGTCAGCTCAGCAATCTCAAACTTTTGGTAATCTGTTTACTTTTTACTAAATGGTAGAAGACGTCGTTTAAAATTGCTCGCTCCTTTGTTTCTTGTATGTGTTATTGAACTTGCATATTCTTATACAGGTCCATAAAATGCCCGGGATCTCCGCGTAAGTCCTTTCGGTACCGCTTATGTGCACAGAGTCATTCGAATTCCAGCACAAGAGAAGAAGATTTTGGATGAGAAGATAGGCAAGATGGAACTCTTAGGAGCAATTGAGATGGGTAAGGTTAAGATGGAGAGCTCCGTCTACCGCTCGCTGAGTGATCAAGGTAAGGTTGAACAACGAGTAAGCCTTACCTCCTTTTAGTAAAGTATCGCTCTTTTCAGGTGTTTACAATGTCTGACTTTCCGGCCACTTGCTTTGTTGTTAACGACGCAGAGCCGGACAAGATGCTCACCTGCGATTTGGCATTTCGGGAGTTCCCAGGCCTTTTGAAGGGTGTTTATGAATACGAAAAGAAGCTTCAAGTCGACGGAAATGGCGTCAAATACCGTCTCGGCGATTTTTATATTAATTTCATGACTCTCTCCTTGGGTCAAAGTCCAACAATCAAAGGCCTCCTTCTTGAGGTAAGCAGTTATCTTGGGATGGTCTCCTGCTCTGAATTAGGGTTTTTTGGTTGCTTATTCCCTCCGCGTACCCTGATCAGCTCGCCTTCCAGCCCACCTGTCCCCCTTCGTTAAGCGGCGAGCTGCTGCGTGCCTTTGGTCGGCAGCACTTTCCGGAGCTCTTCACCGGCCAAGTGATGCCGGTCTTTACGGCCACCCTTAAAAAGGCCTTCGCGGATAACTCGTCGCAGGACGCGTTGCCCAAACCCTCCACGGAGAGGCTGCTCACCGGCGAGGCAATGGACTCTCTTTCGCGGGCCACTGCACGCGCCACCGTCGCTCAGTACATCGAACATCTCAGGGAACTTCGGTCCCACTCTTAACACTGGCCTTCTGCTTCCTGTGTAAAAATAGTGCATTATTTTTTTTTCCTATAAGATCATATGGATATTACTTTGTTGGTATTTTAATCATTAGTGTCGGTGATGTGACACATGAATTAGCAATCTCCCAACTCGTCAGTTCGAGGTAGCAAAAAATTCCTAGGCTTTGCAGAAGCTAGGCCAGGTAGCAGTAGTCTTGTGTGGGTATTATGCAGCGGTAGTAGCTTTTGTGACGTCACCTCAGCATAATGGATCTTGGCCCTCTGATGGCATGCGAGTGATACACAAATGGCTGCTTTTGGCAGGGGTAGGTTGGTGTCACGTGCGGTGTCGCACATCGGCTTTCTTAAAGCAAACAGTTGGTGGGGCGGGCGTGGAGTCACTTCAATCTCCAACGCTCATTTACTGGCAGAGAGAGAAAGAAATGGGGTGGTCTCGTGCTCCCACAGCGCCTCTACCACTCGGTATTGGCGCTTTCAACTCCTGGTTTAGCACACCGTGAAATTTGGGGGTATTGTCGATGATCGCGGCGAGTCGAAGCCCGTAGCCATCCAATGGAGGTAAAGTGGTGCTTGTTTAACAAGAGTGAAGAAATTTATCGATCGGAGACGGATACTCCTGATACAGTGAGACGGGTACCGCTTAGGCGCTTTAAGGCGTGAAGAATAGAGATAAGGGGTTTTCGCATTGTTGAAAGTGCCTTATTTGACAACATATTTAAGACATCGATTAATAAGTGCTTCTTAAGTTTCGAGAACTAGCTGGGATTCTGCTGGGATTACTCAAATCCAACACTATCTTATTGCAGAACCCTTGAATAGTGCTAGTCTTAATTAGATGTTTACAATAGCAATTAAAACTCAGTTTGTTTGCAATCACCTTTTGTGTGTGAATTGTTCCAGCTACACTAACTCAGGGAGGCAAACAAATTTTTGCAAGAGGATATTCGTGTCCACGATGCACTCAGAAGCAGTTTGGGGATGGTAAATATAACCTGAAGGAAAATCATACTGCTGCACCAAGAGCTAGCTGCTTAGACTCTATTCGTGCAGGTGATTGGGTAGCCAGCTTTGCCCAATCGTCGCACGCCCTTCTACCACATGCACCTTGGATTCGCTGCGCCAGTGGTCCGTTCTCTGCTCACACGGCGCGCGCATCCGCCATGGCGTGGGGAACTTCTGTGCACACGCCGGGCTCACGAGCCAGTGAGTTGAGCGAGCGGGCAAGCGAGCACGCGCCTTCACTCTTCTGCAATGTGCGAGGTAACGTGTGAAGAGGTCAGCTTTGGCACAAGCAACTCCTCAATGCTGCTGATGGATGAGGACAGTCAGTGGGTCGCGTGTGGGCAAAAGTTCAGTGAAATTAATCACTCCTCTCACTCCAAGGGTGAAAATGAGCATATGAGAAAGAATGACATTGAGTCTTTTAGCAATTTGCCGCTGGAATTATGTGATCCCATGAGGCGCAAAATTACATCTTTAAAACCCTCATTAACACCCGGAGCAGGAACACGGATTATGCGACGAAGGAAGAGTAAGTTGTGTCAGCATTCCGTAACTTCATTAGGCCTTTGAATTCCCCTCTTCGTGCGCATGAATGAGTGCCTTCTAATTCTTTTATTTTTTGGTTCTACAACTACACTGTCACTCTTATAAACAACATCTGAAGAGCAAACGCCTGCTATGCAAATCGCCGGTTGATCCACAAGGCTGCTTTTGAAGCATTACTGAAGTTTTGGAGTAAAATAGCCATTTGTAAGAAAAATTAAGGAAAAAGATAGAGGAATGCATGCGATTGCTGCTATAATCTTGGCATTTTTGACAAAAGTGGTTATTTCAGGCTTAGTCATTGTTTGGTTTATTGGAAAGTTTAAATGAAGTGCTTCGGGCTATCTTTGACTGGTTTCCAATTCAACCAATGAAATCTGACAGGGCGAACAGATAATGGTGACTAACCCACCAAAGTCCTTTGTAGCTACTCTTCTGCTCGCCCACAACTACAAGCTAGGCACAGCGTAGATAACTGCTTATGACTTGACTTAGTAAAAGAGGATTTCTTATGATATTTTTCCACTTTATGCCATTCTTATCCTGAGAGTTATGTACTACTTTGCTTGTGCTTTCAACTCAGAATGCGGGTAACCGAACTTTCATTAATAAAGCACATAACACCATTCCAAGTCAACAAAGCTCTTAACTGATGTCTTTTAATTACTCATTTTTAATGAGTTCCGTATCGGAAATTATCAGTTTAATCTCAACTGAGGAATAAGAGAAAATCTTATTGCTTAAATGTATCTCTGAACCAGCCTTGGGAAAACTTCGGGTTAAAGGATGACGCGTCGATGCAGGTGGAATTATTGCATGTGTGATTTTAAATAGTCCAATAAAAGAATCCGAGGTCATTTGTCCGTGACCGTCCAATCTTGGGGATGGCATGGCCACCGAGGAATGTTTTGGTGCACATTCTGCCATTTCGGATTAAGTATCCTTGAATATTGCAATATTATTCCACACTCATGTTCCCGTTCGGCAAATTTTCAAGTATTAGCACAAGCAGACTTGTTTAATGGAAGCGATCTGAGATAATATTTGCATGTTTGTCGAGCCTTATAGAGTTACCTATTCTCAAAGTACCTAATCCCATTATTCATTTACAGCAGATCCCGGTTAAGGTGTAACCAATCAACCAGAGGGTTGTAATTACATCGTCAGTGGTCTATTTTTGCTATTGGTGGTTTTTTAAAAGTGGTGTACAGATGCTCGCAGCATTTTTATAATGCGGAATTTTGAATAATGCAAACAATAAAATATCCTAAGATTTTCCATAAAAGCTTGTTTAACATGAAAAATAGATTGTAAAGGAAATCCCGGAAACCGGAAGTTGTACTCATAGGTTATCAAATAACCCTATTATTTTACTCTCTCGGTCAACAAGAGCATCAGAACAGAAGAACGTTACTCTAGGTGAATGTAATTATAATCTCAAGACATCCTTTATTTGCACTGCGTGGGTTCTCCAATCAGTTAATGAATGAAAATTGCATTCCGAAATTGGAATCGCTTGAGTTTTATTAAATTAGTTGTCGACCACCACGTATGTAATCCTTTTGGAGCCATGTTATATTAGTTAGAAAAGTTGCTTACAAAATTTCATAATCAAAAGGGAAAAAAATCAAAGAAAGTCCCTAGCTAACGATTTAAACTTAAGCACTTATTAGAAATAGCTGTCGCTTTGGTAAGTAGTCTAGAGCTGTCTGATAGGCATCTTTCCTTAAAAAAAAACTTGTAGAACGTCAAGGCGCGGAAGGCTGACAAATCACGTACCTTAGACGTTGAGCCGAAAGAGGGCTTCCGTAAGAACTTTTTATACGGCTTTTAGCATGCATTACACTAATACCGATTTATGTTAGTTAAATTATGTGACTAATTATGACCTTGTTAACAAAACCATTTTTAATCTAAAGCATTTGATGGAACTTAATATTGTTTTAGGGAATACAGACACCATAAAACACAAATGTCGAATTAGTTTATACCCTGATTTCCGACCAACTCATGTGCAAATTGCTGTACACTACTGACGACGTGTAAACGTAAATGCGGATGTCGTGCTATTTTGCATCAGAAGGCCGCTATCATGTGATATATGCATTACATTGCCTTCCTTATCCCTCCGACACCACTCAGCAGTGAGACAAGACTTCATGGAGGAGTCGATCTCGGAGACGGAGGAGGCGTTTCGCCAGTGGCGGGAGGCAATGCGAGCGATGGCGCGACTACCGGAGGGCATCCCCCAACAGTTTCGCCGGCGCATCTGGCTCCTCCTCGCTACCCACCAGCTCAATTCGCAGCATATCAACTGGCCTCGCCTTGCGCAGACCCTTTTCGCGCCTTGCAGCACCCACACCTCTGAGGTCGAGGAGCGCCTGGGACGACAAATTGAGAAGGACCTCCACCGTACCGGTTCTGGCGCTATCGTCACCACTGAGGCTAACCGTACCGCACTCAAACGCGTCCTTACCGCCTACACGCGCTGGAACCGGCGCGTCGGTTACTGCCAGGGCTTTAATATCCTCGCCTCTGTCATCCTCAACGTCATGGAACTTGACGAGGAGGCAGCTCTCAAGGTACCTTATGCTTCTAATTTATGTGTTTGCCACGATTGTTAATGTGGTCAAAATGTCAGAGATGGTACAACTTAGTGTTGCATTCGAGTTAATTTCTCCAGCTTGCTTTGCTTCCCTTAAAGCCGTTTTCTCTATTTCACTGAGATGGGCTTCTAACGCCTATCTTTGAGATGGGCTTTAATGCAGTTAAAGTGGAATGGCAATTCCTTTGTTGCATTATTTGATTTGGGGGGGGGGGGGGGGGATTACGACACAGGCAGGAATTTCTGCGACGTAGCACGAAGCCTCTGTTCGTTGTAAATTTCAAAATAAAACTTCGAAAATACCAAAAACTTTTCAAAATTCTCTTAGTTGAAATGCTGCATTTTATTGTAAGCGGATATTTGTGTTTCCTGGGATACGATTTGACTGCTCAGAATACATTTCCTTATGTCATCAACCGGGTAAGAAAGATGAGCGTGCTTTGCCAATTTCCGTGACCAGAAACGATGAAATTCCGGGTATTCATGTAGAGACTGGGAAAAAGAAAACTAACGAACAATCACAACGCCGTTGATGGGTGGAAACTCTGCAAGTTATCGCCTTTTAAATATGTCCGCTTTTTACGCTGTAGTTCCCCAGAAATGAAAAGTTTCGGCGAATCAACAAAAATCGAAAAGAACGGTTGGATTATCAGAACTGAATGGACTTTGACGGTTAATCCCCAAGTGCCGTCTTCTGTATTTCGAGAACCATTTGGTACCCGACTAAATTATTTTCTCCTGTGCGCTTTGACATTGCATCTCAAAACTAATTCACTAGAATCACGTTTACTTATTCTAACATGCTGGCATTTTAAATACGAATGTGCCTCTAAAAATTCTCTAAGAAGAGATTATTTTACCCAGATTTTACGCCATGTTAAGCACCCAGCTACTGGTTAAAATACCAAATAGTCATAATGCAAAGGTATAATTTATGGATATTTATAAACATGGCCCTGGTTTTTGGTGTCTATTTAATGGTTTGAAAAATCATAAACTCCTAAATCGTTTCAATCAGAAAAAACAAATGCTCCATACTAGTAACAGATAACTAAAGCGAGGCAGCTGAAATATCAGGTATCCTACCCACTGTACCCCAACGAGAACGAATATGGGTGTATTTTGATACTGAAAATGTATCAGTTAGTGCAAACACAAGTAGGATTGGTTTGGATCATTTCTTCTGACAGTTTCACAAAAATGATGCACAATGTCTTCGAAGTAACTCATAAAAATGCGACCTAACGTTGAAGAAGAAAACAGTGGCTTTGTGTGGATGATGGAAACTGAACACACTCCCTTTTACAAATCCTTTCTCTAAACACGATAGTTTCAAAGTTTGTAGCGACATGAGTAACAAGTGAGTTCGTACCGCCTGACGATGGAATTGATTCCTAAGGATGCGATTTTCTGATTAGGTCATGATATTCCTCATCGACTACGTTCTCCCTGAGTCCTACTTCGCGAGAAATCTCCAGGCCCTTTCCGTGGATGTTGCGGTTTTTGGGGACCTACTGGCACTTCGTCAGCCCATGTTGGCATCGCATCTGCAGAAATTGCAACGAGATGCTGGTATGTTTATTTAGTCTCCTCATGATTCTGTTACCATGATAATATGTTTCAAATGAACTGCGAAGAAATTTTCGAATGATTTTACTATTACTTACATGGTGAATGCGGAAACTCGCATAAAAGTATTACCGGATTGGAGTATTTTAGTGTTCACTCACATCAAATTATTTTTACCTTCGAGCTTTGTAAGGCAATTCATCTTAATGTTTTGATTGTCGCCATAATTGCGTCAAGCTGAAGTGTAAGTGATTACCCTCCAGTTCTCTAAATATGCTGTGAGATAGGGCTTTTGATCATCAGGAGGGAATCCATGGAATATTCGAAAGTGGTAATGTGCATGTTAGATGGTCGTGACCTTGTAAGAAGGTACAAACTCCCACAAGCTTATTTAGAAATAAATGCGCCTTAAAAAGAAGTGAACGCTTTAAAAAAATCAAACCTAAATATACATCATTTTGTAGAGGTGAAATTCCAATATGTTCAAAATTTTTTTTCACCTCCATTATTTGATTTCTTCATTGAAAAAACCTTGATCCTCTAATACTTAAATAGGTCGTTAAAATTGTCAAATCTATTATTCGATTTTCAGCAAATTGGTCCTGCATATCGTAAAGTTCTGATGGTTGAAATGTTCTTCACCACCACTTTGTTCCATGCTTACTTCCACATTAGGAAGCATCTCTTCTTTAGATGTAAGTGACTTTGAATGATGCCTCTTGTTTTTATCGGGCGAGGTGAAAGTGATTCACTGCGCCTTCCGCATTTAATGCTATCGGTCATGTGATTTCACGGATTTCTTGGCGCTGAGTTAAGTCGTTAGTGTACAACGAATGCATATTACATCCACAGTCACGTGACCCCGTTGTACACCACTGTGAACTATTTTTAGCGTTTGAAGCCCTTAATTTCACCTCCTCCGCCGCCACTCGACCGTCATTTGAACCGCCGTTGACGGACCTCTTCGCAATTCAATGGTTCGTAACCCTCTTCTCCACGTGCCTTCCGATGAACACAGTCCTGCGAATTTGGGACGCCATCCTGCTGGAGGGCTCCGAAGTAGGACTCAGAGCAGGACTTGTTGTCATGGAGATTCTCTCACAGTGAGTCCTCCCTCCAACAGTCGCTTTTTCTGCTTTAGATGTAGTTTCTCACCTCTTTTGATCTGTTTGTTTTTCTGTGAGAAAATGACATTTTTAGTAGTAAGATTATCCATTTGTGAAAAACATTTTAAATAATCCCAGTGCCTATCCAACAATAGTTTCTCATGCCTTTTTTGTCTGTGATTTAATGCGCAGTGCATTTTATTTTTTTAGTAGATTGATATTATTATAAAAGTTGGAGGACGTTTAAGTTATTTTCCCGTTTTAGCATAAGTTCATGGGGCTTTGTTTAGGGGGAGATGGTGAAGCTAATTATAGAATAACCCTTCCCTTTTTATTCTGGTCCCTAAGGTGCAATTTCGGATTTATGTAGTTACAAGTTAATACAGAAGATTAATCAATTGAAATGGAAACTGAGGCTAGGGGTTGAAGAAAATGTGAATCGGTAATCTAATCACTAGAAATACAATCTTGACCATTCTGCTATGAGGACTTTTTGAAGTACCCAATTCGAAATAACGAAGTATTTAGGTGATACAGCTGTTGGATGAAAAATTAGCCGTAGTCTTATCATCGGCTGCGCGTAATAATCATAACCTTCTAGGACTGGTACATGATTCCCATTTAGAGACTTGATGAAGTTGCCGTCGGCTGACAAGTTCTACTCTAGCATGGCCCAGTGGATGGAGGAGATCACTGAGGGTGCTGACCGGCCGGGCCTGAAGACGGTGGAGTTTATCTCTCTTATGTACAACATTGCACCATTGCCATGGCCTCGCCTTGGTGACTTGCGAAAGCGCTACGCCGCAGCTGCAGACGGTCGGAGAGAGGAGGTGCCGACCGTGCTCTATGGCGATGGCTATGACGAAGAGGCGAAGAAGACCAAGTCCAAGTGGTGGAACATCAATGTCAAGCAGGTCGTTGAAGAGTCTGCAAAGTCACCACCAAGAGCGAGTATCCAGCCCGCAGTAATGTGGGTCCCGCCTTTACCTTAACATCGTTGCTTCTTGTTCATTGTTTGAAAAGAATAATTGGAATATTGACAATTATAGTTCAAATTCAAAACCTTCTTTTTCTCAAACTAATGTTTTCAATAAAAATGTATTTAAGTCTGCTCCCAATTGCCAGGTGATTCCGTCGTTTAGTCGTGTGAGACTTGTTATTGGGTTAGTTCACACCACAAACGTGCCAATTAAAAAACAGGTTAGATGGGAAAAGGTGACTCTGACAGACTATGCTTTGCGGAAAATTTATTTGACTTGGCTAACGCAAATAGAGCACAAAATGTTTCACTTAAATGGCCCCTACTTATCAACACAGTCTTTTGTGAAATAACAAATAATTTGTCTGTGGAATCGAAGTGCCAAAAATAGGCAAGTAAGATACATGTCTGATTCCGTCGCACCGTCTAGTACTCCCTAAATCGATTATTGTGCTTATTCTTATTTAGCACTAGGTTGTTTATTTTTGAGTGTTTCCATTTGATCTGCCAAACAGTTTACCTTGTGTATGCAAACAGTGAAAAGCAATGTTTACTTTTAATTTTGCTGTTTCAAGGCGTTATATCCTAATCGGGCAGTGCTGGGTAGAGAAATGAGGTGATCACTTACCCTTTGAAAAACCGAAATTTTTTATCCTAGAACTACTCATCTCAAAGTCGTAAGATCAGCATTTTTTTCGGTTGATAGAACTGGACAAAATCAAATAAGGTAGTTTATGAGACTGCTACACTTATTTGACTTATTTCCATAACCGCTATTGCTGCTTATAGACATCAAGGCGATGAGGGAATGGGTACCAAGCCAGGTGAGTGCACGTGCCCGCCTGTCTGGATTCATGTGCGCCATGGTGTGCCAGGGCTGAGGTTGTTTACAGTCAGTCTATGGTGGCGTTTTAGGTACGGACTCCGCACTCCCACGCCAGCTACAAACATCGCCTTCAGCGTCGGAGCAGAACTTCAGCCCACTTCTAAGCGCAGATGAGTCCTTCACATTGGAAATGAGTGATGCAAACAGTGTTGACGAAGTGAGTCCTATACCATATCCCTCCAAAATGTGACTATTTAAAGTCCAAAAATATTTTAGCTGTGTAAGTTTCAATCCGCATTATGATTGTAAAAAGGCTAAATTTTTCATGCACAGAGTCTAACCACTGGTGCAAATCAGAAACGTTTCGCGCCGCATTAGTGTGAGTCGTTTCAAGTGTTAGTGTACTGCTAGTAGCCAATGTGGAACTGGAATTGAGGTGAAATAGGGTGAATTTGGCACAAGTTTGCTTGTGCGTGTGCGCGAGCCCCATTCGACGACGTCTCGCTCGTAGCGAGAGCAACAGTGCTCCTTGAGCATTGATTCTGGACCCTGATTTTTCACACATGCATACACACACCCTATCGTATGAGTTGTGCATAACTTCTCCGGGGTGCAGTGTCATGAAATGATAAATTTCCCGCATCATCTCTTACCCCACACTGTTACTATGTTGGCTCGGCAAGTGCACCTTTTACTCTCTCACTTTCTTTTATTCTCGTATAACACCTTCTTCTTTAATTTTTATAAGTGATTTTTAAAATGTCACCTTATTAGTACGAAATTTCACTTACAGTATGTGACAATTCATGTGGCAAATGGTGCCGAACTTGGCCACCTTGAGAGTCAAATTAGAAGTCACTATAGGCGTTGCTTGAACACTTTATTTCAGTATAATTAGTAGCCTAGTTGACTCATCGCCTAGTCTTCGCTTGTGCGTTTCTTTGAGACAAAGATTTTATCCGTATCAGTTGTCTTCCAGTACGACATTGCTGATGGAAGCTTTTCTAGTGTTTTTCATTTACCGATTTCATGAGTACTTTGGTAGTCGACAGACTGATTATCGAAGTGAATGACTTGGTAATTTAGATATTAATGGGTTCCGGGTCTATGAGGCACTTTCCTTTTTTCCTCTTTGACAAATTCCGACCGCAACGTCGCAATGAAACTAGAAAACTTCTCGTCATGTACGAAGACCAAAAAAGGCGAAGAGTGGAAGTGAACTATGACGCATACTTGCTTGGGGACGAAGCATTAATTACACAAATTATTGGCGATCCCACTCAGGTCGAGAATCAAAGTTATGCAGATTCGGTTAGTGCCAAATCTGTTCATTTCGAGGTGTTATGCCTTAGTACTACTGCGGTCGAACCCTTTCCTATGTAGCTGCAAGTCACCCACCTTCAGCTTCAACAGCAGCGGTTCGCATCCCCCCTGGCCATAAACAACCGACACTACACCCCTCATGATCCCATAGAGAGGACAGACTTGCTACAACGCACCTCCTTCCAATTTGATGACAGCTTCCTTCAGACCATCAACGAGTGGCAGCGGCGCAACGCAGCCGCTCTTGCTAGCGCGGGCTCTGAAGACAGTGACTCAGATATATCCGACACTCCCGATCTCCTCTCCCATTCGGTCTTCCCTTTCGAGGCCTCTCTGATTCCCAGACCGCAACGAACCCTCCTCTCCATCGTTGCACAAAGGAGGATAGCTGAGCTCGCCTCTCCCAACACCGTCAGTGAACTTCCTTACATTGATGCGCTCTCCTACTGCATGCCACCTTGATTCCGATCACCAATTACATCGAAACGCAATTGGAGATTGTAGGTCCAAGAAAACAGAAATCTAGATTCAACAGGAGACATAGGCAAAGAATTAGATGGCTGTGAATTTCTATTCATAATGGCACAATTAGCGGGGAGTCATTCACTTTGGTCCTCAGCCACTAAATCCGGATTCGACAAGATGTTAACAATAAATACTAATAGAAAGAAACTTCCTTTTAAAACCGATTCCTTTTATTATTTTTAAGTCTTTATTGAAACCTGTGTTTTTTAATTCCATGATACTTGACCCAGGTTTATGACTCTTCGACAAAAGGCCAGTTTATCTTTTTGAGGATTGAGGATATTTTTGGATGGTTGCAACGGCTTTGGAATAAAGTCGGTTTACACTACACCTTGCTTATATTAGAATAAACCACTAGTTAATAGTGAAAATTATTCTCTGCGCAAAATATCATAAAACTTAAAACCGAAAGATGAATTATTTTCATAATCTACTAGTCAAATGTTAATCTCTTAATCATTTTTTAGTCTTTCAAGATGCAGAGAGGTTTGTAGGTTGATTTCCTCAGTTCTATTTTTTTAGAATGAAATGAAATCCTCCACCCATTCACCTCCATTGTCGCTGAGTAGATCCTCGGTTTTGGCCAAAACCATAATACGTGATCGTACCAGACCGAAGGAGAGTTTCGCTGTGAGTCGTGGAGCCGTAAAGCCTGTGCAACAGAGCGGTGTCTTGCCAGCCTCGCGATCGCCCTCGTCGGTATCGATGCCGTCACACGAGGCGCGAGCATCGGCGCCGACGCAGACGGGAGAGTCACCCGCCCCACCGTGGGCCGCCGCGATGGCTGCCATCGCCGTCGTCCCACGCCCATTCGACAAACGCGACGCCATCTAATTACTTCCTGTACAAATCTCAGCTCGTCTCGTTTCGCACCCTTTCCATCTCGAGTACAACCTATGGCCGACTATAGCCTACTTACTTCCCTCTGCCATCCCTTCTCACTTTAAATGCAATGTGTGTGGATCCTAGCACGCTGGTGCTTCAGGGCTGCTGGAAGTTAGGGTTCTTGGGTTAACAACATCTTCAAATTTTGTGGATTTTGATACTAAACTTGGTAAGATTCCAATAGGAGCGATGTGTGTTTTACGATGCAATCATTAAAAAAACTCTCTGGAAAATTACTTAGAATCTCGTTGCACATTCTGCACATTTTTTCTTGAATTGGCTTCCATTTTGAAATTTCGCAGTCGTGATTTAACTTGCAGGCGAATGCGAGCATTAGAAGCGACTAATTTGCGCACGCGAAATAATTTAAACAAATGAATTGATCATTTGGGAATCATTTTGTGATTTAGAACATCATCGGACCTATCGTAAACAAATTATTGGACTGCCGTTTTCTCCACTGGTAATTTATCTCAAACGCATTCACATAGGTGGTCTTCTCTTCATTAAGTCTATGGTTAACGTGGTGAAGCATAAAGTCCGTCAAGATCAGGCTGCTCTGCTGATGGACTGGATTACAATAACTTAAACTACAAACAAATGATGAAAGTATTTCATTATTTTGAACGATTAAACCCGGTGTAAGCATGTCGGTTAGATTGCCCCCGACAGAGTTTTAATCTCAGCCCAGGAAGCATGTAAAAAGAAGTTCAAGGGAATTGGGATGATTTGTTGGAAATTTCTCGTGGATGCACTCTCACACACGTATACGCACCAACGCCGTCTCGCACCACAAAATTTGCGTTTGGTTTGCCTCTGCCTAGCCCTCTTGACTCCTTCTTTGTTATCTGATCCGTCTTAAGTAGAAGGCTGCAGTGATCTCGCTCATGTCGCGTTCCAGGTAGCTGAAGAGAAGTTCCACCTCGAACTGAATGGGGAGTTTGTCAGTGATGTTGTGCAGTTCCTTGGCCACCTCCAGAATCTCCCGCACCCACGGGTCTAGCTGTTGGAGGGAACCGCTGTGCTTGATGTTCTTTAGCAGCTCACAGATGAATGGAACTATATAATCTAGAGATTCGGGTCGGTTCTTGTAGGCCACGTAGATAAGCGACTTGAGGTCAACTCCAAGCTTTATGCCTTTGGCTAATGTAAGGCGGCCAAGAAAAGCCCCAAAATTCTTCAGTGATCTCCCCTTGTTCGGATTTAGTTGGCCGGGTCGCAGCAGAAAGTCGATCTCTCGTGTAAGCAAATCAAGAATAAGCGGACGGAAATTATTCTGACGGTTTGTTGCAAGCAAAACGAATTCGGTATACATATCGACCAGGTTCGACTCGGTTGCAACTCTGCTTATGATGAATTCAGCCAACCAGCGATTGAAGTGTAGAGGCAGTTGGGACATGAGTTCATGTGTTTGGTTTTTCAGATTGCGTTCAGTGAGATTGTTCAGAATAAAGCAAATTTTTTTCGATAGGCGCTCTGGCGGTTGTGGAATACTTCGGAAAGCCGCTCGGGAACTCATCATGTCCTCGCCTCACGATAGTAGTGTTTTTTTAACACGGCGGAACCGAGAGCACTCCGCTCCTGAAGACGACAAATTAAGCGCCCAACGAGAGATGTCTGTGACGATTTCGAACAAATCGATCGCATTGTTGGAGTGACGCAGAAAAAATCGATCCAATTAATTGATCTGATTAGTTCTTTACGCGCGCGTCTCTGAGCGCCACCTGTGCGCTAAGAAAATTCGGCCACCATTGAGCGCTCGTTGTTTGGCTGCACTGCTCACGACTCGACCCGCCAAACCACGCTCAGTGAACCATTGTTCCCCCGGACAATGGAACTGGCAACGGATAATCCCTTCCCTATTATAAGCGGTTAAGTCTTGCAGTGGAGTTGTCATATGTCGTTTAATTTTTAATCAGAAGTTTAAATTGACCGTGTAAACTCGGTGGAGAATTCCCTTCCTTTCCCAAATTCAAATAAACAAACAACCTTTCATGCAAATAGGAAAAGTGGTGTGTTTTAGGTTGCTTACCCATCTAACGGAAATAGGTTCTGCTCAAGATTCCATGAAAAAGTGCAATCTTTTGAAAGAAGCCAACTAGATTTACCACTTGAGATGCAGTTATAGCTGTCTCAAAACATCTCCTTTTTGCTAACTTTTAACTCATAATGGAGAGAAACAAATAAAAATGTAAAAACACTGCATTTGCTACAATCTGTCTGCAGCGCAATCGGCGATCCGTACACCTGTCGTGGAACCTGCGATAAAATAGTTACTAGTATCAAAAGAGTATGACAGATACGATTTATGCTAAAACTGGTTAGTTTGTTTGCACTATTTAAATGACTTTTAACCTAATCAGACTACTTAACTTATTGCGTAGTTTTAAGCTGGGTGAGATGGTGAATTATGGACGAAATTGAAATATACGCTAGAGTTATATGGATCTATACTCTCATCAAAATAATTTGATAATTCCATGTTGACTAGCTTTCAGCAATACGGGCTTTGAAGAAGCCCTGAAACATGGCTCTCTGTGATTATGGTGCATCAAAATCCAAGAAATTGAAAATTGTACTAATATAAGCCACTGCCGATTTTCGACGCCAATGAATAAAATGTACGCCAGCGATTTTCTAAGATCTTTTTCAACTATACCGTACCTTTCGAGTTGTCACATTAAATTAATTAAGACGGATACCACTCTAGGGGTTTTTGCAGCACTTTTAAACTGGATAGGCGAGGGTTGTGTTTAAATCTATATGTTATTATACAGATGGGATTAGGGTAGCTAAGGTAATCATCTGCAGCCCACTTTATGGAAAAGAGTACCAACGACCATTGAGCTAAAAAAAGAAATTGTAAAGTGAAACCCAAATCTTTATTCCTGTACATCATGGTGAATTTAATTGTGCATAAATGCATTTAAAAATTTTCCCGGTGGACCCAAATCGGTAAATGTAGCAGCATCACTGGAAGCCTATTTCATTAATAAAGTTCCAAAAGAAGTTTGAACTTTCAGAATGGCCGAATGAATGAAGAGGAAGAAGTGAAATAAGATCATAATGTGTAACCATATCAGAGTCTGCACTCTTGACACATATCTACGCAAGATTTTTTCACTGCACAAAAATCCTTCTATTACTGGGATAAGGACCCATCACGTACTTTAAGAACAGGAATCCTTTGTACAAACAACAAATCGTTTGGTAAATGCGCTTACTCGCGGAACCATTAATTGTTCAGCTGAGCAACTCCACCTTTTGTGCTAACCCTCCCCTCCTAATGACCACATTTCTGCCTTCCCCCTAGAGGTATTATCTGCCTCAGACAGTTCATTTGAGAGCTGCATTGTGATCTTGGCTTAAGTCATTTACTATTCGTAAAGTAATTAACTTAGTCTTGTTTATTTTAACGATTTCAATGAACTTCCTTCACATCGGAAGTCACCTAAGCACCGTGCTTGGAGCACTGCAAAGTAAATCCTGGAACCGGAGTGTGGGTGATCTAGGGCACTACACAGATTGAATTTCGGGTATAATTGCTGTTATCCAATAGCTGGTAGTCTATACAATTTAACACTGATAACTTTTATGGATGAAAAATGAATATGAAAACGCATCGTTGGCAATGACCATCCAAAAATGATTCAACAGGTCCACCTTGCTTTGGAGACTGCAGATTATTCCCATGTGCCAGTTTCCATAGTAGAACCCAAATAACTAGTATCTGTAATTAAATCAGACCCGAGAAGTAAGCGCGAACTAAGCATTCACAAAAGTATGAATATGTGCGCAAGAATCAGACCAAGAAAAAGTAATTCGTTTACATCTGGACCTGAAAATACTTAATAGAAGCAGTCACAATTATGAAAAATTTTTACTACTTCTTTTGGACTGCAGAACTGTGGCGCAAGTCACTTTTATTTTTAGTTCATTAAAGAAGTCACGGATTTTAATAGAAAAATAATGAGAAAACACCATGTGCAATATCAACTGACTTTGACCAAATTCATAGGTTATGTTGGAACCATAATTATACAAATGTTATTTCACAATAAATAAACAACTGTGTAAATAGGCAGTGGCCATTTCTCATAGAGTTGGTTAACTAGTTAGCAACTTTAAACTTTTTGTCGATATTATGCTTAGGTTTAATCAAATATGGTAGAAAACGAATTAAAACAAATTTCACTGGGGAAAATTACACTTATAACCAATTGATTACATGCGTAATCTATTCATCTTGTGATCATTATACAAAAACCCCATACTTGACGAATCCAGCTTTTCATTTATGCGTTGTCGCATATTGTCATACTAAATTTTTCAGATTTATCATAGGTTCAAAGATGCCAAAATCATGCATATCAATCAATGGCTCGTTTAAACAAGTTTTTTTTGTGTACCTTCATCATCAATCGATCACCTGTTGAAAAAATAAAACGCGGAATCGAATGCAGAGTTCAAAAGTAAAAGTGCGTAAATGCTTAGATTTGGTTGCGGTGGCCTGTGTGCATCTCAACGGAATCTAGGTGGTACCTGTTTATTTGGGAATATAAAACAGCCGTAAGCATTATGATAATTAGGCTGTATTTGTAATTACATTACGAGTTAACGCGCCACCCAAATCTGTTCCAGAAAACTTCAGCTGCGATTTTGTCAGGGGTGAGGTAAAGTGGTTTGAGCCCAAATATGACAAGACCCGAAAATTATTAAATCTTTTGGTCTAATATATCATTTCCCGAATAATTAGTTGATGGAAAAGTAAGAGTATGAGCTCTCTCAAATTCAAAAGGTGTCTTTTTTTTGAAAAAAGTCAAGCAACTGATCGGCAAAATTAATAAAGGGTTGGCTCACGTAAAGTAATTTATTAAATCTATTCCATTAGTCTAACTATAAATATAGGGTGAACCATCCTCTCTCTTGTGTAATACACCTCTTCCTCCAACTGCGATTAATACGAAGAACTGCGACTCATTGCTCGCCTAATTCAATCTACCTTAACCCTATTAGTACACGTATCGGGAAGAATGATCCCCCAGTAGAACCGGAATAGCAGTCGTTTCAGAACTCGTATTGAGAATTATTACCGGTGAGCCTCAAGAATATACCAATGCGCATTCTGCCTACCATCATGAGGTAGGGCTAATTGCAAAACATGACAGTATTTTGCATGCCAAAGATGTAACAACATAGCACTTTTTTGAGCTAATTGTATAAAATCTGGCGCTAGGTAGCGAATTAGCCACCAGATTTAGTTTGCGATTTTTTTAATGCATCTGTAGTGTCGACTTGAAGCAGTTTAATGCTTTAACAATTTATTTGGGGTAGAATATAGGCTTACTTACAAATATAATAGTTGCAAAATAAAGGGATGTAAATAAAATCAGAAATTTTTTTTAACGACTTCAATCCTGATTTTCCTATCATTTTCTCTAGCTCCACAGCAACTGTTATTGTTGTGAGAGCCAGAATTCGTTGCTTGGGTAAATATATGGCATACATTACCCCAGGGGTAAATGAAATGTGTATCTTTAAATTGGTAATTTTAATCAAATAATAATTTATAAGTTAAAGGGCATGCAAATTGTTGAAGTAAACTGTTGACAGCTTACAAAATATTGAGCTTCATTTGATAAAATCCCTTTATTTTATGACTCCTCACCCATATGCGCAATAATTTGGTATATAACTTAGTTGAATAAGACAGAGAGAGAATGCAACATGCAGAAAATACAATGAGAAGATGGGTATTTGTGAAGTATCTGAGGTTTCTGTGTGTAAGAAGACAAAATTAAGGGAAAGGAAGGAACTGAGTATCAAAGGATTGGGGTGTTTGAAACCCCTCTCAGTTAGATAACTTGTGTGGGTCGGAGGAGAGGAAAGAAAACAAATGCAATAAATAAGTTAGAAGGGACCAGAAAGGAGGGAGGTGACATGCAGAAGGTCAGAGTTCCAGTAATTTTGGGGAACACTCTCCATGACAGCGAAAGCAAGCACAGGCCTCTCTCTGGATGTACCTATACAGATTCACACACTACCTCAGCAGACTAGATGGTGGCGAACGCGAAATTGTCGCGACTTTTCAAAACTGGAGGTGAAGCGAGGTTGTGTTCGTGTGTGTATGCGTGTTAGATGTATTAACGTTCCTTGATAACATGCAACTCCGAAAGCCATATTAGTAGGGTCATTAGCACGTCACGAAAAGCAATGAGGTGGTTGTCCTTTTACGAAACGGAGATTTGTGCTTGGCGGCTACTGGTGGGAATAAAAGTGGTTTTTGCTTTTACTACTGTTGTTGATTTGGGTACGTTTGAGTGACTCTGGAGGAGTTGACAATGCTGATTCGCTCCATCAGTGCCCCTGTCGGCGTTATCTGCAGACCCTTCCAGGGTGGGAGGAGGGGTGGGGAGCGAATTTATCCCTGCTGAGATCGTGCTAACTCGGCCATTCCGGACACTGGGCCCAAGTGGTGCGGGGGAATTCGATCAGGCACGCAGTAGTCCAGAGACTGACACCAGTCCTGCAACAGCACAAAAAAGGCATGATTAATCAGCCGGCGCGAGTCTCCTTGATAGGATTATTTATGCTTTTGCAAGTGAATTTCAACATGTAACCCGACAAATGTTACTTGAGAGTAATTTTTCTTATTGATGTTGCCGAATAGTAATATTAAAGCCAAATAAATGATATTTGGACTGTAACTAAATGTATAATTAGTGTTCCAGAAAACACAACAAATTCATAAAACCAAAATTTAAAAACCTTTTTATTGATGCTTTCACATCATAGCTTCATGCAGAAGTCAGTAATTGGAAAATTCAAACTGAAATCGAACCATAAAAAAGCAGATCTTCGTTAAGTCGACTCAAACTTCTAGGGCTGTGAGAGAATGCCTTAATAATATATTTATTGAAGTAGTGAATACAAGCAACTTTAAGCTCTTTTAACTACAAGGAAATCAAAACGTAACAGTTTATATTTGGGTGAAAATATGCATGTGTTTATATAGGCTATTCTGCTTGTTTTAGAAGCAAATGTTCATTTGCATAATTTGTTATAATCGTCAGCATATCCCCTGCTTACCGATATGAACTTAATGGGCATTTTAATAACTGGGTATGAATAGAGCAGCAGGTGGTTTGGGTCAAATGTGCCTCAACTGAAGTAGTATTTCTCTTCAATGTCAGAGGACTTCACTTAGGAGCAAACTAATATTTAAGCCTTCCACGAAAACATATTGTCTTCTGTTCATGATTGGAAAAACAGAAGGATGAAAGAAGAGTCTGAAGATATTTGGGCAAAGAACTCATAAATGCGCGAAGAAAGTGCGGAATCAGTGGGAGAAATCTAAGTGGCAGTGATGCGTGTGGTGGCGACATATCGTCTCCTCCTCCTTTGACTCTATCATGGGCTGCCTTGTGTGAAAAACAGTTGCTGCCTTCTGTCCAAAATCAGCCTACCCACCAACGCACTCCGCGCACAGCACTTGAGGGAAGAAGCAAATCTGGTGCCTGACCTTGGGACGCCCAATCAGTGGGCGTGCGCGTGTTCCAAATTAAGACGTAGAAGTCGTGCGTCCAGATCGATGGGCGTAAACAAATGCACACAAGGACGGGCGAACAAATTGCAGCACTGCCGACACTGCCTCCATTGCGTATGCGCCGCGACCCTTGTTGGCCAGTCAAATCATCTATGGGGGCTGGGGGGGACTACAGCTCCACTCTTCCGTCACACGGTAGGAGCATGTCCTCATGACCACAAGGTGAAACGGTTAGGTTGCTTTGGGAGCATTTTGGAGTGTTTAGAGTCCTTGTGTTTTGCACGAATTATCACCCATTCGTAAATCAAGACGTTTCAATCAGCCAAGAAACTTTTATTACGAGTAAAACAAAAGGACTCAGGTTGTGCTTCGAATTATCGACAAATTCTCTGGGTAAAACTTAAAATGATTCAAAAACGATTGAGGTTTCAGAAACATACCGCGGAGTACGAAAGGAAATCAGGCCCCATTTCACAATTGTCCATGCCTAAAACAATAATTTAAACAATGAAGTAAGGTATACGATTTGTGATTAACACTCTCGATCTAAATGTATGCGACCTATTCATGCCACCACACCGTATTTAATCATCAACAGCAAAAAAACAGTTGTCTATAGACGTTTTATGACACCATGCAAAGCCCAACCAAGCTACTCACATTTACCGCACAATAAGAAATTACACAAAAACGCCAACCGCAGACATTACAGGGCTGTATGTAAACTGTTTTGGCCAACTTATCCACCACATTACATATCTCTCAAAAATGTAGAGTCTGTATCAAATTGGATTAGCAGTACGTAGCACTGAAACACTTTCTTGAGGCCAAATTCAGTTGCAGCGCTAACAAAGTTAATTGTTAGGATGACCTTGCAATACTAGGATGGCGCTGTGCTTATTTATAATCCGAGTGTCGTTTAGCGCGGCACCACAAGTGTTGTCGCTGTCCTCCCAAACCTTATAAATCGTCTTTTATGGGGGTCATCCAGTGGGCGATTGCACCCCTAGCCTGTTAGTGCCGTGCCAACCAAGCACATCACCCATCATGGGCGAATCGACCAATTCCAAACAGACGAACTTAGACGATGGAAATGCCCCTTTTGATGCTGCATATGTAAACTACAATAGCATTTTTTGTTAAAGATTTGGGAGTCATTTCAATGATTACACCCAGATGTCCCAACAAACATCCATTTTAACGCCGAAAATGGTAAAATATCCAATTCCCATGCAACTAATAAGACGTTTTAATTTTTAATGGAAAAACATGCAGCACAAAGGTGTAGGATCAAAAATTTTTGCTGCTCTTAGTGTTGAGAATATCTTTGCAGCACTTCAAGATGGCATCAGTAGCATTAGTGGAAACAAAGTAGTAAGCAAAATAAAGCAGATGCCCCTACACTCTAAAACGGCATGCTTTACATTCTACTTCATCTATTTGTTCCTAAAGAAATGAACACATTTTAATGAACCTCCGATTTTCAGATGAATTTATCCGGAGGCCTGTGTCGGACCACCTTCGGAGCTAAGCATGTCTAAGAACTTTTCAAGAATTTGAGTCGCCAAACAAAGCTTAGAATTGAGCATTGGAGACGTATCTCCTCTAACACCCTGTTATTCCCATGTCATCACTTCAGTTTCCTGTTTACATGTGCAAGCTCAGTTGATACAGTTCTATAAGTGTGTTGCTCTTAATATGGAAAAGTTTAATTAAGCAAGAACCGATGTTAAGGTTGAGCTCTTTATATCGTCACGCTTCAAGAAACGCAACTATTGTGTGTGATCCGCTTGGGGGACCCAAGCGCTGTTTCAATTGACCAAAAATGACAGATATGAAATTGGGATTCCATAAAAAATACTGACCTGAAACCATATTGATGTGTAGTCCTTTTTAAATTCATCACGATAGGTTGCAGGGGTAGAATGTTGCTAATAAGTGTCGAATCTAGCAACCACAGTCATTCGAATGCACTTTTTATCAATGAACCATCTCAAATTTTGTGCCAAGGGTCTGTAAAACCTCTTAGAAATATTAGTGATTTTACCATAAGTGATGGGATAATCTTAAGATGATTAGTTCGAATCGGCTGTTCTGAGCTGGGGAATGATAAGGGCGATATCTGCGCCCATTTGAACCATGTAACTAAATTAAGCTATTTTGAGGGAGCTAATAATGCTGCACTTGCATACTGCTGCTGAGATGCTGATCGCAAATATTGACCCCTCTCTTTGCCTTCTTCCCGCCTACTCACTTATGCTTTCCTTTTCTTCCTCTCCACTTCTGCCCTTCTTTTAGCTTGCCTCCCTCTCCTCTTGACTATGAAAGTGTGGTATCTTTGGTCGAGCTTCATGCGTGCGCAGGGAAAGGGAACAGGAAGGTGCAGGAAAGGCGAACGCCTGGGTGCACGTGAAGGCACATACGCGCATGCAAGCGACCGTTCTGCGGAATCGCCGCATCAAACGATGGGAAACCACCCCACCGGAAGGCGTTTCAAACACTGGCGTGCCAAGTTGTGCACAAGCTTATCCCTTATGATTGATGTTAATTAATTTTTAAATTCACTAAAGGATTGCATTAGTCAATTTGAGTTTGATAGTTTTGGCGAAGAATAAGCATTTCGCATTTGGATGGCTACCGCGTATGTTCGCTTTCGATCGGAAATTGAACAGGTGATTACTATGAATTTAGATGGAGTCATTTTATATAAAATTCCAAAATGCCAGTTTCGTCATCTCTGTAGTTTTTTTACACTTTACCACCCATTGATGGTGTAGATTTATGCCTACAATTTGCGTTACTAACTATTTACGTCCAGATTTTAATAGGGTTTGTGCTGTGGTAAAACTGACCATAGCCCGGGTGCTAAGAAACCGTCTTGATTAGTGAAAAATGTAGTTAACAGTGACTTCTGTGTCCCTTCCATCGTGAAATGAAAATGACGTATTCGTGAAGAAATTCGCGTAGAATATGAATACGGCATGTGGAATAAATGCACACAATTGCACTTAGTAGTATTAATGGTTAGAAGTGAGGGCGAGCCAAATATTCCTTAAGGAGTACTGAAGAATCCACTTTTGAGACATCTTTCATCAAGATATTTCATTACTTTGTCTCACTTCAGTACAACAGGGTCAAAAGCAAACTTTCAAATCCACGTGGGTAATATCAAAACACTCCTTTAAAAGTGTCAAAAGCTTGCGCTACAGTATTTTTGCACATTTACGTCATGTCGACTTGAAACTTCCCATTGACATACCTGACATAAACTTTCCAATTGCAAAGTAAAGCAGATTCTTTTCGAAAATATTTTTAAACATATATCATCAGTCTATGACCAAAATAACCCATTTTTCTATTTAAATTTCCCATAATAAATTATTAAAACAGCTCAATGTGACATTTTTGAAATATTATTCGTGAACACATTTTTTAGTATAAACCCCACACACTCACAAATATGAATTATTTTGTGAGAAAACAAAGTGTTTACGAAAATGTATTTCAGAACGATCTTAATCAGCTTCTCTTGACTGGTTATGGATTAGCACAAGGCTAAAAAGGCTAAACCTTATGAAGGGCCTCGGGAGTCTGATGTTCTTCGAGTTGGTTGAGAGCTCTGTAGTCGATTGCGTTGGCTCCTTCATCTAATTTACTACTCACACACACACACACACACACACCCTAATTGGTATTGACTTGAGCCCCGACGCTAAACCCTGGCTTAGCAGCAGTCACCTCTACCACCTCAGCGATCCGAATTCGGCACATCTCATTCAAACAATAACGGTTTATTTACGATCAAATGCTCAACGACAATATTGAACCAATGTCTGCAGGTAATGCTTTATATATGCATTGGGATTATAACCCGTCCGGTCCCGCCACGTCGAAAATAATAACGATAAATAAAATTTAGGTAAGTGTTTCAGAAATAAACACCATTTAAAAATATTGCTCATGTGTGGGGAAGCATTTTCGCCGTAAGGAAAGGAAGCCGACATCATGCATAAAATCGAGGTCACCAGCCAACAAGAAATCAATAAATTGGAAACAGAATACACCTAGGAAGTTGAAATAGTACATTGCCGATTTCACCTCCAAGAGTCTGCAATTGTTCTCTTCGTTGATTACCCAAAAATGTTTGATTAGTGTTTCAGGTCACTAATATGAAGACCCAACCAATTAAGCGTGATTTGAATAAAAACTGTCTTGGCCCCGCTTACACATTAACACAAGTCTCATAACGTCTAGCGAATAAATAGCGTTCATTTTATACGATAAATCTAATAGAAAATTGAAATCACTTAAAATACTGCTGTACTTGAAATGTATCGGGTGTCAAACAGAATAATTGCTGCGTAAAGGGTTTTTCTCCCCATTCACAGGTTTATTTACATTCATCTAGACATAATTTCCATTAATTAGTCATTTGAAAACACCTATATTCCGTTCGTAAGTTGATTAGACTTTCCTGAGTATTTACTTTGATGTCGATGAATACTTAAGCTTCCAAGATGAACTTTATTTGAGTATCTTGATAAAAAGTAACCCAATTCCGACTTACTTCCTAAATTTGCGGTGGAAAATGGTTGTGTGAAACTCCTGAGATGTTAAAAAATAATTTCAAGAAGATAGTGAATAAATGAGTAAACAAAACCTTCTTACATTTGATTTTAAAAAAAATTCACAGACCAAAAATGCTTTGTATTTGTCCGCTACTAATACAATTCTGGCCGATATATTGTTTAGTAAAATAAGCTCTCGAAACACGTGTATTTTTCGGTATGTAAACAAGAGCAGTCAGTTCTCTAACGCATCGCAGCATTGGGTGTTTATTTGGTCATGCGTTGTCATCCCGAAAGCTGCTAGGTGTCCCTTTTGTTATATCTCAATGGCTTAGCTGCAAATCATACATAACATATCCTCGGAACATCAGGGTGAGTTCACTCTTCGGTAAAAACACCGGAATTGTGGTGTTTTGGAGCCCCTAAACATATGAATCATATGACCCTTATTGTTTTGCATGGGGCCACCCAATAGAGAGCCATCAAATGTATCCGGGTAAAGAACCCTTCGATTAACGAGAAGTTGGTTGTTTTTAATGAGGTGCTGTAGGTAAGGCAACAGCTGTTCCAACTTAGATACACGGATGTGCATGTGCACACGGTTGGACGCCGCATGGCGAACGAAAGGACGGGTGGACGAACAGCTTGACTAGTGGGACCCAGCGAGGGTTGCGTGAAGCACGTGAGGGAAGGCAGAATACCTACGGGAAGGCAACAACAACAACCACCACTCCTTTTGCTTCTCCTGTACTCCCCCACTCCCCCATTCCGCCTCCCTCCCCCACTCTCACTCGCCTGCACTCCACCCCACCCTGGCAAAGCCCTGCACAGCACGGTCCGTCATTTGCATCAATGGGGAAACTAAGTTAAATGTGTACACAGTCAGCAGCAGTCATGATCGGCAAGCTTGTACGAAGCGGCAACACCAACTGGTGTCGGAAATCACTTCACATACACATACATTCAAGCTTGTGGGTATATATACATACACTTCAGAAAATAGCACAACAGTTGTTCACACAAGATACTACCAAGTGTCTGTCTATTCCACCAATTCTCCCTTTTGGAGTACCCTTGTACCCTCTTGTTGCCTGTCTGTCCCGAGAAATGTGATGTAACATAATCAACAATCGCTGGTACGCTTATCTCTTCGCGTCACTTATGGATGTTTTCATGCGGCACCAAACTGGATCACAATGCAATTGTCCGATTTTGAGCCTATGGAGCGTACGCATAAAGAGGAAAAGCCAAAGTTGAGAACAATCATGTGTTTAGATTTAAATAACAGTTTCGATGCCCATAAATAATTTTGAGCCTTCTTGGAGTTTCTAAAAGCTAACCAAAAGGCGTAACGTATAAAGTCGATTTTCGCAATAAGGATCCAACGGTGTTTCCTTGATTTTAATTTTAATGTAGTATTATGTTGGGATTTAATTTTATTTATTCAGGGTGTACATGGCTTAAAAATTGTGTTGATCTGTTCAAGAAGATATAATGTCTGATTTAGAATTTTTTATCCAAACCGAATTACTACAATATGTTTGATAAATGATATTACGGCAGTGCTTTTTCGGTAATTTGTTTGTCCAACATTGGTAAGTGCTTTGTATCGGAGGCATGCAAGGGTCCTTCCAGAGGAAGCCTTGCAACAGTGCGTGCACTTGCCCCAAATTGGGGTAGAGAATAAAGGTGTAATTTAAAGTACACGCGACCAATGCAGCTGGATTGGGCTGGCCACAACGGGATGCAGAAACCTCTTTCCCATATGCAATTATAAGGCCCTGAGTTTACTGCCCCCTTTTCACGGGCAAACATCTTAATCGCCTTTATGAAGATAGCGTAAAGAAAAGTTACATTACAAACGGTTCACGAATAGTACTAGTCGATGCACACTCGAGGTGAGAGACGAGATTTAAATGTGACAACTTGCCTGCCACGCAAAACTTCAAAAGTGATGCTGCCTAAACTGTTATTGTTTGTGCTTTATTACAGGGAGAAATGGTTAATTGTGCAACACTATTATGAAGACGTAATATATATAGCAATGAATCAATGATCAATGAGCAATGAAGTTAAGATGGTCAAAAATGGACAAATTATCCTGTTTACAGAGAAATGACCAATGACAACACATACATTTTTTCAGACTCTGGAAAGGTAAAAAACAACCTTTGGATAAATTATCTCGAATTGAAACTGCTAAAAAGGAGTGTTTGAATGGCGATGTGGTGATTCGGAAAACGATATTTGAGTAAGTTACTGAAATGCATTTTATTGACTTAGAGCTGTGGCTCTTCTAGCACCAACCCTTGGCTCTTGCGTCTCTACGTTAAACAGCTTCAGGAACAGTGGTAACTACTTTTCAACTCTGATCAAAAAGTATCAATAGTATGATCGGTTATTTCATCAACCCAAATTCATCCACTTTTAGATGTAATTTTAAACATGCTGAACTGTTGGATACCACAAGTAAGTGATTTTTTCGCGTCAAATGGATGCTATGGGTTTTTTATCTACCCAGTGCTGTCCACTACGAATTTTCCCACTAGCCAAAATTCCGGCAAATAGTACGTTTTATGTCCTTCAGAAAAAACAAAACAACAATCACCTAAATCGACTAAACAAAGTGGATAGATCAACGGCAGAACTATCACTCACGCGAAATTTTTTTACGAATATGAAATTACGCAAAAATGGTAACAGATCGGAATCATTGTTCGCTTCATCTAATGATGATATGAACGTATTCCTGGTACATTAATCTGAATCCAACACTCAGCATGCCAGGAAATTCCGAACAAATCTTCGTAAGTTTAGATGTAGGGTCCGAGACTGGCAAGTTCTCCTTCACAAATGCCTTGTTGTGCAGATATAGAGGGATTAAAAGTGGGTAGTAAAAACCATTAGTAGGACCTTCTTGAAGAGTAAACTCACATTCTTCCTTGTTTTTAACTATCAAGCTGCATCATTCTGAAAATTAATTTCATGAACTACTATTGAATTGCTAAATCCAAATTAACGAAAGGTCATACGACTATGCATCAATCAGAGGTGTTAAAATATGGCTGAAAATGCCTGAGTTATTAGCGTTAATCTCAAATGAATTGGCCTTTTATTCTGTTCAAGAAAGTGGGGACTTATTCACCGTGGTACCGTGCTTCTACCTGCACCCCAATTACGTAAAGCGTCTTAAAGAAGTGCGGTGGCATTTTTGAAATTGCATTAAAATACGGTGCTCCATCACGGCATCGCAACAATGAGAACCTTCAAGTACTAGTTAAGCTTCACGTGAAATAACCCATAATACATTTCAGCATCTGTCACGCTTTACTCTGAGTGATTCTAAAGTTATTGTAAATGCCTACGTGAAAGTGAACTTGATGAATGATTCAAAGGACTGAAATTGTCTAATTAGGCAAGCGTCCAACCATGGATGTGTGCGTGTGCACGCAAAAGGGTAGGATGACTCACTAGAATCGAAGCAGGCCACCTTGGTGTGCTCGGGAGTCTGGTTGGCGCTGGGAATTGAGTGCCCGCCGGCCACGGAGGGCCCTACGCCGCTGTCCATACTGCTTTGGTGCGAGTGCTGCGCCGAGGAGATTTGCTGGGTGGCCACGGATCCGCTGACACCGTACTCACCGGTCGTGGGGGCGGTGCCGGGGGGTGGCATGGAGGACTGCGAGAGGAGGGGGAGGAGGGGTGTGGTGCAGAACATTTGCTGGAGGTGTGGAAGAGGCGTCTCACCAGTGCCGCGGCTCAGCGACAGCTCCTCCATGTCCTGAGCCAAGTGGCCCGAGGAAGTTGCAGGAAGTGGTTCACTCGAGGGAAACAATGTCGCCCCGTAACTAGGGTGGTGCAGCCTCGTGAGGGAGGAGCTCGGACCGAGAGCGTAGCCGCCCGACCCACCTCCGCCACCGCCGCCCATACAGGAGTCCGCGTTGCCTGACACACCACTCACTGTCATAGGGACTGGCTGACTTGATGATCTACAAAGCAAATGCCGAAAGTCTATCTGCACACAAATTGAACGCAACTTTGTTGTCATGAAATTTGTGATGCTGCGGGAAGATGGAGACGATTTGGTTAAACTATTAATGGCTTAAAATTTTTGTTCGGGCATAATTCAGCTCTGTTGATGATAAGCTATGCAGCCAATTTAGATGTTTTCAAAATCAAAACTTTAGTGACATGATCACTATTTTAAACAAGTGCAACATTGCGCTGTGCTTCAGGCCATCATGCCATGATCCCTATAATTGAGCTGTTGATGGCTCTGACAACACCATTCACGCTTCAAAAACTTAGCCCATAAACATTTGTCTACAAGGCTACGCATTGCCATTGAAGGGCGACGCAATAACGAGAATACCAGATCAAAGAAATGTAAAAAAAAAAAAAAAAAAAAAAAGACAAAAGAGCTATTTTCATGCATGGCTTGAGTGAAACTACCAATAACACCATTAACTATACGTCAATCAAGAAACAAATAGTCACAAAATACAAGACTAGTGAAAGAAATTGTTATTTTTAAGCAGTTTAAAAATTTCACCATCACCCCTTTTAGCATTATAGCGTTCCTATGCATACCCAAACCTCCCTTATTTAAAGTCAGACGCCAGTTTGTAAAACAGTGGCCAAAAAATGTCACATCTTGTGTTTCTTCAAAGAAAGTACTGTTTTTACCAGGAAAGACTGATGATCTGTAAGTGGACACACCACCCAAAGCACATTGGTTCGCTAAGGAGTTGCTATCGTCGAGTTGCATGCACGACAAATTCACATGAAAGTACAAATTGAGTCCCTCTACAATGTGTCCCTTATTACTCGAACATGATCAACAATTTTGGATATGCATAATCCAGAAAATCTCAAGAAAGTGGTGTACCTGTTATATCAAAACATTGAGGTGCACATTTGGCTAGACAAAGAAAGAGTGTTACTAAATTTGCCCTTAGATAAAGCCTACGCCTATTTTAGGACGGCATTTATCAAGAAATATTGGACAATTTGTCGATTATGGTCGTACTTTTTTTAGCTACAAACTTACAGTCGCAAAACTGTCGCACAATCCTCAATTCACTACGAAATTCAATAGTTTGTGGAAAAAACACTGTACTTAGGGCAGCTGAAATTGAACTGCGTTTGAATACTACGCATACTGAAGTGAATCAAAACCCATTTAATTTCGTTCGGGTAGCGCGATCAAATTTGTAAAGGTTTATTCAATTGAAATGATCTTCTAAACTAACCTCCACAAACGTCGCATAGTTATGCACTAAGCCGAGTGACATTTTGGGTACTTTTCCCACCAAACAAATTGTGTACTGAAAGCTATTCCTTTGGAAATTTGGCAGGGTACATTTACTTTTCACATAATATAAATGCTATTCATAGAACATGGGGTACATCTACAAATCCCTGTTTCTACTCACATCTTTTCTTTGGTTAAATGTCAGTCAAGGTAGAAAGTCACCAAAAAATTCTAGTTTATTCATTTTCCCAAATTCGTTTTCCGTCCTTAGCTTTGGTCTCATGCGCGATGGCGGAGCAATGCAGCATCGCATCCTTGAATGAGCTTAAGAAATTTACCGAAAATTCAAGTTAAAAAGTTACAAAGCAACTAACCTAGACGCTATAGTGACATCACAGGCCAGATGGATTTAGAATTTTGGGTAAACTTAGGGTTCGTATTCATTAAAAGAGTATGACAAAAAAAGATTACTTGTTTTGGTTTGTTCAGCTTGATCGATTGTGCAAAACTCATTAGCACTATGTACATATTTCACAATAATCTCCATCGTCGTACACAAATCTACGAGCATTTTTAGCATATCATGAAGTTTGCCTCAAATGATTCTTAATAGCGAGAATAGATTTTCAACAAAAAGCAATGCAAAAGAAGTTCTGTAAGTCACTATTTTGGTAATTTGGTAAATCAAATAAAACCTGTCAGACCTCCATGAATGAATGATTTGGAGAATAGAAGGCAAGAATATATCTATCGCCAAATTAAATTATGGAGCACGAGATGTAAAAGGGGTCAAGAACTTCGAGACTTTAGCTTCAAAGGCTTGCACTTTATTGATACAAGTGATCTGACTCGTCTCCAGTACCATTAATCAACGCGCTCATGCAATGCAAGATCTAGGAGGTCGATCTGGAGCCACCAACTCCACTTTCCATTTTTGTGCACAATACAAAAAGAGATCTCTCATTCAATGCTTAATGGCAACCTATACTCTTACATTCCACTGAATTTCATGTATAAAAATTGTGCACTCCATTTTGTGAATTTTAATAGCAAAACATTGATCTTTGAATAAATCAATATAAGTTTCCAAGTTTAGAGTTATCTGGACCAAACTTTGGAAGGATGTGAAGGGAGCTGGTGAGCAACTTGACAGTCAGTGGATATTCAAACATCAATTAAATCACTAACCTACTTTTTGTCCAGTTTACAATAAATTCAGTTTCCCTTGAGGGCTAAAAATAAGCTTCTAGAGCAACTTTGAATTTCAAATAACTCATTGATCCTATAATGGTCCCCATTTTGTTTGGATCCAAAACTTCTCGTTCTTAGTTTATTTTAAATAATCTTAAGTTCATGCTTTAAGAAAACCCTAAGATTACAAAGCTGAACCATACGATCTATGGGAATTTTTTGTCCAGTAAGAAATATGTTAGATTTCACTTGAACAAAACGCAGAACTATGACTTTCTACCATTATATATGGAAGAAATGAAACAAGTATCAAAGTATGAGATATGTGAAAAAACGAGGATATTTTAAAAATTACTTGAAGTGTGTCTTTAGCGAGGCCTTATATAGGTGGAAGCAAAAAGAATGGTAACTGCTCTTTCAAGAGCTATTTGAAAATAAATGTATTAGCTTGACTTTTACGTATTGTAAAGTCAAAACGCTTTTTTCGCACATTAATGCACCAAACTGATTTTTTCAAATCCATAGCAATTCAATAGTCATACTATTAGGACCTTCGTGAATTTATTTATCGGCATACTTGTGCCATTCCTGAATCAAATATTTTTATTGTTTGCTATTTAAAAATCGAAGTGAGTGTATGTGTAAAAGAGATGGGGGATGAAGGAAGAGACACGTAGAAGCTTACTTGGTATGCGCGATGTGCTGCTGTTGTTGCTGGTGCTGTTGTCGCGACGCCATCGGCTTAGAGCCCTGAGGGGGAAGGAGGTTCATGGGGAGGGCACGCGGCGTAGGCGCCACGTGTGTCATGGCGAAAGGTCCCGGATGCTGCATTCGCGGCACTGAGGCCGGTCTAACGCCTCCCCCTCCGGCACCTCCCGAGACCAACTGACCGGCTGCGTTGCCTGGAGAACCAGGCAACGTGGAGCAGCAACTAGTGGGCTCACCTCCTCCACCTACACCACTCATTCCCGCCGAGTCAATTGGAGATAGCACTGATATCGGAGAAGCTGGTAATTGCCGATGGCCCTTCCAATAAAAGTCAAAGTTTTTACTTGTCGTAACAGTATAAATGTCTTGTTTTCCGGATATAAACTTGCCAAAAGCATGGATATTTGATATCCATATCGATGCAAATTTGGCAAAAAAAGTAACGATAGATATACGCAATGCTTTGAAGTGTTTGGCTAATTTAGGGAATCTCTCACTCACGAATGACTTCTTAAAGTAGTGAAAAATCCTGTGTTTAGGATAAAACAATGCTCACCTCCAAGGAATGTGTCTTTAATTTCTGGCGTCTCGCATAGTTTACATGAATTTGATCTAATTCCTCTATCGTCATGCCCCATTTCTGTTCGTCCGGAGGGATCCGCGGGTCGAACCTTAACACTAGGCTAGGTAAATAAAATGTACCATGTGGTTTGTTTTGTTTCGTGGTTAAGAAAGTAAACTTGTTTATTTTCATTAATTGCCATTTGAAACTCTGGCGGTAGCTCACATATTGGTGATGTAAGGCTATCAGTCTGTCGCGCATCAGAGAAATGAAAGGAGCTGCAAAGATAAAATTTAAAAAAATCAAATACCCCCTGCTTGTGTGTTGTACAAATCCTGCGTTGCATAATACAGAACTTTCCTTTGGATTGCGGTCTAAGTTCTGAGTTGTATCTAAACTCTTTTGCCTGTTATGGTCTATGGGTTCGGAGAGATATGCAGCGTTAGTGCCAATACAAGAAGGCGAGGAATTTGACTTTCTGTGCGAAATACAAAATCCGTCTTGATTATTCTCCATTGAGGGATCAGAACACCTTGAATGCTCCTTCGTTGGTGGAATCCAAAATGATTTTGGAAAATTGCGCTCATCCATTGGCTTCGTAGCCTTACTCGAGTCTCGGTTAAATAATTCCTGAATTCCATCATGAGCGCATTCAAAAATCCGGACGCGAGGAGGGGGAACCCGGGATTCACTTTTTTCTTCCATTAAGACATATATTGCGAAAGCTCAAGACCGAAATGCACACAAGATATTTGTTCGTTGATGACCTTACAGCTAAGTAGATTCAAACAAACGTAAGTAATCAAAAAAATTGGAAAGTTAATTTCTTAAAATCGCATAGCTGCAATTAAATAATAAAATCAATAATTAAAGACGCTGTATGGTACGCAAAAGATTATAGGGATTAAGTAAGTCAAATACACACACCCATGAAGTATTTTCCAAATACTCGTTTTTTACAATCAGCAATGAAAATTGTCAAAACAAATTTTATTTGCTATGGTTTAGATAAGGTCTAGCCACACGTGTGAAGCTCATATTTTGCGTTTTTAAGGGATTGTGCAATTGCACAAATTATTACAGAAATGATAAGACAACTGTGAGACGAGGGTCGTAGGTCTTTTCTTCCCTGCTTTTTGTACTCTTAAAACAAATGAGTTAGTTTAGCTTTGACATATTAAAGGAAGTGAGTAGGGAAAACTAGTGTAGGGTTAAGTGGAGTGAGGATCCGCAAAGGCGTCGACTCTGTCACGAAAATTGATTTGTATCTATGCCTTTCCTCTAAAAGAAACATTAAAACAGTGTAAATATTGCGCAGCAGCCGAACAATTCGTTTCGGGCTGAAACATTAGGCGCTAAAATGAATAACTGTCACTAAAACCGCATGCTTCCGTGATTTTGGTTCTGATTCAATTGGTAGTAGTCTTTTATTTCGCCTGTAGCGTTCTGAGACTCCCTGAAGACGAAAGAAGATACAATACTCGGGCAGAATATATATTTAGCACGGAGAAGGTGTCTGGGCTATTGGCATGGCCCAAAAGGCCAGCCCACCCAGCGAGGTACAAGGGAGCTAATTCAAAGTACAAAAGTGGCGCCTCACCAGAACCGATGGATAAACCGCTATCGTATTACACACCTTTTGGTAGTTAATTAACAGAAACATTTTAAATTTTGTCCTTAATTCTGGATATCCTCTAACACATTTGCTTAATTGCAGATTATATAGTTAATGGAATCTTTGAAGTCTGTACAATTTTTGGCCGGGAACTTTATTTACTTTTCTGTATTAAATTAATAATCGTTTGATGTGGGATTGCGTTGTAAAATGTATTGGTATTTCTCTAAACTTAGAGCAATATTAGACAAATGTTATTTTTGACAATAAAACCATAATTATTTTTAGTATATTGTCACTGGATGTTGCCATTCGCATATTTTATTTTCTTGCTGATCTATAGCGCGTTTTCAAGTTGCACCAGTCTACTGGCCCACAGTCTCACCACTGCCGTTGCGCGACAAATTGATTGAGGTTTGTCGTTGACTGCCCCACGTCATTGTAATCTTGTGCAACTTTGTCGGAGTGCCCTTATTATTTGCGCAAAATTTTAGCGCACTTCTCTGGTTTAATTACTAGTTGTCCCGTTATTTCATTTCCTTCCTGAACACTTGAATGTACTCCCCAAACACCTTAGTCGCAGGAATCCTAGCTGGATTTTGTTAGTGCAGAAGAGCTATTCATGATGTAAAATTGTACACGTTATGCTAGATCATACGAATTATTCGCGATTCAATCACGTGCACCATGTCGAGTACCGTAATTTTGTTTTTTGCAATGTTATACATTTGTGTGCCTAGTGTTTACCCTTGCCCGCTCTTCGTTTTTATACATTGATTATCTTTTCCGTAGATGACTCAACAGCAACAACAGCAAAACTTTGTTAAATTGATTGTCGCTGGTGTTGGCGGTGTGGGCAAGAGTGCTCTCACGCTCTACTTCATGTACGATGAATTTGTCAAGGACTATGAACCCACACGGGCGGACTCCTACCGAAAGAAGATATCGTTCGGTAGTGAGGATGTTCAACTACATATTCTCGACACTGCCGGTAAATTGGTTGCATCTTAAATGCATTGCACTTTTCTTCCAAACTTGCTCCACATTACCTTTTTACGAGAGCTTACCGTTCATCGCATTTCGTCCCATTCAATATTATTGTAGCGAGGCAGATCTGATGCCAACAATCACATTGGTGTTGTTTCATTTGCAGGACAAGAAGACTATGCAGGCATTCGAGATACTTTCTATCGCAATAGTGAGGGATTTCTCCTCGTCTTCGATCTCACCGACAGACAGTCGTTCATTTCTTTGGGTGAATTTGTGTGAGTCTGTGTGAATATTTGCTTGGCTTTGTGTCTGATATGCAACTTGTTCACGAGCACTCATAACGCATACCTATGCATACAACCAACGTGTCAGTGCAGTGACTTAATTTTTTTGTATCTTGTGGAATCGTCGAGCAGTTTATTAGTGTGCGAAAGGCATGCGAATGCAACTGTTGTTGCACATTTACGCTGCCCTAATTGTGTTTTGTCCTTTTTCCACTGACTATTATGCTCGTCCACTTAAAATTTTCATGCCCATTCGCGGCATCTGTTATCAAATGACATAATCCATTATATCATCTCAAGCCGTCTGATACTACTTCTGCAATGAACGTCATTTGCCATTCGTGTTTTTCATTTCTGAGGTCAAATGGACATAGTTTTGAATCTGTAGAAAAACATTGTGATTTTTTCAATTTTTATTGGTGATTATTGAAAACCCTTCGGACTTCGTCGGCAACTGTGGGTCGTAGAGAAACCGTGAAGATTGTATTTAAAATAGCGTTAGTGGGGCTTCTGATGCGCTCAATGCAATTCTCATGATATCTTCAAATTTGAAGTTTCTCCCTAAACAATGGTACTTTTGATGATAAGAATACCATGGTCTCATAACCTGTATCGAGTATCACAAAGAGGTTTGATGTTTCATTTCATAAATACTAAAGATTTGAAGACTGCTGTTTCTTGTGTGTATCTTTACTAATATCTTGACTTTTTTGCCTCGTAAAATATTTGCCTCAAAAGATTCCTTGCTGCGTCTTGCTCACACAGCGTATTTAAGTGAGAGCCTTCGTGAGGCGTTGGAGGGGAACCGATTTGAACGGCTTTGGCGACGGTGGCAGAGGCAACGTGGACCACGTGAGCACTCGGGCGTGCGAAAGCAGATGTGGTGGTGCATGCATGTGTGGGCGGGCATGGCATGCGGTTGCTGTGCTCCGTCATTCAAGAGCATTGATCCATAGCTCATCAAATGGAATGTATAGCCTGTGCAACAAATTGTGTGGGAGCTCAAAAATCCGCTTCTATCACATGGCGCCTTCTCGTCTCTTTTATTTAATTTCTTCGTTTTTTCGGATCGAATCATGACCTTAGATTCTCATTTCAAAATCCGACACGTTTTCAGCAGCTTTTCTGTCGAGGGTGGCGTTAAATGGGGTTATTTTGCCAGAGGAAGTGGTTCATTGCTTTTAAATGTCACTGACATTCAAATGATTCCGCTTTAATTCGTTTCGATGAGATTGGAGTTAAACAGTGCAGTTATTTTGTTTTCCTAGCGATGCCACCAAGTGGACCAAGGATGTAGCGGTTTCATAGCCTATATTTTAGGGCATCATTGATTACATTCTAATTTCGGCTGTCTAGCAATTAATGAATTCGGTAACGGTAACTTCAGTGTGATAACTGTCGATGACAATGTTTTATATTCTCTCGAACGATCTAGTTATCCGTTTACTCCTCTCAGCTTACCCTGATTAAGGTTATAAGAGTTGCAAACAACTTACGCCATTGTCACCCTGGTTAGCTTAATGACGAGAAAACGTCGCAAATGCATTCTACTTTAACAATTTTATTTGTCAACGTTTTGCGTATTTTATCATTCCTTCCGTTTACACGTGAACTCAATTGATGACAATAATCCATTTGGTCGTATAAATTAGTAAATACACAATTTTTTTAAGTTTATTTGCATGGTAGGAGGTTAGCTGTGCATGCGTATGTGTGGAGAGGTATATGACGCCTGTTTACATCGGCTTAGCGTGAACTTTGAGACCGACTGAGTCGCCTCATGTTTATTCTGTTTCACACCATCAACGGCGCAACTGCATATAATCTGCGTGTGTGTTTGTGTGTACTACTTTCGTATGCGTTCGATATCAACATGCTTTGGGAGATACCATGCGCTCTTACGCTTTGCAGTAGGGTCGAATTCATCTCTGCCTGGCGCTTTGTCTCTTACCTCACACGCCCTGTCCCCGTCCACATTCATTAAAACAACAACAGCAACTCCCTTTCTAGCTCTATCAACTCCTACTCGGTTCATTTTTTTTATTTTTGGCAGGGCGTTGATCTGGAGAAATGAAGTTACGATCATACACGCATATGTGCTTCCAACTAACCTATTGTATGCTAATCTAGTTTCGAGTAGCAAATCGACGTGAAGAGTCATGTGGCATTGGCTAATCGGGAAATATACTTAATATTCGACATCCCCTTTCGTTAATGCGTAATTCCATGCTAAAGGCATTTGTGAGGCCATGATTTCACTTTAGTTCCTCAATTCCAATCCTCACTTTTGTTGTACAGGATGTTGAGCTGATGTCCCATTTCATCTCATCTTCCCTTCGATTCGATTTTTCATTGCTGAACTTTTTATCAGAAATTTTGAACGGTTCTGCTTTTTCCCTTTTTTACAAATGGGATTTGCTAATGTAATGTGGAAAGCCGAGTTCTTTCATTTATTCTCTCTTCGGAACTTGCGTATGGTATTAACCAAATGCCCCCGATATACTAGTAGTGTTAGGCAGTAGTTTATGGGGATATTTTTCCTCTAATGCCTCTTCACGTCCCTGAGATTCCAGAGGTCTTTTGGTTTAGGGATCAGATTTTGCGTGTGAAGCGTTCCGATAGGGTGCCAATGCTGATCTGCGGTAACAAGGTGGACCTGACAGAAAATCGGAGGGTATCGCAGGAAGAAGCGGAAGATTTCTGTCGCAAATGCCATGTCCCCTACCTCGAGACGTCCGCTAAGACCAATACAAATGTCGAAAAGGTACTACTGAACTGCAATAGTCTCTTTTCTCTAGTTTAAGTATGAACTCCCCTTGCACGTTCCGTTCTTTTTCCTTTTGCGGTGAAGATTGAAAGAATCTTTGGCAGCAAAACCATGTGATTATCGTACTATAGTTGTTCAAGAGCAATTGGAAGTACTTAGTACCCAACTCACCTTTGAAAGTGCGAAATGGGTTTGCGTGAAACTAAACTTGAATGCCGCTAGAAAATTTACGTTAATTTTCAGAATTTTATCTTTTTTTTAATTTGGTGCGTTTCAGATATCTTCATAATAGTGAGGTACATGCCTGCAAACTTCAGGCATTTGGAATTAATTTTCCCGAAGTATATGTGCTTATCATTCATTTTGACTTGAACATCATCTTTCACCAGTTTACTGTACAGTCCTCTTAGAGAAAGTGTATCATAATGAGCAGAATTTCTGCTCGGCACTGGTTTCTCATCTGAGCTAACTATCCACTTGACATCACAATGGCTTTTGTGGCAGCAGCAATGGTAGATTACGGATTAGTGCTAAACCAATCATCCATACCGTTTCGGATTTAGCGCGTGATATCACTGTATTTCGCCTTGAAAAATTCCTCATTTGGTCTTAGATTGTCAATGATTGTAATGTCTGGTATCGATTGTAGGCCTTCCTCACCCTCGCCCGAGAGGTTTACCAACTGAAAGTGGCTCAGAGACAGCAGCACCAGCCCGGACAGCCCGCCAAGCAAGGTCACAAAAAGAAGAGATGCAAGATTTTGTAAATTGTCACCTCAGCATTCCGAACTCCCTATTTCCCCAATTGCTTTTGCATCCCACTTCTTCCTCACTTTCTTTTTGCTTCATACCTTCCACTCTGCTTGCATCCCTCCCTTTCAGTTTTCCTTTCCTTCCTTGTGTTCCCTCTTCTACTCTGCCTTTAACTCATTGTGTCTGCTTGCCTTGTTGGGATATGGAACTTTCCTCTCTGGTCGCAACAGATTCCACTACTGTTGTTATTTCATTATTTGCGACTGATAGATAGTGTAAAATGACCCTTTGAGTTTCCCTTTTTCTTTCTGGGATTATTTCGAGGGCTCCGGGAGGGTAACTATTGGTATGCGTATGCAGATGCATTCATACCGCCTTGTCTTTTAAATGTTCTAGGTGCAAAGGATCGCAATTTACTTGGAAAAATTGCTCCTGCCAGATGCGGCATTAGGCTCGGTTAGAAGAATAAGTCTACGGTGTAGCAAAAGGCTCTGTCTTCGTGATGGCTCGTCCTTGCGTTCTATAAAAAATTCCCTGACTTGTTTTCTCGGTTTCTTGGCGTAGACACTGGTGAACATGGATAATCCTTTTGCTGCAGTGAATTGAGGTGTGAATGAATGCGGGACTCGTACCTCATAGCCAGTTGCAGCTTCGTCACCTTATCAAAAGCGCAATTGTTCTTTCCTGCTTTCAAACCGATAAAAAGCCAACTCTGTCTTGGTCTCTGTTGTTTGATGAGTGCGGACGGCGAACAGTCGTCGGTGCAGCCACAAGTAGACTGCTTTACATTTCTTGCGGATAACGTTCACAAGGCAAGATCACCGATGCTAAAAGAATTAGGAATGCTTTCCCCATAGAAACGCCCTTCTAATGCTTGCCGTTGGCATAGTGACCCATTCTACGCCTATTTTATCAAACCTGAGTAATGTTGGTCAACCAAACGCCTTCCTAGTAAGCCAAAATATTTTAAAAACATTTAACACTGTAAAAATTCGCTTACAAATATCAAAAAACCTTTATGCTTTCTAGATGCAGAATTATTTTATTGGGTAAGTTTATCAATACGCCTGTTTAAATGGATTTCGTTTGTCATGATATCAGGAATGTCTTTTCAACTTTTCATTACCTCCTCGATACGTTATTTTTTTATATTGAAGTTGCATGGCATTGCTAAACAAAAACCGACTCTCACGAACCTTTCCCAACAGTGTAAAAAAATGGAACAATCTTCGATCAACTGGTGTTGGAAAGACACGTGCAGGGGTCACTCGGTTCCATCTGATTGAAAGAGTTCATGCAAACGTTTTACAAGCTGGTATTCATAAATAGTGTGCACCTGGGTTGAGTTTTCGACTAGGCTTTTAAACAGCCCTGCAGTGTATTGCTCCATTCATCTTAATGGTAAAATTAGAAATAAGCGTGCTCGCTTTGCTGCTTGACCAAATTTTTAAAATTCTTCGAATTATTCTACCACAACTATTTTGGAATTGTAACAGTAGGAGATGTCGCCATCAAAAATTGCCTTTTCACCGCGAGGTTTTACAAGCATGGGTTTCAATTAACATGACTATCACCGTTTACTTAATATATCAGATTAGTAGGTCTCTTTTAGCTTACCTTCTTTGATTCTTGGAGAATATTTGAAGCAAATCAACGGTAGTCATAAAGCTTTTCCATCTCCAAAAAAACGCAATGTCTCAAGGGTGGGTGGGTGAGTCGCATGGAATGTGGTGCATGACGTGATGCAGCATTGTGCCACCGCTTATGCGCAATCGCATCTTTTTCTTTTTCAGACTCTGGAAAACCTTTACTGATTAACGGTGTTTGTTAACTCTATCTCATGGCCTTTCGCAGTGGTGGCCACGTCGCTACCCATATTCACTTTCATCGCCACCATTTCGTCATTTCTCTGGCTGTCCATTTCGGTGTCATAATGACAAAACTTGAGGCTGCACATTTCTACTAATACTAAGTCAGTAGGTCAGTTAATAGAAGCCCTTGCACTTATGGGACAGCTGGGAGTTGCGGGCGAAAAATTTAGCGTAATTTTTCCCTATGTCCACTCTTTCATGTACCACTAACTCCTCTTTTTGCTGATTAAATGGAGTCGTGAGAGCTAAAGAAAGTCATTTCATTCCTTTGATGACGCAAATTGAGAAGCAATCCGCACTTTGCCTTCAGACATGACCCATGCAAACCTCTGAATACTCCCACTTACTTAAAGACAAAGGTATCTCTTAGCTGTTTTGATCCTGACCATACTCACGCATATAAAAGCGAAATAGACTATAAATTAAACACCTTATACGATTCTGCAGACTATAACGCAGTATCACTATTTTATCCATCATTATAAATGTATAGAACTTGCAATGAGATTAAAAATTGACCAGAAATTTATTTATTGGCTGATTTATTATTAGTTTAGCTCCTTCTAGTAGTACAATCTAGCTTATCTTTCCAAGCAAAGACATTTCATTTGCATTCATAGATTTTTTCTAAACATATTTAATCTGAACAAGAATTTGGATTTACAGGAAGGGTTTTGATAGGAAGCGAAAAGTGCTGTTGACAAAACTACTACTAAGACTGTGATACGCATGCGATTGCCCCGGTCAGCGTGTAGTATTATCCAACTCGGCCATCTGCATTGTAAATTTACTCTATGCTCCAGCAAATTTGAAGTTTTTCATGGTCTGATGGATGTTCCAGTCTTGGTTATCTCTAATGCGGTTCTAAACCTATCTCAAAGATGTTGTTTACCTCCTTGCTCAAACAGTTCCTGGTCACAGATGCAGAATTCTTAAGCAATTTTTTAATTAAAGTGGTTTGAACATTCATACATACCTGCTTTCAAAAACAGCGATTATGCTGCGGTGATATATTTGAAATTATCACTTGTATCCTTACGGTGCAAATGCGACTGCAAAAAAAATGCGCATCTGACTGACAACAGTCCCTTTCCAAGTATTCAATTGATGTATTAAGAATAATAGATACAATATCTACATAAGTTTAGCAAAAGTCTTTATAAAACGTTGTTTCTGTAGAGTGCACTTATAGATCCGCCGAATCTGCTGAGTACTAAAAATATCGCGTTAAAACGGAGGCTGCATTTGTTTGCCTAGACACAATGTGAAATCCTTGTGTCAGGAGATCTGGTAGGGGATGACGGGAGTGTCTTTTTGCGACTGTTTGTGTGAGTTATCACTCTCAAAGATGCTTTATTTTGTTGTTTATTTCCTGGGAAAAAAACCGGTGGACAAAAGCTCATTTTAACGTCTTGCCTAGCTCAAAGCCACCCACTCCGAAATTGTGACTGATTAGAAGGGCTGATCGACGGTAGTTTTGCGTGTTTGCAACTCTTAGTAATTATGTGCGTAGAGGGACTGTGGTTAGACATTCATAAATCTGTCGTCTTTCATTTTCAGAAAAACAACAAGCAAAAGACGCTTTGTGCGCGTAAGTGGCGCTTCAATATAATTATTTCGCTTTTCTAGTCAAAGAGCAGTGGAGGTCGAGCGAGCGCGATTACAGGTCGGATGTGTAAAAAAGGAGAAGCGGCAGCGACTATTCCCGATTATTTTTCTTAATGGATAAGGACTTCGCTGTTGCACCAGATTACGTTTGATAGCAAGGCCCCGGACAGCACTCCTTTTAAATGGGTTTTGAATATTTTTATATTTAAATACTTTTATCAATGGTATTTTGAGCGATGGATTGCATATAATGTATTCATTTACGCAAAGGTTGCGAAATATCTGACAACTGGATCACCGCCGCTTTGATTGGATAATCAAATGAACTCCCATGATGCCGCTTTTCTGCTTACCATACCACTATTCAATTCACGGAAGTTATAAAAGCTGCAAATACTTATAAATGAGTACGAATGCTATTTGTTGTATCCAGTTTGCCTTGCAAAGGATATTTTTGTTGCCAACATTGCAATGTTATGTGCTGTTTTGCCACGCGAAGTCGGCTAAACCAGCTTAAATAAGCTGATAACGGTCTTTGTAATGCATTGAAGCAATAAAGAGGGGTCAATGAAACCTCTATGATAGTGCTTATTTTCCCAAGTTCTTGGCCACCTTTGTTGCAATTTATCTGTGTTGGCCACTCAAGTATACATCGTGTACACTTGAACTAAGCCCACATTTTAAATGTTCCAAAATGCACAGAACGTGTGGTGGGAAGCCTTGGTGCATCGGTGCGTTCAACTTTGCCTACCTCTCGTCTCATCCCTCCTTCCCTCGTCCACTACAGAAGATTCCGATTACGTTGTGGCTGTCTCAGTTGACATCTCAGCTAAGTTAACGATGAAAGTTCGTATGTCTACTGTGTCTACTCCACTAATTTTGCGAGCAAAACACCAGGTCTGTTTTATAAGCTTATGTTGTGTTACCCGAAGTTTTCCTAATTTTATCTTCCAAAAATGCTCATTTGATAATTTCAATCATTATGTAAATCTATTATCCGCTTGATGGCGTATTCTGGTATTTTCGCTATTTACTTTCCTTAACCTGTTCTAGGTCGACCAATCAACCGGTAAAGCCTTGGTCCCTTTGGATTAATTGTGTTTTGAATATATTTGAATTACTAATCATTTATGCCACCTTTTTTCCCAAATTGTAAACTACACTGTGCAAGCAATTTACTAGATGGTGCTCTCTTTAATGCACCACCAAGACGGCATTTTGTTATCCCTACTTCATGTAAGGAGATCCCATAAGAATTTCATTTTAAGGTAAGTGACCGCACAAAACATCCTATTTCGGCTCTGAAAGAACAGTCATCAGAGTTTTGTCTGAAAGCTTTTGTATACAGACAGACGTCTCTGCTTTTATTTGAGAAAATCTTGTCGGTAGCTTGGAAAAGATATCACTGTTTAGTGCTAGCTTGCTTGGCGTCGAAACAGGTAGCCCATAATTACCTTAGGTGTTATTAGTCTAAGGCCTCGGATGGTCGCCATGTTTTAACCTTAGTTGAAGAAGACTTTGATGATTTATATTTCACACTAGGTTAGTTTTAAGTTTGACGCATTAATTTTTGCCATCAATGCATCTTTCGCTGTCGAAGGTCATTAATGGTTGTTTACATTTCGTCGAAACCATCCCATATTTCGTTAAAGTGGGGAACTAACTTTCAGTGGGTATTTATTTGATCCCTATAAAATGGTTGCAATAGCTATAATCTAAAAAAAAAACATCTAAAGGGATACGTGAAAAAGGTGAATCACTTTAACTAGGGTGCACTGCACTGTTTCTGTGGGCCGTTAAATTGGCTACCTTTTAGGTTGTCTTGCTTCCCCTTGGTGCAATTCAACCGTCTTATGGGCACAGAGTCAAACCAGACGCCTCCCATGTTGAAGGAAGGGTGAAAGGGATAGAGGTAGTATTCAAATTACCGGTCAAGGGTCATTAGAATAGGGGAGGCATGGTTTCAACAGGTAGGGCTGCTTGTACTCCCCTGACCTGAAGGAGCCTGCTTTTTCCCAGGTCGTTAGTGGAGAGCATTTAATTACAAGACCCAGCAACAGTGCGAAATTCACACTACCACACACGCAAGCATATGCAGAGCTCCCATAACACTCAATCGAGGAGGGCGTAAATCACACATGGCGGCTGCAGTGGTAGAGGTGGTGGTGGTGGTGGTGGTGTAAAATTGCCTTAAAATGATTAGCGCGGGGGTGTGGTGGTCGCCCGGCCCCAAATGAGGACGTGAACCTTTTCATTGCATGGGCACACAACCGACGGACAGCGGTCTTCTATCATAATCATAAAATCGTCTATAGCAACCCACCGACTGACAAATAGGGAATGGCAACAACTGAGCCCTACCGGTACCCATCTACCTGTAAACGCATCACCTCCGTAATGTCATGTATAGGTACTGTGTGAAAGCACACCATCTATCCCGTTTCAAAATTTAAGTAAGTGTAACTACGTAGGAATTTATACAACTGGATAGTTACACTTTAATTTCCATATTTAAATTTACTGATCATTAATCCTCGAAATTTGCGAAAGGCCGCATATTTTTCACTAATAACATTAAATATACTTTGTAGTAATGGGCACTGTCGAGACATCCCCTCACACATTCCCTTTCTTAAGCACACTTTGGGGTTTCAAACATGTCAAGATGCACTAAAGCTATCTCCCTTATCAGAAACGATGATATGTATTTTTTTCATGACGGCATCTCTTAAACGAAATTATCTCTTTAAAGAACTTTTTTGATAAAATTCAGTAAATTTATTGACTCATGCCATTCATATTAAAAAAGACATCAAAGCATTTTATTTCTGCATATCTGATTTTCCACAGACGTACTTTTGTATGTGATTGTCAATTAAAACGCCATCGGAAACTCTTTTCAATGTGGGACCAAATGCTTCACGTAATAATTTTTGGGAAATCTAGTAAAATACAATGCTTCTCCTAGAGCCTCAACAAATTATTTTTGTCGATATAAAAGCAACCTCTTTTGCATCTCTAAATCTAGACTACTTCATGGAAAATCATTATTCAGAAGGCCCAGGCTTACTGTGCATTTTCAACTGAAGTTCGACCCGGTTGAGGGACTGACATGGGGGAACAATAAAACCGCCCAGGCCCATTAGATCACGAGCTCCGAAATCAGTCTGACGAGGTGACACGTGGTAGGGAAGGGGGAGAGTAGAGGAGAAGAGAGGCGAGGAAAGAGTGCAACTTTGGTGGTCTTCATTACGTACCGGTAGGACAGCGATGGTGATGGCGCAGGTCTTATCTACTCACCTGTTATGCGTATGCTTGATGGGATAATTATGCTACCCAATCTACTTCCCACCCCCCGTTTTTTTACAATAGACCACACGCACGCCATCTCTGCGAGCCCACATAGAAGATTTCCGACGGTCAGCAGTGTGTGTGTATATGCAGGTGGATAGAGCACTAGCTGGTTAATTCCCTCCAGATGTTTTCCAACATTATATTTTGTCTTTCCATTTCAAAGCCATTAGTACATTACACTTTGCTCCATTGCTACTGTAATCAGAAGGCATCCGAAATGCAAAGCGGGGTTTGAAGTCGTTCAATGGCAGCACACATCATCTAAGTTTGATCAACCATCCGTCTTTAGGAGTTACAGGGCATTACTGAAGTTGACGTTCAGACCACTTTATAGAAATTCGTGTCAATGAAGCATGGACATTAAAATGTGATGGCTTTTATTTCATACCTTAGAAGTGATTCGTGGTGGAAACTTAACTTTGCCTGAAGTAATGTCAACACTACAGACAGTAGTCTGGGGAGTAATTTGTACCGTAGCATCCTCTATCTATGTAGACTGAAATATACTGGAATGTGAACTTCGTTGAAATCCTGGTTAAATATTTCCAAAAGCAATCACGTAATATGATAGAGATAAAGGGCGTTTAATGGATCATTGTCAGAATTATTTTATCACAGTAGAGGCGACATTGAGATTTTAATCCGAATTAAGCTCGCAGAATTAAAATAACAAAGTGAGAAATAAAGGTACCGAATCCTCGCCATGCACTACACGCAGTGTATTTCGTTAGAATGTTACACAAGAAGTAACAAGCCGCATGATTTACGTATTGCATTTCGTACTTTTAGAATGGAATTATGGAAAAATTCACAAAATTTAAAAATTGTACGCGAACTTGCCAGGTAGACTAATATTTGGTTTTATTTCACCAAAATGCTATCTGACATTTATTTAGCCCACCCTTTCCAGCTTTAATGCAGTCATTTGAGGATTATTCTTAAATACAAACGCCCTTCCGCTGGGTGTAAGTGAATTATATAAGATCCCAGCAAAAAAGCTTTAGAATGTGACTATCAAGAGATGTTGGTCGTCTTTCATATCAGCAAAAAAGTGGATCGCAGTCACAGAAACAGAGATATGGAACTTCTGGAAAACATCAGACCATAGACCCCAGAGAAAGGTAATAGGCTTTTAGAAGCTGACACTTTCCTCTAGTGAGCAAAAGCGTGTCCTCTAATTTAGGGAGAACTGCAAATCTATGCATTCTCACACTTCATATCCTTCAAGCCAGCTCATCATTTGCAACTCACTTCCTTGTCAGTACACAGGGTGCCTGCAGCGAATGGTAAGCGTGAGGTAATTAAGTGATACACGCAAACGCCAAGACTCCCCATTCCTAGAGACGAGAGGAGAGGTGAAGGAGGCCATTCTTTAATTTATGTATTCGCGTGAGCCTTGCAGACAATTATTGCGCGCTCCGTAATTAACGCATTCACGTTGTGGTAATTCGTGCCCTCTCCCCGACCTGCCTTTCGCACGCCCCACCCACACCCCTTCTCCCCCTCAATGAGGCATTGTCAAAAGACACGCAGAATGCCTACAATGCTGTGAAGCTTTGATCGCTCCCCCTTCCCTCCCTGCCTTCCCTCTCCCTCCCGCTCAGGGAAAAGACAATATCCATCTCTCTCTCTCCCACTCTTGTTCACAATATCCGAAAAAGGGTGTACGCGTTTTGTGTGCGTGCAGGCGTGTGCGAGCGGCACGCATGCAGATTCTTCCAATTTAATAAATTAATTAATTTAATTGTATCTCCTCCAGCGAGCGTGACTGGGACGCATTTCAAAGTTGCGCTTGTCCAGGCGTATGAGGCAACGCAGGCGTGGAGATCGGGGGTGAGGCACAAGTGCACCGAATCGCATTCAGCTTACTTTGTACCAAATTGGGACGAACAACAGTATGCGTAAAATCCTCCTAATTTGACTGTCTTAGGTTATCCAAGTTTAAAAAAAGTGGCTAGAGTTGAATACATAGCGTCGAAAACTCCCAATCTGGTTTCAAGAAATTTAAGGTCATCATCGTTCTGTCTTGAAGCCTTGCAGTTGCTTAAAAAAGACCTGCTCCTGCGATTCGCTTACCAAATTTCAGTCTTGTTAAATTTAAATAGAACTGAACGATTTTCGGTTTTGGCTTATCACTGGTGTTGTGAGAACAGCAACTTTCTTCAAGTAGTGGATGCACACATCTCCGTGGATACTTGAAGCAATAATGGAATAAGGCAATTTTACAAGCTAAACTTTTTGAAAAAGAAGCAGATTAACACAACATTACTTGTCTTTCTTGGTTTTGAAGAATCATGAAATTGTATGCGACTAAAAATAGGTTAAAGTGTAATTCTACATAAATAGGCAAATTATGTAAAGCGAACAGACGTTGCGTGCTGCCAGTCATCCCGCATCAGTAGCACACCAACCGCAGTACGACTTCTTCATTACCAAATATGCACTATTTTGTCATCGTGACACTTCCATAGAATTGCTTTAAGCTTTCTTGAGCTCAAATTACGACTAAGATTAAACTGTTGTTCTAATAGCAGCTCCAACAAAATGATGGAATCAAACTGCACAATGCCAGAAATTTTGCTGTCTTTTCCGTTTACGGGATTACAGCATATTGTATGCGCACCTTCTCCAGTCTCTTTAATAATAATTGCTAATGAATCTTAACAGTAACTCTTCTTTAACACTGGCAATTTATGGTTGTATATCTACTAGTTAGACTAAAGGAGCAATTCATCGTCTTATTTTCGAAGGATGAGGATGCACATTTCGTCAGATTCTAGTCATACCGATCCTGCATTGAATTCCGACCAATTATTTTGCATTTAATGAAGTGCCACTTGTTTATTCGGTGAAAGTCCATTGAACTGATCGCCAGCGGTGATATCCAGCCGTCGACCCGGGAGTGAGAGGGGAGAGAAGTGGTGTGGGCTGGGGATTAAATCTGCAAAAATAACACCCTCACCACCAACTGTTTAATTATGAAGTGAAGCATGGGAGGAGGTGCCCTGTGAGACACCACTTTGGTAAATTAACTTCCTACAATATGTCCTGAGGTATAACCGCCTGGTGCACACGGACAGTTAGTTCTTGAAAATCTGATTAAGTCACAGTGTATCGAATAACGCTCCCCATTACGGACAGACAGAATGTCGGCCAATTTTGTGCAGCACGCACGGTCTTCCGAACCAAAGCTTAATGTAGTGTCTCTCAACATCGCCGAACATCTTGCTTTCTCCATTAGTTTAACACATTATTTTCTCGTTTCTATGTATCCCTATATCCATAGTTTGTCACAATAGTAGTGATATTATAAGCTCGGCAACAAGTTTAAAATGGTGGAAAAACTGTGAATTTTGCAAGTAATTTAATTAAAAATAATATCTTCCATAGTTTAGTCACTTACCAATTTTTTTTAGATCACATTAGGTGTTGAGAAGTATTAACCTTCACCAGCACACGCGATTGCTCTGACGAGAACCAATACAGAAAGATCCAACATTGTCTAGGCTGCTACTGATGTAAAATGATAGAAAGGGGACAAACGAGATGTGACATGATAAAATGTTTACTGGCGTATTTTCGCAAACGTGATCTTGGTCTTTTACTCTCTCGCTCTCGCTATGTTTCTGCAACAGTACAGTGTATCCATGGCGTCTGACGCCAGTCGAAGAGGTGGACTACTTTTAGGCGGCGCTAATGCGGCCGCGCTGGAGCACACACACGCCGGTCTGTTGAATGTTACACGCGCGCGGTCCCATTGCAGGTGCGCACTCGCTCGCACTCAGGCGCACACACACACACACGCATCCACGTGAATGATGAGACACGTCCGGGTAAACACGTTCAAAGAATATCGTCTTACACTCATGGAAAAGTAACAAGAGACTGGCTTCTATGTTTATTCTAAAGGGATGAGAAGACACCTCTTCGATGTTGCGAACTGTCATATCTAAGGTAGGAGAGGCGAGGAAGAGGGGAAAGGCGCAATAAGGGGACGACGATCTATGCCCAATTTTGTGGTTTTAACTATTCGTTCGAAATTGGTCTGTTGTTTGGCCCAAATAAGGAAAGTAGGAACCTTCATAATTCCTTTCAGCTTAACCTTGTTTTTTTCAAATCGAATAGTGTGGTGTGTGAATATTTGACATTACAGTAAAGCAATTCTTTATCATGATAATTACTCTATCATAAAAGAAGAACTGTTTCAAGATAAGGGGGAAATGATGACTTGGTCTAGTAATCAGTATTTACCCTTATCGAAATAAAACAGACGGCCATTTATGTTAGGTCGCAGTGAAGTCACCAAAAAGGTGCCAAGTTTGACAAGCCTTCCTGCAGACAGACTCATTGTAATAAATGTTCAACTATTTTCGGGGCCCCATTAAATACTTTGCTTAATTTCATTGTTCTTGAATCATTTTGCATTTCTTTGAACAAGATATACAATTTGAGGTTTTGTTTCTGTTATCCATGACTTTTGACCTTTTCAAAAACTGAAAGCTTAAACTGGTTAAGCAGTGCCAAATTTCAAGCACAAAAATGAGGAGCTGCTCAATGATCGTCTTTGCATAATTTTGCGATAATTTGTATGAAGAGTGAGCTATTTTTCTTTCTATTTCCAAAGAGTAGTTCCCAGTTTTAATCTAGGCAGTAAAGCTAAAATTCGATTTTATTTTACTGTCAAACTGAATGAATTGTTGTGTACTTCCCTTGATAAGCAGGCGTGGAAGCAGCTCGGGACTGAACCCAAAATTACAAGCACAGTGTTATTATTTTGTCAGAACTTGTAGAGCTGATTTTTGATTGCTTTCAATAAGCTCCAAATAACGCTTGCTAATTGAGAATTTTGTAACTAAGTAATTTTGCGCCGCTGAAAAGAAACGGTGCTATAGCTGAGCTCTACCCTAATATTCTAGGAGCATGGAAACATAGTAACTCGCATTTGGAATTGACGTATAAAGCGCTTACTACTATCGGGCAGAATGATTTGTAAGTCACAATGCAATGTAGGGTAGCCGAGTTTCGGAGTGCCATAGGGGTGGAAAACTCCAGACCCTCTGAGCATCTACGCTTTTTTATGATCTGAGCTGCTTGCAAAAATACGTTGTGGTTTCTCTTAGACTTGACTGTCCCTAATTCTCCCTTTGGATCTACCGGACCGATATCGGGATAACACGGGATGAGGGCTGTGCTGTTCTTCCCACATTTACCCAGTTTCCTATGCATCAACTTTGAGATTCAATCCTCACTAGTATGCCGTTACCAAAGAAGCATTTAACCCAAATGTTGTCCATTAATAAAAAAGTCTTCTGTCTGCTTTTCTCCTAGTTTTTTTTTTTAAAATAAAAAGTATTGGTGTGTCGATACGCAAGCATGCACAATGTTTTATACGCTCTGAAAATTTTCAGAAAGATAAAAGTGTATTTTGAACTCAACAGACTTATTTTCTAAATATTCCTATGTAATCAATCACACTTAGGTTTATTTCTTTGCTAATCCACGTGGAGTCTGTTAAGTTCGGTCGCTCAAATTATTTTAAATTTTATTGAAGTTGAAGCAGTTTTTACTTTTTTCAATCAAAAGTTTGTAAATGGTAGTCGGAAAGAGTTTGGTTAAAAACAATAATGCATTACCATCACTTTGACTTGACACTTTTATTATTGATTCGAAATGAATGTCTATGGAGAGTTCGTGTACTGGGCCGGATTATTATTTTGGGAGCAAGAGTACAAATGAAGTGAAGGCTATCTTTCGGGGGCCGTTGCGCTCGCGATTTGGCAGGGTAGTAGTGAAAAGAGGAGATAGGGGAAGGGGGAACTATACCTGTTTACAGTGAGGATACTTGGTGAATCTTGGCAGCAGCACGACGGTGAATGAGGCCTTCAGCCGCTTTAATTAAGGCTTTGGAGTTGAAACTCAGACGCCTGCAAAATCCGATGTGGAGTCCTTCATTGCATTTGGCAGTTGGGGTTCTTTAGAAACCTTCAAAGCAACATTCCTTTAATGTACTCTTTTCCGAATTTGGTTTATGTTTAACATGAGTAAAAGATAAATTTTCGTTTTATTTTATTGGCGTTTCGCGTGTCGCACTGAATTGGGCATCAGCAGAAGTAAGCTCACCCAAGTTCACAGTTGTGCACAACAGTCACCCAGGGTAAATTAAACGCAGAAACCACCTTTCTATTGCATTTGTGTGGTTACCCTTGGAACAAATATAATACACATTGGTGTACTTTGAACCTACAGTATGTCCAACATTTAGGTTTATGCGACGTTACATAACTTCATTGTTCGTTCACGATTTCCGACCCCCAGTAGTCTTTTACCCAGCATTACACTTAACCGCAATCTCTGCGTGGCGACGTGCACATCGTGCTTACAAGCTTGTGCCGGCATTTTGGCGCGGACCGAAGCACTTCTCGTGACTGCATCAGCTCCTAATTCAATCGGCATTTGTAAGACCAATCCAACGATGAGACCGTGCTCATCCTTGTTATTTTATCGAATGCAAGTATAGAGCTCAATTGTTATGCTCTTAGATGATTTGCTACAACTACATGGTTGGCAACAACCAAAAGTCTTGATAATTCGACAATCCTAGTGATCTGTTTTTCCTCTTATTTTTCATGGCAAGTGCACTGATCTGGGAAGTATTTATGGCTGTTTACAGGACAACCGAAAAATAATTAGAACTGTCTAGTTGTTACATGCTGAGTTGTATTTTGAAACATGGTTATTATCCATTAACCATGTCTGCACAATGTGTGGCCGACGTTTATTAACATGAGCCACTATCCAGGACGAGGTTTGAAGCATACGCGTTTTGACCTCAACTACTTAATTCTGCTCTTGTAGGTGTATAACACGACTATTTGTTGAACAACAGTGATACTTGCAACTAGGTTAAGACAAGTTAAGGCAAACTAACTTTACTTTTAATTTCTTTTTAGCTGCATTCTTCAATGGCCCTCAAGTGGAGCGGTGTAATCAAAGCATCTGTGAAACATTTCTCTTATGCCATACATTGAGGAATGAACGGATATTTTTTACTTTGGTGTGTAATCAGATCGGAGTCATTATAAATCAAAAAACTTGACTCATTATGACTTGCATCATCTTATTTTTGTGTTTTAAACTTGTTTTGGCAAAGAAAATGTGTACACAAAATGCCTTTTAGTGTAGATGGGTAATTTGTTAAGCCTAAGTAGATGAGAGTTATTTAATGCAAATTCGGTAAAACATCAGCCCTTGTATCTTAACTTTTCGAATTTATCGTATATCAAGAATACGAGGTTTTGACGCTAATAACTAAATGAAAGGTTTCAAAATTTTTCGACCAAATTTATCAAATTTATAATTGTCATGTATTTCTCCACGTCGCCTGCTCTTTAAGCTATTTTTGTGGTCAGTAAAAAACTTCTAGTAGAACTGTAAGTAATTAAAACTCGTTAGGGTTAATTCGGGTTACCTTTTGTCAAGTTTTAGTTTTGCATTAATAAGTTGTAGCTTTGACTAGTAAAAAGAGGGAATAAATCATTAACTAATACTTACATTGCTTCCTCCTGACTCCTGTTTGATACTCGCCTTCATTAAGTCCCTGTTTCCATCATATTCTGCATTGCCTTGTACCGTCAGAGTCTCTTTCTGATTTTCACGGAGCAGAAATTCTTGTTGCTGATGGACTGGCTTTACCTGCAGCTGACTGCTATGCTGCTGTCGTTCTAGTAGCTCCGCGGCGGACTGGATAAGCATGACGGCACACACACTATTTTCGTTTACATTCTCAGCATTCAATGGAGACGAGCAGAGTTCATCTTCCATGAAGTTGTCCTCGTCCTCTCGAGATACTGCGGGGCAGGATTTCTTGTGGTAGTAATAAGAGGCACCCCAACGGTATCGCTTTGCACAGCCTGGACACTGGTACTTTCCCTCGGTGCTGTGTTTGCCCTCCACATGCTGCTTAAGTGAAAGACGCGACGAAAACTCCTTGCCGCATTGATCGCACATATTGCATCCATTGTCTTGCGCTTCACTCTGGGGCGAATTTAGATTAAGAAACTGCTGGAAAAACTCCGGTTTACACTTTTCAAGCACAGAAATCATATTTGCTAGAAACATTGTTGAGTTAGCCTCTTCCACAGACGGTGGGGGAATGCTCAAAGCTCTCCCAAATAGCGAGCAAGCAGATATGTGGCTGAGGTAGGGCGAGAGACTCTCAAAGACTGTTCCGCACATGCAAGTCACGGAAGATGGCATCTCGCTCGAAGCAGCATTTTTGGCACAGACGTTGGAGGTCTGACTCTCTAGTGCGGAGTAAAACGGCGGTATTGGGGGTGGTGGTGGTAGAGGTAGCGGAGGCGGTCCAGGAAGTCGAAGAAGTTCAGGGTTTACACCTAAAGGTAAGGGAAAGGGCGGCAGGCGAAAAGAAGCCATATTCATAAGCTGATCTGCTTCCCTCCTCTCCCAAGATCTGGCGAAGGCCGGTGGAAGTGGTGGTGGTGGTGGTAGTAGAAGAGTAGAAGGAATCGATGGCCGGGGTTCCTGTGTTGAAGAGTTGAGGAGAAAGAGAGCTGGAACGGAGATTGGCGGTGGTGGCAGTGGTGCTGGAAACCGATAAGTGGGTGTTTGTTGAACACGCGGTCCATAACCACGAGTTTGGATGGGTTCATTGGCTCTTCCAATCGAGGAGTTACTTGCAGTGCCACTAACTGCAGCTGTGGAGGGTCTCTTCTTGCAGGTGCGTTGGTGATGATAGAAGACTGGGGGCCAGCGGTACTTTTTTGCGCAGTAGCGGCAGGTGTACTTTGGTGGATAGTGGATATGCATATGCTGATCAAGAAGGGCCTTCGATTTAAAGGACTTCACACAGTGGCAACACTTGAATGGTCGAGAAAGATCGGGCTGAGGTTGGGTGCTTATAAGCGGCGGTCTTGTTTGCTTAAGTTGCAATGGAATCTGCCTCTTTAAGACATTATTATCAAAATCTGCATTTTGTGGGTTTTTAGAGGTTATTGTTGGACAAAGAAGGTGATGACTCAAGAAAGCTGGAAGCCAACCGAATTCTACACCACAGAAACATGTGTAGTTCCCATAAACACCGTGAGCGGATTCAAAGTGACGTAGCAATTGCATGTGACTCACCGTGTTCACTTTGCATTCAGGACAAGTGAGCGTAGGATTTGTGGTGGTTAAACCCTCTGCTGTCGATTCAATACCACGGACGGTGAGGTCCAGAGCATCAGTTGTGAGTGGTGGTGCTGCTTTCACCAATTCTGTTTTATCCGGATTTTGGGATTGAAAACTCAAGTCGACTGCGTTTTCCGTTAAAAGCATTAATTCGGAACATGTCTGAGCGTGTAAGACGAACTCAGAGATGCTAACAAAGGATCGTTCACATCGACATTTTAGAGATTGGAACTCCTGAACACGAGGTGACTTTATTTGCCCTTTTGCAGGTGATGGACTTATGCAGGGTCGCTTAAGTTTATCATCCCCGCCTGGTTCCGAGCGAGAAGATACATACATCTCTGGCTCATCTTTTTCGATGGTATCATTGGTTACAAGCATTGTTTCACTTGTTGCTGTCGAGGTAAGTGAGAGCATGACACCGAACTTCAAAAGAATCAGTGGGGATGTGACTAGGTTAGACAAAGCTATATTTCCTCCCCTGTGTTTTGCATTAGCTCTATGCCTACGTGTGCACGCATCCACGCGCGTCTCTCACTTAAGGTGGCACGTGGTTGGTGGAATACTTACGCGTGTTTACCTCTTATTACGCATATGGCAGATAGCATGTAAACCTTGAGTGTTGATTGGATAAGCCTTTAATGGGGTTGGTGCTGATTGGAGACACCAACAGCCACGATTTTGCACGTACGCACCGAGACGCGCACTAATTCCTGTGGACGCTCATGCACGCGCATTTTCCATCGGCCAACGAATGCATTCTTTCCCACTTGCATTCTCTTCTTTTGGATTACAATTTTTTAGTAATTTAATGCGCAAATATTATTTGAGCAACTCACTATTCTCAAATGGTTTAGGTTTCGAGTTAGGCTTTCGCTTTACATGACTTATCATCAAGAGATGTTGCGATCCAAATAATCAAGTTTCTTTCCTCTTAGTGGATACGCTCAGTTCCTCTTGTTACAATTAATTAAAAGCAAAACGACTTTTTTAAAAATAACAAATATGTTTGTCTGGTATCCCGGTTGTTGTGTACTGATTCAACTGATCAAATGTTATACATATATTTCAATTACCCTTTCCGAAACCATCAGGAGTTTAGCGAATATCTTAGTGCTTCGTTATCCAATAACAAATATAAAACGTTCTTTGTCATAATAATTGCGTTTTTTAAAAGTCTGCAAAGTCGCACAACTTATGCGGTTGCTCAATGAGTTAGACCGATAGAACTGATCCATGGGAGACAATTCGCAATGTTCTTATTGTGTTCTGATAGTGCATATTATAGACCGCACCCAGAACTCTCCATGATAAGGGTAACAATTAACTCACATTCAATTAATTAGGGTTCTTCATCAAAACTTGCTTATGCTCATTCCTGCTAGGTATGTTTATTGTACATTAAGTCTAGCATCTAGGGGCCCTAATGAGTTATTAAACCCAAATTCACTTTCATAATAAATCGCTTACCTCAGTTACTACATCACTTTTAAGAATTTTTTACTAAAGCGCGCCTACTTGGCCTCGAATGTGACCCAAAAAGATCATTTGATTGATCTCGACACGAGTCCAGCCATTTTGCTACCCATTGTTCCACCAAAGTGATAGCGCCCGTCAAGTAGCGCATGCCGCATGCACCGTCTAGCGTGAACAGTCGATTGTAGAACCAAGGGCAAATTGCGGTACGGTGTGTATCCGAGTTGATGTAAAATATTCCTACCTTTGTATCGAAACATCAAACAGACATAGTTTCTGAGGTGTGGTGGTCTTTCATTCTATGGGTGGTCACTACACCAAGCCCACCATCATCTAGTGGGCGAGCAGGAATGGGGGAACGGTGAAGAAAGAGAGAGGGAGTGCACAACACATCACATCGTAAATCTGTGGTGTGTGATTGCATGAGTGTGTAACCACCTATGTGCGAGATTGCGGAGCATTGCATTATGTGGGCATCAAAATATGCACATTGAGTTTTAATTAGGACGAATGTGTGGGCTGTACCAGGTGTCGCAATTTAAATTTAAGTTTATATTAATTATAATGGTCACTAAGACTGTGTAACAGTTTGCTGTGTGCTGTTCATGTAACGAAGCTCAGCCCGAAGTATTTAGCCCAGACCACATTATCATTATCTCAACGTACACATGATACTTAATCCATCTGACCGTGTGTAAATTCCACACTCTGCCTTTACAAACACCAGGGCATAACAACTCTTGCTCTAAACATTCCTTGCAAATCCTGTAACTTTGCAAATGATGCCTTGTCTTATTCCTAAGAGAAAAAAAAATAGACATTTAGCCAAATCACTCATAGGTCTTACGTAAGTGGTTCTCAGATCACGTTACACATGAAACATTTATTTTTAGTGAAACTACTATGAAAATGAAACAATAAATTTTTTTTACCAGTTTATAGCCTGCAGCCAATGTGAAGGCATTGTAACTATCTCATTCGTCTGCCTTTTACCTCAGTGCATCAAAAGGTTGGAAGGCTCTTACGAATATTGGAGACCAAAATATCCGCTAAAAATCGGGTTCACCTGTTAATAATTGCAGTTTAAACACACTATTTAACCTCACATGACTTCCTTGATGTTTAGATAAGGCATCTGAATCTGTTCTGCTTGTCCTGATTAAGTGCGATTTTAGACGAGACGTGGGTGGAATGAAGCGCATGACATCTTGTTTGAGAGGTTGGGAGGCCCCCCGTCCGGTTAAGCAAATAGCGAAATTCAGCTCTCCTCTCCTGCCCTGCCCCACCAGCTTTCCTCACTCAACCCCCGAGGTGCCGACATACTGATCGGCCTTAGGTAATAGCGCACTACACCACTACGCTCACCCCAAGCCCCGGGGTCCACGTGGTCAAACTCAACGCTAAGCTGGGCCATGAGCCCACCTCATTGCGGTTAGTTCGAGCCATCTCTAAAACCTACTTGGGAAAACCCACCTCAAGCTGATGGTTCTTCTATACCTTCCAATTTTGGATGAGCAAATTTCGAGAAAAGTGTGACCTTCGTTAATAGAAAGTCGGACACTTTAAATAGGCGAACTTAGATTACAAAAAGTGATGTAAATGGCGATGAAATTTTGAGTCCAATTCAAAGAAAACTTATTTAAAAGTGGTCAGTTTACAAATTTCAAGGGGAGGCCCTGGTAGTCAATACTTCTACATTAGACATAAACTAAATTATTTATTTTGCGCAGGCAATGTACAACTACAGCCCAATTTAGTTTTGCTTATATATAAACTCTTTTAATCTTTTGATCTATTTACCTCTTTGTCAATCCACTAAAGTCACGTTACACGATGATCTATGCAATAGGTCGAAACTGTTACGTTTGAATAATGAGAGACCTCAATGCTGAGGTCATGACAACAATGTTAGAAATGAATAACCACTATATGGTAGGTTATCTTCATGTGAATAAATAATGAGCTCATGAATAGCCATTGAACATGGAAGATTGTTTTGACCCCATTTAAGATATTATCATCGAGCACAAAATGATCAGAAGAAGCCTTTACTTCGGCTGAAATTCTGAGATTGCTGAAAATAGACTCTTATTAAAAATACAAAAGTCGGATCTTTGTAAATTTTTTGACCTAAAATACCACTGTAGCTGCTCATCTGAGCTAATATGGCATTATGTTACCTCTTAATAGATCCGTCCCTAACACCGCACTCATTATTTTCGTAACTATGAGGACATCTAATGATTATTTAATTCATATTTTTCTTATAGCGCAACATTAATTTAAGAATTGCTTTCGATGAGGTATCCTTTGGCGCCGTTGCCGTTGCCCTTATAATTAATGCATAGTCGGCGTATTCCATACACTAATGCTTTTGATAGCAAATCAGCAGCCTGAATTTTCATCACAACAACTTGAATCGAATTGGGCTAACTGCTGAATTGTTCGGAAATTTATTCCAAACCATCAAAAACAAATTTTGCACCCACCGACATTTTGCTGGTGGTTACAAAGGCACACACACGAGGACTATGGATCTAAATAAGTCGTTGCGATATTCGTTTATCTCCCCACGCCAGTGCGGACCAATAATTTATCCTCAAGTCCCCTAATTGGGGGTGTTGTGACGTGTAGGGTGGGGGTGGAGGGACAGGGGTAGGGGAAGGGGGAGAGGTGAGGCTAAACACAGGTGCTCCAATTAGAAACCGCGATTATGATTCATGTACACCGCGCATATTCACGTACGGGCTCGAATGGGGTAGACTTGCCCGTTCATTTGAAAAGTTATTACGCAACGCTGGAACAGACTGCAATTACTGCCTGTAACGAATTTCATGGTTGTTATGACAAAGGACGAGAGAGAGGGTGAGAAAATCGCAGAAAGGAGCACATTCATACCCATCAAATTCATGAGCGTACTCAACTCTTACTCACAAAACTGTTAAAGAAGGAATATTGTCCCTACACAAATTAGTGGTCTTTCTTGAATTACTGCGGGACGATATCTGAAAATAGAAAGTCATTCAAAATAAAAAAAGATATGCTCTCAATTACTCAAGACCAAGTAATGCATGAAACTGCTGCAAGAGTTTTAAATTATAATCATGTTTCCAAATATCACTCTGCCTTAGTATTTTATCTGTCTACCTAGCCTCCCGATCGCTTGAAGCTTAAGTACTTTTAAAGTCCAGTGGCGGGTTACAGGTCGTCAAAGCAAATACTGAGATATTTTCGGTTCAACTTTCTGCGGGCTTATCCTGTCTTTGTACCCACCGTTTTATCAAATAAATTATCCTTTGATAATGGATAATGGAAAAATTCAAAACAAAGAAAACGAAATACATTTACAGTGCACTACCCACCACTTAGGGGGGGGGGTAACGAAATAATGAATTGACAAGGTTAATGATCCGTTTAAGTGCGAAAGTGGAAGTGTTGTGTGACAGGGATTTCCTACAGGTTGCTGACCGTAGGTTACTTTTCATATGTCTGCTATTTGTTGCCTTGGATTAATCTTCATGATTACTATATCCGTCTATTCATTTCCACGAAGTTTACGGAAAAAAAAACTGGAAAAATCTTTGCCAAAAGTTGTCCGAAACAAATTCTTCAATTTGTCTAATAAGCCTAGTTATTTACATCCCCACACATGATCCTTACGGACTTTTAAAGTAATTCAGATTTGATTGCACAAGAACAGTCACCGAACACGAGAGGGACAGTAGAATTCTTCTAGTCTCTTATCTCCCTTAATGCCTTTATGCTTGGGTGATTCCATAATTAGATTCAATTTATTACGGATCCATTTGAATGAAGTTAGTTAAGCCTACTCCAGAGCCTTCTCATCCAAGTATTTACGCCTCATTGACTTTTGAATGCCGCTAGCAATATTTTTCATTCAGTAAATAATAGCAGTGAGTGCTGGACCAACATTTTAGGTT